ATGTTATCATGGTCCATCACTCGACCCATAAGTGTTCATATCCGGCCTGACCTAACCCCCGCCCCCCCCGAAGGTGGCTGACCCGGTAGACCTCCGGGCCGTGCTACCCAGCGTGTTGATTTTCGGTCAAGCCATTTTACGCAACCCATTTAACTAAACGGAAAACTCCCAGAATGCCATATAAAAAGGCGACAGGGACCTTAAATGTATTTGCTTTAAGATAAAATTCCGAATCTTAAATGTATAGTTATCGCTACCTAGTGTGAATGTCCCAGATTCAGTCCCCACCACAGAGCGGGTCGAGACATGACGATATATAATGGAGGGCCTCAGTTGATGCCATTGGATATGTATTTATACGGAAGGTCGACTGAGGAAGAGGGATACCCGACTGCTATACCATGAATTTATTCCTCTGGAGGTAGGGCGTAAGACCCCAGCTGTTTATCCAAAGCTTTCCGTCCTCACGGGCATATAGGGCGAAAGGTAAACAGCTGGCGTAAGTCGACGCACTTTTTCCTACATACCGAGTGATGATTCATGATCGATTTTGATTAATACGCGAACTGTACCCCGAGCCCAGTAGTGCCCTTGTATTCCTGGCTTGAATACACTCTTTGCGAATCTTCGCTCACCACTAAGTCGGTCGGCGTGTCATTGAGGAATCAGATTATACAGAGACTGCCGATAGATTAGATTGCCAGCCAACTCTTCCACTCTTTCGCTCGAGGCCCTGTGCATGTGGCCCTATCTATAAGTAGTTAGCAGCCAACAATACTCCGACCGCGTTGATACCGATAGCAAGCACGAGAAATGGAATATTTGGTAATTGAATAGTGTACTATAGTTAACGTGGTCGGTACCAAGAATGTTCGATTTAGTTTCCCCACCGCGAAGCAGCTGGCTAAACCACGGTTCGTGCGGTGGTGGCTTATGCAGTTGGGCCTTGGCAGATACTACTACCCCACGGTGCGCTAATTAATTATCAATACGGTACTGTAGCCTGGGGTTGGCCAAGAGAATGCTCCATCACACCTCGGTCTTTTATGATGGAAAGGGCAGTTCATATGGCTTTTGAATCTTGACAGTAGGCCAGGCAGGCAGGGCGTATTTAGTTAAGTTCATGAACCATCACTCGTGACGTTGAGTGTTGTCTTGTAATTGTTGGTTGTCAGTCATTCAACTTTGGCCTCGGCTTGTGATCCATGGCCCATCAATCAGTGCCTCTGTTCAGAACCAATTGATTAAATAGGCGTCAAGACGCGGAGCTCCTTAGTGCAGGCGTTATTGTTATTCCGCCCAGGTACAGTCAGATCGTGGTTAACATGCAGATAGAGGGGTTGGCCGCGAGCTTTCCAATGATGATCACAGAGGGGCATATGACACTGCCTAGAACCCATTCTAGCCAGTTACCCTACATACTGTGCTTCAAAAGCACGTGGCTCCCCCGGAAACAAGGAAAAAACTGGGGAAGGAAAAAAGGAAGCGCGCCGCATGCTAGGTGCTAGCATGTGATAGACAACGCCCACTGTCCACAAACACCGTGGGGGAGAGGTGAATCTTCCTTTACGCCGTGCAAGTCTCAACTGTAGTAGTAGATGTGCCTTCTTCTCCACCACATGAAGTCAACCTCGAACCGATAGGTGCTACAGATCCCACCCCTCACAAAGCCGCTGGACCGAGGATCGTGTATATAAATAAATAACTATATAAACCCCCCTTCCACCTGATCCTATGCACTTGTCACCAAACCCCCACTACTAAAGACCGGCCGTCCTCCTCCCTACCTCCCCCCTATCCCCCCACCAGTTCCGTCATCAAGTCTCGCATATGTCCTCTTCCGCTTTTTGCCGAGGCATCTCTGTCAGGGCCCTTACCTCGGCCTCCCTGCGCCGACCAGTAACTTCACAGGTACACCTTTAAAACCACCCAAACTCACTTGCAGTAGTATTAGTATTAATAGTTCTTTGAACGTTTTTGTACAGATCAGAAGAATGGCCCCCGTAATAGCAAGAACAAACGCCACAGCTGCCGTTGCTGCAGGTATGGAAAACCCTCGATATGTGCCTTGTTGTGGTTTCACATGTATTGACTGAAGCTCCTTTTTCTTTAAGGCTACAAAGAGGACCACACAAAGGGTGCTATGCTCCGTTTCCAGGAGTCACTCCCTAGACTTCCAGTACCGACATTACAAGAGACCGCCGACCGCTACGTCAAATCAGTACATCCTCTTCTTTCTGCCGAAGAGTTCGAGTCTACAAAATCCGCCGTCAGCGAGTTCATCAAGCCCGGTGGTATTGGCGAGGAGCTCCAGAAAAAGCTGATCGCGAAGGCTGAGGATCCAAGTGTCAAGAACTGGCTTGCAGACTGGTGGAATCACTACGCATACTTGGCGTACCGTGATCCTGTAGTCCCATACGTCTCGTACTTCTACTCCTACAAAGATGACAAGAAGAGGCGTGACCCGGCGAAGAGGGCTGCGGCCATCTCAACCGTGGCATTGGAGTTCAAGAAGATGGTTGACTCAAAATCTCTGGAACCCGAGTACATGAGGAAGCAGCCCATGTGCATGGACTCATACAAGTACATGTTCAACACCTGCCGTATTCCCAAGAAGCCTGCCGATGAACCACTCATCTACCCAGCCTCTGAGCACAAGCACTTTGTCGTAATCCGCAAGAACCGCTTTTTCAAAGTTCTTCACGAGGTTGATGGAGTTCAGCTCAACGCACAGGAGCTGGAGGCCCAGTTCAACCGCGTCTACGAGATTGCAAACTCCGAGAAGGCCCCCGCCATCGGAGCCCTGACCTCCCAGAACCGCGACATCTGGACCGACGCCCGCGCAACTCTCCTAGAAGCTGACCCCCAGAACGCCCAATCTCTCGCTGATATCGAGTCGGCCTCATTCGTCGTTTGTCTCGACGACACCGCTCCCGTCACCTTCGAAGAGCGTGCCCACCAGTACTGGCACGGCGACGGCCAGAACCGCTTCTACGACAAGCCTCTTCAATTCATCGTCAACGAGAACGGTACCGCCGGGTTCATGGGCGAGCACTCGATGATGGACGGTACCCCCACTCACCGTCTTAACGATTACATAAACGAAGTGATTTTCAAGAACAAGATGGACTTCACCGCCGGCAGCGTCCGCAGCCACCTTCCCGAGCCCGCACCAATCAATTTCACAGTCAACGATGCCGTCAGCGAGGCCATTGATGCCGCCCAAAAGGCCTTCCGCGAAGTGATTGGCAAGCACGACCTCCGCGTCCTGGCCTACCAGGGCTACGGAAAGGGCCTCATCAAGAAGTTCAAGTGCTCTCCCGATGCCTATGTCCAGATGGTGATCCAGCTGGCCTACCACAAGATGTACGGCAAGAACCGCCCCACCTACGAGTCCACGGCGACCCGCAAGTTCCAACAGGGCCGTACCGAAACCTGCCGTACCGTCTCTGACGACTCCGTCGCGTGGTGCAAGGCAATGGCCGACCCAGAAGTTGACGCAAAGACCTGCATTGACCTCTTCCGCAAGGCCATCAACGCCCATGTCAAGTACATCACAGACGGGTCGGACGGCCGTGGTGTCGATCGCCACCTCTTCGGTCTCAAGAACCTTGTCCCCAAGGGCCAGGAGCTGCCCGCAATCTACAAGGACCCCGCATACGGCTACTCCAGCAGCTGGTTCCTGAGCACCAGTCAGCTGAGCTCAGACCACTTCAACGGATACGGGTGGAGCCAGGTCATTGATGGCGGGTTCGGAATCGCGTACATGATCAACGAGACCAACTTGCAGTTCAACATTGTCAGCAAGAAGTTGGGCGCCGATAAGATGCACTTCTACCTGACGGATGCGGCGAATGACATGAGGGAGCTGATGGAGACGGAGCTTGTAGTCGAGCCCCCTAAGTCTAAGCTGTAGCCGGTTTCTTTTTTTCCCTTCTTTTAAAAGTTGAGGGTTATTTTATTTCTTTATGTGTTTTTACTTGCTGGACTTTGGGAATTGGGAACGTTTTTTTATTTAGCATTTTGTATGTATGCACGGAGTTATTGTTGTACTTGTAGCTAGCTAGCGCGCATTGATACACAATAGATGAATCAATACATTAGAGATATCTACAAACCATGATGCGCGTTTTTCGAGAACTTTGAGATACAGAATTATACAGTCGACTCTCCTATACGGGTATAAAAATATTTGGATTATAAGGAGCTTGGTCTATAGACTACTGTTTTTAGTATGAAAAGTGAGCTCTCCACCTAACTAAACTTCCCTACCAAAGTCCGTGTTCTCGACTCTCCAACTCTCACCTGTACGTTAGAGTTCGACCATACTAATCAATTTGAATTCGACTGAATCCCTAGCCCTGAGGACCCTACGAGGGTATGCACACCTTCCGATATTTCCGTACCCATAGGGAAAGTCACCTGTATTTATAATTATGACCCTAGGGAACTTATGAACTTGTGTTATCCAGGTGTGAAACTAGGAATTGCCGTACCTTATCAATCAATCTACTAGTAGATATATCTCAGATGTCACTAAAGATCCCAGTGTTTCTATCGTGGTGATGTAACTATAGTAGCTTTGAAAAAAATTGCCAGTATAGATTCTTCTAAATCCTGCTTCTTAATTCTAAATCCTGAATGGTTCATATAAAACCATACAAAGCATACATCTTTCCATAACACATTCAAGCCAGAACTTTTCCTTCCTCCAAAAGAATACAAAAGGCTCGACTCTATTACAACCCGCCACCTACCCTATTATTCATCCCCAGATTATTATACGCCCACTGCATGTACAGCTGTAAATCCTAGGTTAAAAAGATATCCCCCCCAAGACCAAAAGTGCCCTTGTTTTTTTTTTTCAATGGTGAAGGATGGTTCTTACACCCCCAGAGGGACGACGTTTGAAGAAGTAGGGAGAGAAAGAATCGCAAGTAGAAACGGGAAAAAAAAAGAATATAAGTCAAAACATTATTCACACATAAACTGCGGAGATATCATGATGATGTTGGCGGTGTCAAAGGAAGACGTTCCTTGAAAACAAGATGGCAATCGTCCTCAGGGAAAATCGTTGCGAAAACTTTAATGTCTTCCGACTGAGGTGTTGTGTGGTGCTCCCAGTCCATCATAAGAGACGCTTTGCCAATCATAGACATGAAGTTCATAATCGCATACTACAAAATGTTAGATTCAGTCCAATCATCTCATTACATATACTCCATGAAAGATATTCTTACGTTTTGACCAAGGCAGACGTGAGGTCCAGTGCCAAATACAAGCCAGTTCTTCTTTGCGGCCTCAGCCTCACCACCTTCCAACCATCTGTCGGGGTTGAAAGCTTCGGGATCATTATAGACCTCAGGATCGTGAAGAGCTGGGTAAAGTGTGGGAATAACCATGGCGCCTAACCTTCTGTTAATTTTTACTTCTTTCGCGTTTAGTAACTAGAAGCAGGGTATACCTTTAGGGACAGTGTAGTTTTCTGTAAGCTTGAAGGATTTCTTGACCTCATAGGGTACCATAATAACTGGAGGACGGTATCTGAGTTGCTCTTTGACAACGGCACGAGTGTAGACCATCTGATCAATCAAATCCAAATCGAGACGCTTGTACGGATCACCGCCGCGAACGCGAAGCTGCTCCTCACGGACCTTAGCCATAACATCAGGCCTATCAGCAAGGAGCTGGAATTGCCAAGTGCTGGCGCTGGAAGATGCATCCTGGGAAGCGAAAAGGAAGGTAAAAATAGTCATGGAGATTTCCATATCAGAGAACACCCGGATTTTAGCAGAAGCCTTCATTTCTCCCTCAAGTTCACCAGATTCATGTTTCTTTGCGGCTTCCCTGGCCTCAATCATAGACTTTATCCAGGCATCCATAGTGCAACCGGGCTCCTTTCCAGCCTCCATGGCAACCTTCGAGAGTGCGGCGCATCTTGCGAATTCGTTGAGGACAAAATCGGCGCACTTCTTTCCGTACCAGGTCTTTGTGAATGGAATGATGATGGGGAAGTTGACGAGTTCGAGTGCTTCAGTGATTTTATAGTAGTTTTCGGAGATTTCCTTAACAGCTTCATCGGTGATATAGTGTCCAACAAAAGTGCGTAGGGAAACAGCGCAATTGATATCTCGGAACTCGCTCATGTATGGTCGCGGCTTGCCATCCTTTGAAATTTCCAGCCACCTTTTAAAGTAGGTATCATAGATTTCCTCCTGCCCAGGCAAATACATGCCCATAGCTTGACGACTGAACAATCCATTGAGTCCCTTACGATATTCAACGTGGTTCTTTCCATCCAAGAAAACCCAGTTGCTAGGTCGGAGAATCTTCTTCGCTACATCGACAACGCAGGGGCTGACATATGCCGGGGAGTTGAAAACCTTGCGAGCCAGATCTCTAGTAGATGCAATGACGACAAATCTATGTGCCAATTAGCGAGATTCTCATTTATGATAAATCAAGTGAACATACTTATGGAACACTGAAACACAACTCAGTGGCCCGCTATTCCATTTGGCAAGGTACTCGCTAAACTTTGGATTCATAGATTCTAAGAAAGGCCCCATGAAAGGAATCTTAAACGATGGCCCAGCAATGCTGCCCTTTTGCCAAAGGTACCGAACTAAAAAGTGCAAAATGTATTGTTAGCCCAAATTCTTTTTACAATCATCACCAATCTCCAAGAATTTATCGCAATTATTAGAAAGGGGTAAAGGAGCCACAAACCTTGATCATAGGTTACAGATAGCAGTAAAATGGTAATGATAGCCTGCCATGCACTTATTCCCTCAAGGGATTTCCCCAATTCCCCCACTGTATTTACAAGGCTTTGGAAGGGCTGCTCAGCCGAACTGACGGCTGAGGGGTGCGCAAAGGTAGATGAGTTGGCTGTTATTTCCGCCATTGCGTCAAGTCAAACAAGTGACTTCGTTATCGGTGATGGAACAGAAGAAAACGCAGTCGCGTGTATCTTCTTTTCTTGATGGATACGCTACGCGGTCAAACCGGGATCTAACCGTAGCGAGCGAGAACAGTAATCCGATGAGAAAGCTTGGGATGAACAAGCACCTTTGGCGTGAATCGATCAGGTAGAGACCCCAATGGACAGTCCAAACACTGGCGACAACAAAGGCAGAAACACTCGGCCGATGATGAGTAGGTCGAAGAAGAGGGTAAAGAAGGAGGAGGGAAATGGAACGATCGAAGGGGAAAGGAGGGTATGATAAATCAATTTCCGGACCAATTCTGTTACAAGCAGAAGGTAACGTCAACAACAACCGAGTGCTCAATGGGGGGTTATCACTAACGCCAACGATAACATGAGTTTTTCTATTCCCAAACAGGGCCCTCAACCATTTCAACCATTGGGACCGAGGAGGGGGGAAAGAGGCCATTCCCTGCTGGTATTTGGCTTGGCCTCTACAACAATCTGATTATTGAGATTATCTCTACGGTTACGGAAAGTCTCATATCCGAATCTGTCCAATTACTGCAGTCAGGGGTAATTTCTTAATCTCAAGGTTCACAAACCCCAACATGATTCGACTCTGTAGTGTCCACTTGCGCGCTTCCAAACTCTAGATATATCCTTTGCGGCTAATTGGAGTAATACATGTAGGTACCTATTGACATACCTGTATTTCAACCACTCTTATTTAATTGGAAGCTTCAAATCGCAAATGCCTATATGTACCTCGATAAGGTGCACCCTATCTATGCACTCCAGAGTATGTAGAGTACCATGCATTCGTATTCGCTCTCGCCAAAAGGTATGGCATGGGTTACCAGGGATTGTCTAATATCTGGAACCCATACCACTTTAACATACGTGCGCAATAAAAGGATAGGTAGGCGAATATTCTTTCTGGAACTCACGTGGTTAATGGGGTCATTCCAAAGACCACACTCTCACACCCACTTGTCGTCATCCTGGCTACCCATCTCGGCTAACGCTTTTCCGGGGCATTCCACCGAGTGAGAGTGAGACAAGCAATTGAAATTTGAGCACAGCTGCAGTGTTTGCCGTACTACCGGCGGCAGCTCACTCTAAACAAAATCATTGACTGCATACCCCGCAAGCTCCACGCACTTTGATTAATCGATCCTTGGACCGTAATGCTTGGGATGGGAGTATGGCGCGAGCTTTGGCGACTACAAGCTTCTGAACCCCTATCTCTAAGGTAGAGGCTGGAATATATCTCCAAATACAGGTTTTTTTACTCGAGGTTCTTTCCTCACAAACTATCACTCGCGGTATGCCGCGCGCCCTAACGGTGTAGTCAAAACACTAATCTTATTACAGGGACTTATTTCACTCAATTCTTAGTCACAAGAAACAGGCCTCATAACTCTATGACTACAAACTTACTTGATTTGAGACAGATAGTTTCACTAAGCGTTCTAGGATAAGACTACCGCCATAACTCGAAAAATTGGCTAGATCAGAATTACTTGTATGGAAAGCTTCTGATGTAGATCGATGCCATCCAACCAATTTTTCGAGTTTTGGCGGTACATGCCTATCTATGCTAGAGTGTGGCAGTTGTGGCGTAGTTTTTGCACAGACTTTACTTGTAGTGATCAGAAACCTAATTGCCTAAGTCCAATAAGACGTCTTTCTTGGAAAGAAGGCGGCGTGAGCGTAAAAGTATTGATTTATACTTTGAAGAGAATCATGCAACTTTCGACAGAGATTAAATTTTAAAGAATAGCAAATACGTAGAATCGTTCAGAAAATATTCGGCGGAATATCCCTACACTTACATTAGGGAAAAGGCCAAGTACGTGCACATGTACCCTTCCAGCTACAGCGCACGGACCAAGTACGAGTGATATTACATGAGTCTGTCAACTTTAGCACTTTTTTTTTTTTTTTTTTGTTTAATTCATTAATTGCATGCAGTTTAGCACCTTATTCATTAAGTAGGTAGTCTTATTCATTAAGTAGGTAGTCTTATTCATTAAGTAGGTAGTCTTATTCATTAAGTAGGTAGTCTTATTCATTAAGTAGGTAGTCTTATTCATTAAGTAGGTAGTAATAAAGAAACCACATTACTCCTTCGTTCAGCTGATACCTGTCTTCTCTGCACCTTCTATTTGGGTTAAACTACATAGGCCCGTGTTGAGAATTGCCTATGCGAGCAATAATGATTACACCTTCTTACTTGATGAATTGAAAGTCTGTGCTAGGAGGTATTTTTTTTTTTGTTTAATTTATGCGCTAGGCGGTACAATGATTGTTTTTTTATATATATTCACTAGAGATTCTCCCGTTTGTTACCAACCGGAATCATTTTTTATTGAAGGGCTGTTCCGGCATATTCTAGGTACACCCTTAACGTTTTATGTAGGCAGTCTATGTGTAGGATTAGGCCTAGGCCAATCATCACCTGCCATTTGCGAAATTTCTTTTCGTCCTGATCCTTTATATATTAGGAGACTAATAGGCGGCACAATGATGACGACGTCTTAGACTATATTAAATCAAAGATTTATCTGAAGAAGTCCTCAGATGCGCGTGGGGGCTGGTTTCGTATATGGTGGTGATAAACGAATCCCTTTCCTCGAACCTCTCTCTTTTGGTCCATGGCTCTAGAGCCCTATTAATTCACTAAGAGCCGTGATACCAAAAACCGTTGCTATTTATCTAATTTGCTTCTCACTCTTCGCTCATCCTATAAAATCAAACCACTAGTGTGGTACACACAGAAAGTGGTCTGGCATGATAGTTATATATTCTTTTGTCGTGCCTACTAGTTGGCCCACGGGAACGACTATCACTCGAAGGAACACTTTTCAAGATACATACGAAGATACTTACTTACTCCAAGTTCGCCTATATATCCTTTCACTTCCTTCACAGCGTTTTTTCTACTTAGAGTTGAGGCCGGTTAATACAAGAAGCTCCTTTGGAAAGTGGCTGTATGCACATATACAGACTAGCTAGGAGTTTTTGCTGAAGAATATGATCGCCTATACCAACACAGGTGGAACAAGATTTACCAACTATTCTTGTTCACGAATCTTGGACTAGCCGATGAACTCAGTACGTCTGGGTCACAGACCGTCACTCGCAAGGTTCCAGTTGAATACCTCATCTATCGAATCCGAGCTCTCTGATTGGTTGCTTTACTGTTATTCACCCTATATTTTTGGTTTAGGCCCGGCCCACCTATCGAGTCTTTACGGTACCTGATGAAATCAGCTGTTATGCACATGTCAAAATCTCGGCATCTTTATCAGCATGTCGGCACACAAGCAGCCCCGCTTATCTTATAAATATAATAGTTTGCCTCCACACAAACCCGCAAAACTCTCAATACTAGATTATGCTCCGCACCACACTCCTATCATACATATTACTTCACGCCGCCTAACTAAAGTACTAAAAAACTCAAACCAAGAAAATAGGTTATTGTCCTGCTATCGCTACCTACAACACCAGACACTTTTCTTTCGATTTCTATCCTACTTGGTGCCTGAGCCCTTCCCCACATTACTAGTCAGAATCAGCGCCGAGATAAACTGCACTACATAACTATAAAAAAACAAAACCAGGTCCTCCTCTTCCTTCTCTGTCCCCTGGGCACACCGGCCGAAGAAGTATTGGTATACACATCTCGTCCATCTTGTCCATTCTCGGACGGCAGTAGCACATATTTCAGACTCCGTAGCTATTGTGCTTCCTGTCAGAAATGCTCGAGGAAGCAAGTATGAGGGAGGGGATCTTACAAGGAAAAAAGCGTTCGCCGCAAAGAAGTACATAAACACAGCCCACGCGAGCCAACTATTCATCCCCATCACCTCTCCAATGAGGATCATAAGGATTGCGCCAAAAAACTTATACCCGCTGTACCCCAACAAGTCCAAAAACTGCCCCTCACCACCGTTGATGTTCAAAAGGTAGCTCCCCATCTTCAATATCGCGAGCTCAAAAAACACAATCACAAACGCCGTGGTGGCAGTCTGTGCGAGTTGTTCAGGATGGAAGTTCCCCGAGATTCCCGTGAGAAGACTGTTAAAGAGAATATAAGTCACAAAAGACATGAGCGGAATGTAGTGGTCTGGCGCATTGACGTCTTCGCTTGGCGGGAGATATGAGTACTCTAGCGGACCCCGGGAGTGCTGGAGGGCCGTGTGGTAGAGGTTCGAAACCAGGGGGTATGCGGGAATGGGAACAGGAGGATCCGCAGCTTACGAAGAACGTAAGTATTTGTTACTGCAAAGTAGGGTTTCAGAGCCGAGATGTAGCGATTTAACTATGCAAATAGAACTATCAGTATCACAGCCCGAACAAAGGAGCGGAATGACAGGTAGGGTGTCTACGTTTTTCTCAGCCATATCGGTCCCGCGGGACATTGCAGCATTCGCGACAGAGAACCCCATCTGCGCTGCTGGGTCGGAGAAGAAATTCCCGTTCATGTTTTGCGGCACCCATGATGGGTAGGCAGCGGACTGGGGATGTAGATTTCCTCCGGGGATGCTGCGGGTACTTGGTTGAGAGTAACTAGGGTTGTCATATGGGGAGTTGTAGGAGTTTGAGGATGAGGGCGGCGGTGGTGGAGAGTGCATCACAGGTACCTGTACGGGTTTCTGGGGCACTGGATGGTGCAGTGGAGGGGTTTTGGCGGGGTACATTGGGCGCTGCATGGTGGACGTATTGCTAATGAGACTGTGGGGAATGTTTGGATTAGAGTGTGAGTGGATAGCTGGTATGTGGGTAGCTAGCTGTACCAGTGATAGTTGACGTCAGTAAAGGGTGAGAGGTTCAAGTAGAGAGTTGTAAAGGTGTTGTTGTTATGTATTCGGGTGCATGAGATATTATCAGAGCAAGGGGGTGGTGGGCGAATTGAAGTTGCCGGGGGCAAAGAGGCTGAGTCTGGGGATCCTCTGCGTGACGTTGCACCGCCGAGCCTCATAGAAATTAATTACTCTTCAGAATCCAGATACCAGAGACAAGCTTTCCAGTAAGAATAAACATCTCGTTGCACAATCACTGACGATCATCCACATGCAAGGGGAGAGGGTTCTACTACGCTAGTAACTCTTCTAAGGCACTCTCCTAAATACCACTGGCCAATCCGCTTCCCATCATGACGCCCTCACCAATCCCCTCCTCCTCCTCAAAACTAGGTCAAATCCAACGGACCCCTACGAGGTCCACTTCTCCCAAAACCCATTCCGCCCGGCCAATGGAGGACCTGTGGTGCCATTCCAACCGATTTTTGTTCCTGTACTGCAGCACAGACATATCAACCTTGATTCGCTGGAGTCGGTTATCACTTCAGGAAGACTTGAGCAGGACACAGAGGCAGGAGGGTATGGCGCACTGATAGTCACGTCACAGCGTGCAGTTGAGGCGCTCGGGGCAGTGCTTGATAGAGTTAAAGGTTTACCTACAACCCCTTTTGTACATAGAATCGAAATCTCAAATTATTTATCACATGCAGAAAACTCCACATGGGAGGCCAAAGTGACATCTCTACTCGCAAACACAATCGTCTACGTTGTCGGCCCCGCAACCGCTTCAGCGATAACCAAACTCGGCTCTACAGCGTCCAACGTCCTCGGCGCTGAATGCGGGAACGGTGAGGTTCTATCTAAGTTCATAGTCTCCTCTTACAACAAGCCCCAAAAGCCGATCCTCTTCCTCGTGGGTGAGATTCGCCGTGATATCATTCCTAAGACACTTAGGGCAGCAAGCATAGGCGTTGAAGAGATGGTAATCTATGAAACTACTGTTGAGGAAAGCTTCCGGGAGAAGTTTACGCAAGTGGTAAAGGAGACGGACGGGAATGGGAGTATGAGATGGATCTGTGTATTTTCGCCGTCAGGGGCTGATGTGGCTGTTGATGTTCTTAAAGAGCATTGGGCATCGGGGAATGGAAGTAAGTCCTGCATTGCGGCCATTGGGCCGACGACAGAGAAGTGTCTAGAGGACGCATTGGATCGAAAACCAGAAGTAACAGCAAGGAAGCCAAGTCCCGAGGGCTTGTTGGAGGCGATTACAGGATTTATGGAGACTCAGTCATAAGCTATTTTTCCAACTATTGTAGTCTTAGGTATAGATAGCCTAGGCACAGATGGACATATATAAGGAAAAGTCTCAGCTGCGTTTGGCACCGAGTGATAGCGTATGATCAGCCGCCTTTCTGCTATGAGGCCTTGGAACCCAGATAAATAAATCCTCAGTTTCCACTCACTGAGACTAAAATCCTTATTAATACCAATATATACGTTGAATGAATGAAGGTTTACATCGCTTAATATCAGGTCACTGTTGTAACTGTACATGTACCTCTTGGGTACGACAATCAACGGCCAAAACTATGAGTATTCTGTCTAGCTAAGTTGTAGTTCCTCAGATATACAATACGCAATCCACGTAAGTAAAATCTGAAAGTAGGAGGGATTATAACAAAAAAAACCGCGAATTCCGGTATGATATTCGTCGAAAACAGGCATTGCGTAGAAAAGACATAATCCGTAAACCTCTCTATTAAATCCATTACAACCTATACACAAGATTGCCACCGGTAAACCTGTTAAAGATATATTGGTTAGAGATCTTATCTATAAACGGTCGAATTTGTGATCTCATCAATGGAATTAAATTAGGGAATTCATACATAATCTGGTTAGTTTCGGTCATCTTTTCCAGTGCCGCCTTTGCCTCAACTTTATCGAAGTTATCCTGCTGCCCAATCTTAGAGTTAATGGCCACCAGCAACTCATCTAACTGAGCTACACCCTCTTCCCCAAATATAGGGTTCTGGAGCAGACTCCCAAGGGCCTTCCTGAACACCTGGAGTCGGGCTGGAGATACCGCTTCCGTTTGTGTATCCCCGCCAGCCGCAGCGCTTGAGGAGCCTTCACCAGCATCTTGTGACTGGACCATTGACGAAGCGCGATGGGAAGACGCCCATGAGTCCTGGGACTCGACCTGCGATGCAGTCGCACCACGTGTAGATTTCTTTGTGCGAGAAGTGGTTGAGGGAGCAGTATATAGATCTTGATCTTCATCGGCATCCATCTCATCGTCTTCATCATCATTAGTCGCCTGAGCGCGAGTTCTTCTTGATGCGGCGCGTCTTTTCGACGCAGCGCGACCTGTTGGTTGGGGGTATCCTCCTCCTCCTCCTCTTCGTCGCTTGAGTCTGCAGTGGCCTCGGTACCAACTCTCCGCCTCTTCCGTCTCTCGTCTTCCACGATTTCTTTGAAGAGTGCAAACCTTAGGATATCTTCAGCAGCAATTGCATCTCGCTCATCAACGCGATTGGAAAGTCTGGCTTTGGCATGAGCCGTCGCAAGGCGAATCAACGTCTCCAAAGTACGTGCAGTCATTGGAGACGTCCTTCGTTGACTTCCTTCTAATTCATCATTTCGAAGGGCCGAGTATGTAGCTACGATATGATCCGCTGCACCTTTGGTCAAGACAGGCTTTATACGGGTCTTGGCATACTGGATGTACTTTTTGACGAAGCCCATGCTCAATACCTCCACCCTCCTAGCATTTCCTCGGCCAGTGGTGATGGTGACTCCAGCGTGTAGTAGAACATCGTACTTCTCGTAAACTTCTGTGGGTCTTCCGGACTCTGCATTGTCCTCCTCAAGGCCAACGCCAAGTGTCTGCCCAGAGCCCTCTCTGACAGGAGCACCCTCCTCAGTTCCGGGTTGGCGGTATCTGTGCATCCTTAAAACGTGCTCTGATACCTGGCGATCTCGAACATCATCAATGTCATCCGTAACAACAAATAACAGATCGAAACGAGACAGTAAAGAGTCTGGAAGGGCGATGTTCTTGTGGGGGTCTTTATGAGGATCATACTGTCCATAAATAGGATTGGCAGCGGCAATAACACTGCATCGAGCATTAAGGGAGGTATGAATACCGGCCTTGGCAATTGTGACTGTCTGCTGTTCCATGACTTCGTGAATGGCCACTCGGTCAATATCGCTCATTTTATCAAATTCATCGATACAAACCACACCACGATCAGCAAGTACCATTGCACCAGCTTCTAACCTTCGTTCACCGGTCTCTTTATCAGAGGTCACTGCGGCTGTAAGACCAACACCCGAGGACCCACGACCAGTAGTCGCAATCGCGAGAGGTGCTGTGTTGAGAACGAATCGTAAAAGTTGAGATTTTGCAGTTGATGGATCACCGACCATGAGAATATTGATATCACTAATTTTGTTAATTATATATTTCTCAATGGAAGGCAGGATAACAAACCCCCTCAAATGTGTTCCGTTGTCTAAATTCTTCTCCATGCCCCCGAGAAGCATCAGCAAAATAGCCTTCTTAATGTGCTCATGGCCATAAATGCTGGGCGCCAAAGATTGAGAGAGCAAGCTAAAAATGTTCTTCTTTTTTGAGATTTTGTTGATGTTACGAATGTCGGTGTCGGTAATTGTGGCTTGCGCTATTCCTCCACCAGCCTTAGATGAGAGCAAAATGATATTATTGGCGATCAAGAGCGTTCGAAAAGTCGAACTACCCTGTCCAGCATTTCTGTTACCAAGAGAGCGGTAAAGTCCCACCAACTGGATACGATCACCAGGCTTCACTCGATCAACGAGATCATCATCCATGATAACATCTACACTACGAGGGAGCTGTCCAGCAGGGGCACGTTCTGGCATTTCCTGTATGGAGATCGTTTGGTGGTCTCGATAAGTACAATACCCATATTCTGTGGTGAGCGGATTTCCCTTATCGTCTTCGGTAGGGTAGACACTTGAAGAAGCCGGTGCATTGACCGACATTGTCTGGTCCTTATACTCGCGCCACATAAATAACTTTTGCGCTTCGTTATAGTGAACACTTTTGACTACTTTAGGTCTTACGAGTGAGCATCGAGTAACCTACGAAAAAAGTGATGTCAGTATTTAGATAGGCGGCTCCGTAAGTACGGAAGGCATACAATTCCCTCAAGGGAAACAAGATGGTTGAGATGCTTCGAGCTTAGTGTTCTCGGATTAACCGCATATTCTCCGAAGCTTCCCGTCAACGCGGCATAAAAAACCTGTGCGATATATTAACAAACAGCTCCATATTGAGCTTTCACAAGGTATCCATACAGTTTCTTCGGTGATAGTGTGACGTTGGCGGTCCCTCTGTGTTAAAGCAAGCTCTTTCAATGCTCTATCCAGGGCTGGAAGATACTCAAACGGGGAGTTCAAGAGTCCCTCCGCAAGCTCCCTGTTATGATTGCGAATCTCATCTATGTTGACCGGTAGGCGTCGCTCCCCTCGGTTGAGCATCAGTTTTACCGCATCTGTGTAGCTTCGCGCATCGTTGTCGTTGGGATCTAAGAATTCCGTGAACTCTCTGACGCGGCCTATTACGAATAGTCAGCGTCTCATACTAGGATAAACCAGTGAGGTTACTACCGATAACAATCTCATCGAGAATAGGTCCAGAGTCCATAGCTCAGGGACGTTACCAATTGGCGAATAGTTGAAGAATCAAAAAGTCTAGTATGTGATTTCGCAGTCGAGGTTAGTAAGGCAGTCTAACAAAGGCAAAGCTGACCCCCGGAGGTATTGAGGGTATGAAAGGAGAATTACAAACGTTTGTTTTGTTTCCCTCTTCTTGATCAAAAGAGAACGGCAGGCGATCGAATTGATTGTTGAAGAAGGAGGGGCAAAGCTGAAGTGGGACGCGTAAAGTGGTGGTCGGGGCACGGTGACAAGACTCGCGCGAATCGTTGTCTTTCGCGTCAAATAACAGTCTTGGCAGAACTTGGCTAACACTGTCCTCCGAGTGCATTCCTATGATCGAAAAGAAACCCTTACAAACATACCTTTATAGGTACACTGTTTAAAATTGAGTCCATATGGGAAGGAGGACTTTATGCATGGAAAATCCACAGCTACTGGTTCACGTATTTATAAAGGAGATACCAATCCTCACTTTATAGCTGTCTCTCACTACAAGAATACCGAAAATCAATTGAACTCTAGCTCTTCCAATAATTCACAATTCACAGTTCAAACGCATTTGACCCAGGATCCCAAGGATTCCAAAGACCCTGGTAGCGCCAAGCCGCATGTGTCACTCAGAGCCGCAAAGCTTAGTTTGTAATTTTGGTTGCCGAACGTCACCTGTTAGTGCTCCTCTAAAAAGTTCAGCAAACTGCAACATAGTAACGGAAACATCAAACCAGCAAAATGAAAGTTCTTAACCCCTCCGAGAGCTTTCTCTGCGACCATGAAGTCTTACAACATCTCATCGCGATGAAAGCCCGTTACACCCACGTTCACGAGACCCAAGGTGCTGTGCATGCTATGAAGGCCGGAAATCTTGAGACCGTTATGAAAGAGGTTCTTTTCTCACAGGACACTAATGCTAGTTGAAAGATTTGCTAACTTTATTGGTTACTAGGTGAAAGACTATCTATCTACCACACCAGCGGCGACACAGACTCAAAAGGACATTGACAACTTCATGAGCTCTGTGTCGAAGTTCGCACTCGAGAAGGCAGAGTTATTGATGATAATCAATTCACGGCCTTCCAGTATTGCTGAACTGGATTGTTTGGTTGAGGAGATGGACGCCAGGTTTGATGATCAAGGAGCACAAGAATTATTGCGCATAGTCAAGACGACTTTGCCGGCAGGTCCAGTGGAAGGTGTGGAGGGTGAAAATTCAAACTAGATGGTTTCCTTTCAGAGAGCGCAAGTATGTAAAGTTATGCCTTTGCTTTCTTACTATGTATAGAGTCTAGAGAATGTAATTAATTTTGTGTCATACCATGAACCCCATCTACAGACATACGAGAATCTACATGTATCTTGGTAAGCTTAGGGAATGCGCATGCAAGTATATCACCAATTTTACAGAGATATATTTTTACATGACCTAGTTCGACGGTTTACTGTGAGCTTCCCTCAACTTCCTTATAAAGCCCGCTGGTCGTATACCCATTGCTCGTAGCTCTCTCACTGCTATGTGATACCTATTATTATCCCCCGCCAAGTAGCACTTGGTAGCCAGGGCTTTGTACAAACTCGGTCGTACGTGTTTCCATGTTGCTTTCAGTTCTTCTAAATAGATGAACGCATCCTCGTAGTTGTCCTGTGCCAGAGACACATAGAAAAGGTGCTCATAGGTTTCCACGTCTGGTTCAATCCTCATCTCCTTCATCTCGCCAACGAGATTAACTGCGAAGTCCTTCCTGGCCTCTTTCGCAGCAATCTTCAAGAGGAGATTGAATGTGTTTATATCGGGCCGCAGATCGAACTCGGGCAATTCTTTGTATACTTCAAACGCCGCGTCGATATCGCGACGGACGATGTGTGCAGCTATCAGAGCATGAATCGCTGCGAGGTCAACATCCTTACCGGATTTTTTCATTTGTTTTAAGAGATTAAGGCCTTCTTGGATAGAAGCGTCGTCGCAAAGACGTTTTGTGATTGGCTGGGCCGTATTCTCAACTGGCGGAACACCTGCCTGCCGCATAAGAGGCAGAATCGATAATGCAGCCGTTAGGTCGCCAGCAACAGCGTATGATTCCAAAAGAGCAGCATAATGATGTTCCTCATACTTGAAGCTGCGGTTCCAGAGTACCCTAAAAACGTCTGACGCCAATTGGGGCTGGCCATGTCTAGCTGCAACATTGAGTGTGGACAAACAAAGCCCATCATCGGGGTTGAACATTTCTTTGTCAATAATCATCCTCCAGCAGAACAAAGTGGCTTCTAGCTAGATGTGTGAAAAACATCAGAAATGGAACATGATAGGGTGATGTTGGGAGTGTTAGTGCTTACATGAAGCTGGTTTGTAGCAGCTGCCAGAAGAGTGTATGCTAACGCCGGGGGCGTAACCCAAGAGATTTCTGCCTCCAGTTCTCGGAGCAAGCGCAATGCTTCGTCAACCTCTCCAACTTTACAAAGACCCGTGATTACGTCTTTGTAAATATTCCGATGTAGAGTCCGACCCTCCCTTCGCCGCCTATCAAGAATCTCCAGCGCCATCTCCAGTTGCCCACCCAAGATATATCCTGCAATTACGTCTTCCCAGCCGCCTTCTGTCACTTCGTACCATCCTTGTTTCATCTCACTTAGGACTTCTGACCGCTTGAGGTAGTCTGGTGATTTGGCCAGGAGCTATTTCATCCGTAAAATAGGTTAGCATTCCATTCCATTCCACAGGCACAGCGCATAGCTACAATGGACACCCCCGCACACAACCAACCCACCTTCAGGAGAGAATGGTAGATCTCCGAGTTCACTTGTAGCCCTCTCGCTTTCATCTCTTCGAAAAGCCGGAACGCTAGAGGCTGTAATAAGCATCCTTGGAAATTCCCACAAGCCTCAATTAAGACAGCATAGAGCTTTGTATCCGGTACATATCCCCCTCGCACCAATTCCTCTGCTGCTTTAAAGACCCCAGGAAGCATGCTTCGTCTTCCCAGATCCGCTACTTTGTCGACCCCGGTGAGTTCTGGGGACCGAAAAACCATCGGTGTACTTCCAGCGTACCGTTCCCGGGCCGCTCGCCTGTCGCCATCCGGTTTAGCAATGGGTACCTTCCGTATCCGAAAACCCGAATACTGGTTCTCAATTTTATCTGTAGAAGTTTCGGTTTCCTGTGTAGGCGTTTCTTCGGGAGTGGTGGATCCACTGGGCGTGGAGAAATTTCTGGAAATTGGTGGTGAGAGTAATCGATTTATATTAAGAGCTGCTACTAGGCCATGAGTTCGTGTAGGTAAAGTGTTTAATAATTGTGGGCAGAGACAGCGATGGGTTATTACACACCGCAGGGTCATTGCTTTCGATTTCTGCGTTCGGGAGGGGTTGGTGACAGAGGGTTCCAGTACTCAGGTTTCAACGGTGTTGATGTGCTCTGAAGATCTACGGGGCAAACAGGGATCGCCCACTATCCTCCACAAATTTTTGATACCCGGATTATCGCCCACTACGCATATGCATACGTTTACTTTCACTACACGCTCGTGCACAATCGCTCTTGAGAACTCCATATATTCTATCATGAGACTGATATATCTTTCAGTCATATAAACTGATTTGTCCTCCTCTGCTCGACTAACCAAGGTGAGCACACAGGAACGCCTGCATCTCATCGCAAAACGCCCGAACCTTCAAGACGGCCCCACGCAGATATTACAAACAAAATAGTACAAATAGATAGCCGCCCCAAATGCATAGAGTTCCAACACGTATGCCAACGTTGCATTAATCAAAATAATAATAAGGAAAACAATTAAAAAGGTCGTATGTAAGATTCTCGATCGCTCCGATGCACCCGCTATTTTTGAAATAAACAAAACGCCCCCAAACACCATGTTCTTAAACAATAAAAGAAAGATGTAAACGAAATTTTTTTAAAGGATCGACGGGTCTCTAGGCCTCAGAGGTAGTCACCTGATGGCGAGGCCTTCCATTTCATGCAACGGCTCGAAGATATCGTCACCGATTACTGGTTCCAGAGCCTGGGACAGACGTGGGAAGGTAGTCCTCGCAAGGCTTTTGGAAGGCGGGGAATTAACTTTTGACTTCTGAACCTGGGGAGCGGCCTGTGCGCATCTCCTCATCTCGGCTAAGGAATACTCGATGAGTTCCGTAGTACAGATCGAGGCGACAGAGAAGTTTATGTCGTCAAGGATCAGCATTTCAGTCTTGTTCAGAAGACGCGACGAGAATAGATCGCCTGCAATGTCCCTGGCCCACATCCTTACAGAGAAGGACTAATTTAAGTCAGTACAACAACGCAACATAATTATAACTGTATAAAAGCGACTAACCGTGTCTTCTAAGAACTTCAATGCAATTGATAGGGCTGCTACTGCTAGAACCTCGCACCCTTCGACTGATCCTGTCTCTGCGCACCATTCTTCCCTCCACCGGCGCACAAAACGCGACGATAGGCAATCCAAGATGCAGCTTCCCAGTCCGACGGTCTCCAAGCTAATATTTGCTCGTTGCAGGATCGACTGAAGTAGATATGCCGACGGTGCTTCGCGCGAGGCGTTTCGAGGTATCATGCTACACAGATATGTCGCGGGACCTAAATAGGTGGCTGTTAGACTTTCGTCCGAACATCAGATATCAACCAATTGAAAGATAACACCTACCGAAAAGCTCTGGATTCAATTCCTCTTCAAAATCCACCTCAACAAGCATTTTCGGAGACGAATCCGATGGCGGCGGTGTAGGGAGATTGGATAATGGAAGGTATCTTTCGAACTCCTCAAAGGAGCAATCCAGATCAAGGTCCAGGGAGCCCGGGGATCCTGGGGAGTTTGTCAGGTTGGGTGTTGGGATGTGGCATTCCATCATGTTGTCCGTTGATGCTTCCTGACACATCGACATCTTTTCTCCGGAGATGTGGCTGTCCTGAGTAGCGTGGAAAGGGAAGACTGGAGTATCCGGCGTCACGAGTCCTAGCTTGTGGACTGTTGGCAGGCACGGTAGAGATCGAGAAACGAATTTATGGCCGGCTGTGGCTGGGTGATCTGCAAAAACGGGAAACGGGGGTGGTCTGGTGCAGGGAGCTGGGCATTGAGCGGGAGGGTTTGCAGTTGAGAATGACGGTGAGGAGGAGGGGGAGGAGGAAGAGGAAGAGGAGGGTGGGGATGAACATATAGAATGGTAGGACGGGAGTACAAGAACGAGTGAGTGGGTGTTTCTCCTTGACATGATTAACGACTTGATCCTAGTTTGTTCTATGTATGTAGATTTGCGGCCTGCGCCTTCTTGCGTGTCCGTGCTGATGCAGCTGCTGGTAGTGTCTGAGAGTAGAAGCAAGTATGTCTTTCTTGTACTCACATATACCTCTGTGTACTGATGAAGGTATAATTGTATTTGTATGTACGATACGGCAGGTAGTACTTGAGGAAGTATAGAATAGCCTTGGAAGAAGAAGGGGAGGAGGAGGGGAGGGAAGGGTATTTGAAATAAAACTGCAGGTGAAGAAATGCGTCTCAAGCAGGTACTTTCTCATTCACTATCTCTCACTCACTGTCTGCCTCTGGCCGAGGAAGAAAGGTCGGGACGCCGAAGACCACCTCTTAAAACAGGGGCAAGGAACGGGCGGGGGGAGGGAGAAGTACTGTAGGTACGATAGCGGGGACGGAAACGGGGCCCGTCACGGTATACACGTACTCAACTGGACGAAAGCTTTTCTGTCTTGAGAGACTGCTGCGAAAGAGGCTCTACCTATCTCGGGCTGAGCAAGGGCCTTACTGCCAGCTCAACACCAACACCACGGCCGTAACGAGATCCCAACCTGGGGTGGATCGTGCACTATGCACAATCAAGGCTTTCAGGGCACAATAAACTTGTACCAGGCATAAAATAGACCAGTTTGGGGGTAGAGGTTTTTTTTCCCTCTGAGTTCTTTTCCACTTCTTCCGTGCCGATTATCCCCTGATTTTTTGTCCCCAACCTCGTCGCGAATCCCCAGATCAGATCAGGCCAAACACAGACGATTCTTTTCGCCTTCGGTACGAGAGACCCGCTTAGACCCTTGGAAGTTCTGTTCGGGACTAGGCACCGAGCCGTTTCTGTACGTAGGCAACAAATATAGCAACCCGAGCACAGGTATGGGGGAGTATTCAGTAATTGGGGGGGGTTATGTAACGTGGGAGAATTGGGGGGTCTCTTGGGACTGGATGTAAAGATCACACCAGACGATTTTCTTTGGCTCACTGTGTTCAGCTTCCGTTTTGCAGTAGGTAGTAATATGAGCGGACTGATCGAGAAGTAGGATATGCGGGAATAAGGAGGTATTGTATTTGGGGGTACCACGATGTGACGTAGAATAGTAATGTTGCTTCTTTGCCAGTGAGAGGGAAGGGAGGCACATGTTTTATACCTAATTTCACGGTAGAAGGACTCGACCAGGGGCAGGTGGGATGTGGCGGAGGTGGAGGTGGAGGGTGGTGGTAGAGAAAAGTAACAATAGTAAGATAGCTAAGAGTCGGTAGTATTGTACAGTATAGAACTACATGTGTAGAAACAAAGTAAAACAGGCATCCGCACACGCGACCAGGTTCATCAATGGGTAACCAGTACAAACCAAAACCGGACTGTCATCCCTAGAGAGACCCAAGATCTCGCCCATTCCTCCAACAATAGGCCTGCGGATTTGATAGTGCTTGTGCCCACCATGTAATAGCAGTCGTATTAACACCATCAAAAGAGAGAGTAACACAGTAACACGCCTACCTACTCTATGAGTGATCGCGGCGTGTGCGACTGTGCAGACAGCCTTCTCTTTTTTTTTCTCCCCAGAAAAAGGAAGAAAAACACTGAAAAGTATGGGCATGGTATTTCCAAGCCACCCAAATATCAAATGGCAGCTCTCTGTGCAGCCTCAGCCCTCGTTCGAACGGGCGCGGATCGCTCTCTCTCCACGATTGTGTTTCCGCTGCGGCTGAGGTGCCTATGACCTAGACCTAGCACGTTTCTAGCATCGGCAAGCGACCCTGGTGGTGATTCGGCCTGCAGACGCAGGGAATGGTTTTGAGTTCCCATCTGGAACACTTGTTCGGCGGGCACCACCGAGAGAGAGACTTGCGGGACCTCCATGGCCAGGAAAAACATCCCACCATTCCCCCAAGATCCCTACTTGACGCGCTTTCAACCCCTCCCTGTTCCACAAGGCACAACCACCATCACTGCTTGGTGATAGTGGCCAAGCGTGCCTATGCCACGCTTAGAATCGCGATGCAGTGTCGAAGCTAGAGAGCATTCTGGTTGGGGAATTGCAAAGACTACCAGTACCTACATAGGTTAGAAAGTTCTACCCAGGGTCCACGGATTCGGAAACGGCACAAGTCCCACACAGCAAGCAGCACGCAGCAGGTAGATAGAGTCAGTCAGTTGTTACCTACGAGTGTCACCTTCCCAGGAATAATGAATAATCCGATAGAGAAAAACTCTTCTAAATTGCGCAAAAAATGTATTCACATTCCGTCCCAGAAAAATAAAATAAAGTACATATAGATATCGATCTGGTGATATGTGTTAATCTACTCTAACAGGTCAGCAGCGTGTCTGGTGTTTTGGAAAGTCTACGACTGTAACCCATCCATCGAAAAATGTCTCATGTCCCCGGGGGATATTTTCGATCCTAAGACCAAACTCTTGCGCGTTTGTTCGAAGTCTAATCAAGGTAACATTTTGTTCGACCGGTCCACTCGGAAGTCTGGTCTTCCTTCTCCGATGTTTGAAATTCGCAGATTAGGGATAAGTACCTCTCTGCCGGTACTGCTTGCGCGATCGGCCATTGACAGTTGAGAACGTGCTCCTCAGGGATGCTGGTGCCATCTTTGCAGAAACCGCAACAGAAGAAAGAGACAGAGACATTCTAACGCGCGCTGCTGCACCTGGCGCGCGCTCTTCACACCAGATCACTCACATCCTATTGCACCAGCGCCAACCAAAAAATCTTCACCAGCGGCCCACGATTTCAAGTTATGTGCAGTTATACCGACAAGTGGTAAGCGCTAGAGTGTCCAAAACCTCTTTCCGGTACTCCTCCGGACCTCAGCTCAAACTCGGGTTCTTACCACTCTACCGGCATCTACCGGTACGTAACTACCTACAGTCGACAATAAGACATTTTACTATCGTGACGACACATTTGTGTAAGAGGACATTGGGCGATTGTCAACTCATCAAGACGTGTAGATCAGACTGATCGTCACCTGGATAATATCCTCGCCTTTCTTCTCCACCAACTTTACACAGAGTATCTATATCATACTCACTCCAATTAACATGAGCCAGCAATACTGGCTGGGACCAACCAAAAATCAATCAAAAAATTCAGGATATCTGACCCAATTGAAACTACACTTTATGGTACATACGTATATGTGCTCTACATGCAACACCACACCTAAAAGAAAGCTGCAGAAAGAAATAAACCCAGAAAGAAATAAACCGACAACCGTCGACAAAGTCTAAAACGGGACTAATTATGTAAAAGGGCTACATATCTCATTCCAAATCGCACCTCGCAAACAAGACTGGAAGATATCATGGGAACTCTAGGGTAACTAACACTAATGTCATTAAAAGAAAAGTCTTCTCGGACGACAGTAAGACATCATGAGAAATGATCATGAATACTATGCCTCCTCTGAGTCTCTTCGTGGTCTGCTTCACTCTTTTCTGCCTCTCTCTTCAACCTCAACCGTTTCTTCCTCTCATAAACCGCCCTAACTGCTCTCTTAAGTTTATCGGCACCTTCGTCGAAATTTGCTTGCGCTAATGCTACCGTCTTGTCAACCTCTTCCGGTGTCCACTACGCCACAAAAATGTCAGATTCCGGTTTTGTTTTCAGCCCGACGCACACCGATGAGAAATCGGCAAGAGTGAGAGTAAACAAACTAAGAAGAAAAAATGACAGCGGGGCAGAGTAGGGCAATAATTCAAAGCCAGCAAATAGGGGGTCAATCACAGACCTCGAAATTCCACGTTGAGAGATAAGGCGACCGTTCGGGCTCCACGCCAGGGGCTTTCTCGTTTGGAATGAGTGGGAAATAAGCAACAGTAATCCCTGTTGAGAATCAAAGTCAGCATCAGCCCTATCGGTTATTTAAGAGTGCGGAAAAAGAGGCAGTTTTTGAGTGGCTGCGGTGAGGTTTCGACATTACAACAACGCCTCAGTCGCAGTTAAACTGAGCCAATGATATGTCAAGAAAGACATAAACAATAACACATGTCAAAAATACACCACCATGATAAACCCCGCACTCTGCGAGGAATCTCGATTACCCAATCTCGTGACTCTGGAAGCAGTCCGATAAGATAGAGTGGGGAGAAGAGGAGGGGTAAAAATAAAACTACGATGTGACGGGACATAGAAACGGGAATCCACTAACCAGCATCTGGATCCATCAACTCCCAATCCTCCTCCACGGCCTTACTTGGGGGCGGCTCCTCATCGGTGCTCCTCTCCTCCTTGCTTCCAACCCAAACGGTACAGTATCCAAGCGCGCTCTTTTTTCTCTCCTCTTCTGTCTTTGTGGCAGGTGACTTGCTTGCTTCGGCCTCCTCATCCTCCCTCTGCGCTTCCTCGAGCTTCTCTTTTGCCTCTGAGGTCGAGTGTGCCTGCGCACCCTCTAGTTCCTCTAGAATGGTCGAGTCGGAATCCTCTTCCTTGGGCCACCCAATGGACACGGGCCAGCCTTGGACTTTGCGCTGTTTTGCGTAACCTTCGGCGAAACCGAGCCAATTGGCGGTCTGAATGTCGGCCGAGGAGTCGAATGCCAGGAGAATATCGACGTTGCGGCCGCGGCGGAGAAGCGGGTAGCATGCAAGATTGTTAGACATACCTGCATCCTACATTATGGGGGGCACGGGTTAGAGGATAGATACTTTGTGCATACATGTATGTACTCGATTTGGACAACACACCATCAGCTTCATGCCCTCAGACTCGTACAAAGATTCTGGACACGTATCAGGCAGTGAATCCTTTAGGCCTTTGACAAAATTTGGCATCTGCGCGGGGTCGATAGGATGGACTTTGCTCAGATCGTTGTTTCTCTCGAGCACCATTTTGTCGAGTGCCAGAAATAGATTGATCGACGTGACAAATGGGCGGATCTCAGCATAGTAATGGCTCAGCGTCGCACAAAACGCAGATCCAAAAATGCCGAATAGTAGCGGGAGTTTCATTTCTGGCACTTCACGGTCGACATTGACGCCGCCCTCGAAGCGGCGGCCCATAGACCAAGTTGGGATGCCGGCTGTTAGTGAAGTAGTTAGTTAATAAACATGATTCGTTCCGTTTCGATCATAGGCTATCATTCGGTCATTTCCTACCATCTAAGTCTTCGCAGAAAAACTCGAATGGAGTTACCTCGAACCACTGAAACCAGGCTTCACCGGATTTACTGGCCTTTTCCTTGACCTCCTCTGTGATACTCTCGTTCTTCTCGTTCTCTCCGCCTACAAATGGAATCTCGTGACGGACCGCTGTATATATCGGCAATGGCTGCTCGCCGTTCTCTAGATACCGCTTCTGGTTACTTAACTTGAGATCCTGATCATTGACCTTTGTCTCCTCACTTGGCACCAACAATCTCGCGCCCAGAAGCAGGCCATACAAATCCACCAGGCCGAAAGACGAATATCCTGTCCGCAACCTCTCTACCACACCTCTAAGCAAATACTTGTTGGCCGGCGGCGCCGTCAGAAGCTCGAGCGCCTTGGGCGGATACGCAATATGCACGCAGATACGCTCCCTGATATGCTGTAGCACCTTGTCAAAATTACAGTCACCAATACTCGTTAGATATAGTGCCTGCAGCCAACAGCTCCCTGATACACCCGCCGTATAAGTTGCGCAGTCATAGAGTCCCGCCCGCGTCAGCGCACGATAGTACCCCGTCCCCGCAACCATCGCACGGAGCCCACCACCGCTCCCCGTGATCGCAATCACCGGTACGTCGTCCTCATGGATCTCTGCCTCGGGGATACCTAGATAGCTGGCGAGCGCCTTCTTCGTGTGCGTGCGCCGGCGGGCAAGGAATTCCTGCTCTTCCACGCAAAGGTCCTTCCCTTGCCGGACGCGCGCATCCCACTCGATCTCGGGCGTGATCTTTGGGTCCTTTGCCTCCTCCCAGAGCGTGCCAGCCAGCGAGCCAGGCTCCATATTAAGTTCGCGCTGCAGCTTTGTAATCCATTCCGGTAGTCCGACGGCCCATGTCGGGAAGACGTGGGTGAGGTCAGTGAGCTTGCCCCACTCGATGCTGATGATGCTCTCCTTTGCGGCCAGTAGCTTGGATGAGAAGTTGAGCCACTGGTAGTCTGAGGATGCGTCTTCCTGTTCAGCGGCGGCCGCGGCAGTGACGGATTGGTCGGAGGGGTCCGGCGCCGGGAGCGGCTTAACGGATTCCTGCTCGGCTTGGAGCTGCGCGGAGAGGTCGGGCGTGACTTTGACGAGCGCGGGGAACTCGGTGGTGCTGTCGCATTGCAGCCCTGGGGATTTGCGCCGGCGGGATTGCGTCTGGTAGAATGTAACAAGGACAGTTGCGGTGACGAGGGCGCCGAGGCCGATCTTGAGGTTTGTGCTGCTGTTCATTGGTGGAGTATCCGCAGCGGCGGTGCGGGAGGACGAATACGAAGACGAAGATGGAGAGGGGGGACTCCGGGAGAAGGGAGCAGCACCATCGGTTTGGGATGATTTACAGCGTAGAGAGGTTAAAGAAGCAATCCGGTGTGAGCGACCCCTCCCCCTCCTCCACCCCCACAGCAGGCGGCGGTAGCATGATGATGGTGAGGATGATCCTGGGGCCGACAGAATGCGCATGTGGAGGGGATTTGCAAAAGCATGTGCCAGCCAGCAGCAGCAACCAGCGAGCAGCGTGTAACTAATGGATCAAATGGATTCAATTGGGAGGGGTGGAATTGTTTTTTCTTCTTTTCTTTTGTGATTGTCAGGAGGTAGACGGGACGAAATATCATATTTTGTTTGTTTTACGTCAAAGAGAAGGGGGAAAATGACAGTCTCCCTTCGGTTTTTTTTTCTTTCCCCTCGCTCTTTCTCTACTAGACTCTTCTACTCCCCACTTCCTTGGAATTACATGAGGGTTTTTTTCTGTTGGGGAATTTAATATTGTACCGGTTAGCCACTCGGGGGAGTGGAATGTTTGGGGGGTTGAGCCATTCCGTCATGAGTCGTCAGGAGCGACAGATCAGAGACAGATAGACGGATGGGCGGAGGCGGGGGGGGGGGGGGCGGTGACGTCAGGTGGGGTTGTTGCGGTCGGTTGCTCAATCAATCAATCAATCAATCAATCAATCTGGGTTGGTTGCCACACACGGTCCGGTGCTCGCTGCTCAGACTGGCTCAGGGTGAGGGCTGGTTACACGGGATCGTATCTTGTGTGTGGTACAGGGCTTCTCTTCTCTCTGTGGATCTCGCTCTGGCTGTGGCGTGGATCTCAGCGGTGGTCGCTATTTTTGCAACCTTCTATTTTTGAGTGCGGTACTCTAGGACTCTCTGTATGTATGAAGTAGGTTATGGGGATGCACCAGTATCTATGTATCGTGCTCTAGATACGCGGCATTAGGTAGTAGATTAGATTAAACCTTTCGATCCTGCTCCCGACTGGACCTGCCCACCACCTGACGAGTATGTGAGGCAAAGAAGGCACTGCGAGTGATTCGGTATGACTCTGCTCACTCAGTCAGTGTTTGTTCTTGCCAACATCACCAGAATCAGCAGCATCATCGGCATCATCAACCACGCGACAGGAATGTAACGTGGTTCGGGTGCAGCAGTGGTTGGCCTTTGTGGCAGCTGAAGGCGCTGAGTTTTCTTCTCTTTCCCTCTTCTCTGTTCTCTGTCTTGAACCTTTACATACGTGTGTAATGGGTTTGAGACAGTATGTATGTAGGTAAGATGCAAGAATGTATGTAGGTAGGTTGGTAGCCTAGGGCACCGATTTGCTGTGAGAGGAGGGGAATGCGTTGCACGGCGCCGGGGGCATGTGTTTGCGTGGGTTGGAGTTAGGGTTTGTGCCGGCGCGGGTGACGAGTGACGGGTTGTGAGTGGAGAAGGGAGGTGTGGTTGTAGGGAGGGAGGGAGGGGAGAGGGAGGCGGGGTTTCATCATGTGGATGGTGGTGGTGGGGAGGCACGGGGGCTATGAGGGTGGCTGCACAGGGTGTCACTCGATGTCGGTTCTGGTGCCGTGAAGCAAGCTGCGGTGTAGTGCCATGTCACAAATACTTGGAGAACGAGACTGATACCAGTAGTTACAACTGAAGCTTGAGCTTTTTTTAAAAAAGAGAAAAAATCCGTATTTAAATTTCAAAAAGACTATAACGCCAAAGTACTTTTTTTTTCTGTGCGTGTGTGCTTGTGCCTGTCCCTGTCCCTACCCGCCCTAGTATACATACAGAAGCCTCCTTGTTTTGTTTTCTTCATTCTGGGGGGAACTACTATATCCTGCAGGCTCGTTCATTAATAAAGAAAATTTGGTTGTTGTCGTAGTAGTGGTTTGGTGGTCGTGGTTTGTGAGGATAGTGGTATCTATTCCTCCATAGCGTTTTTGCTACACTCGACTACCTTGAAGTCCGCATTTGACCAGTACCTGTTGTTCATTGTCAGTCTTCAGACTCCAGACCCCGGGAGCAGCAGTGTGGAAAACTCACGCAACAGGCTCAACCTTAAACTCGGCCACTGCACACCCAAACTGCTTCAACAAATTCGCCTGCTTCGAGTCGAGCTTCTTCCCCTCTACACAGACCGTGTACGGCTGGTCCAGGTGCACCTTCCCCTGCAGCAGCTTCGTCGGCATGCCCAGCGCCCTGACGGTGCTCTCGAGCGAGTGCGCGAGCGGCACGTCTTCCTCGGTCGGGATCTGCCCGCCCATGCTGTACACGGTGCCCTCGGGGACGACGAACGTGAGCGGCGCAATGCAGTTCATGCGCGCATAGTCGGCCTTGATGAAGGTCTCAAAGTACTCGATGATCTCCTGCGCGGGCCGGTTGGTGAACAGCAGGCCGACGTTGCCCGCGAGGTGCTTGGAGAGGGAGGAGAGGTTGTCGCGGTATTCGTCGGCGGCGGTGGTGCCGAGGGCTTTGGCCATGACTTTGGTTTTGCCGAAGAAGAGTCTGGAGGAGTTGGAGTTAGTTAGGTATCTTATATATATATATATTGTCTGTGGGAGACAATTGTTTGAGGAGGGCTTGGGTATGGAGGTATCTACCTGCAGTCGCTGAGGTCTGTTCGCACCTCCTTCAAATGGGTGTTGCGCATGTTCTCGACGGAGAAGACAAGACATGTCTGATACTCGTCGAGGGACTCCCGGACCTTTGTGAAGAGACGCTCATTGTTCTCTCTTCCGGGCTTCTTCCCCGTCTTTGTCAATGATACGACCTTTGATCTCTTGCTGCGAGGCATTGCTGTTTATATTTAAGTGTATATTTTTAAATGTCCTAGCGTTGGGGGGTTGAGGGTTGAGGTTGATGTTGGGAAGGTTAGAGCTTAGGGAAGATTTGTTTTGTCGCCCAACTTTTTTTTTTCTTTGCGAAAGTTTCTGTGCGGTGTGGGGTTAGTGCAGTGCGGCGCCTTACCGCTTTGGGCACTGGGATGGGTGGGGCCAAGCGATCTGGTTGGAGCCTCTTCAACGTCGCATCCTGGGAAGCTTGGTTTGGTGGGTGCTGCTACTATCATTGACACTCACTCGGGAAACCCCCAACACCACAGCAGAAACAGAAACAGGGGTATAGAGAGGCATCTTGAAAATGCTGCCCTACATGGACTACATCCAGAACGCATTCTACGAGGCCACAGACTGGAACCAGGACAATTCCTATGCGCAGCTCACGGCCACAGCTCGCGGTACTGCCCCCACACTCCATCCTCAATATCATACAATGCACAAAAGCTAATAAAACATATCCCCAACCAGCGCTGCTCGACTTTCCCACCCCCCGCGGCCTCAAGATGAACCTCTCCTCCCTCTCATCCCCCAACTTCGCCACCACCTACGGCTTCGGCAATGTCGGCGTCGTCGACGGCTCCGTATCGTACCTCTGGTCGTCGCTCCCGCTCACAAACGTGCAGCGCAGCTGCGACGTCGACCTGCACGCCGTGACGCAGGGATACCGGCAGCTGCAGGAGCTGCGGCGCCCGGACGACCCGGCAGATTGGGAGGTGTGGCAGGGCGGGAACAGGATCGATGGAAGAAGTGGGCGCCGCCGCTAAGTGCATTTTTCTTGCCCCCCCCCTCTCTTGGTGTAGGGTGTGCTGATTTTTTGGTGGTGGTGCTTACGGGGTGGAAGATACACTGCTGTGTGGGAAGATGTATTTACCGGCGTCGCAGCTGGAGGCACTGTATTTGAGGAGGATGTCGCCGACGCAGCAGATTAGACTTACGGCGGTGAGCGACTCGAAGCTCAAGAGTGGTGGGACGGTATGTGTGCCATTTCTGGTCTTTATATCTGTGAATTGGAGGGTCCGGAGCTTAATTGAGACACCGGGGGATGGTGGGTGTAGATAATGGCCATGCTCCAGCAAGACACCGGCAAGTGGTGTTCAGAGTATCTCTACATCACCGACGGTGCTCTCATCGGCGCCCGCGGGCTCTACAACTTTGGCCGCGACCCCCGCAAATCAGACCCCCCCACCGCAACCACCGAGTATGCCGGGCGATTTAGCATGGGAGCGGAACTCTACTACGGGATTCTCAATAAGAGCGCCGGAAGTCTGTAAACCCACTCCTCTTCATTTTTCGTTTCACTACTATACTGAGACGCTGCCAGTGTCGACGGGATTCCGCTACAGCACGCTCCCAACACATCCCGGTACGCCATTGACTATGACCCTAACCCTAAACCCACTCATGGGACATCTCTCGGCCACCTACGCCATCAGAGCCGGAACATCGGCGGCGTTTTGCAGTAGGTTCGAGTTTAATATGTACTCGTATGAGAGTGACTTGTCGGTAGGGTGTGAGCTGTGGAGACGCCGCTCGAGCGAGAGTAAGGCACCGGGCGGTGAGAAGAAGTCGCTGAGGGAGGAAGAAGAGGAGGAGGAAATCAAAGATAATTTCGCCGGTGTCCTGAAGGCTAGGGTCTCGCAGAGCTTGGGGATTGGGCTGCTGTGGGAGGGGAGGATCAAGCATTTGCTTTTTAGTGTGGGTGCGGGTATTGATTTGAGGAGGAGGGATGCGCCGTTTAGAGCTGTGGGGCTGGAGTTGCAGTACTCGTCGTGAGTGTGGTTGTAGGTGTTGGTCTTGTTGACCCCGGGGCCCTGCTGTAAATGATAGTTAGAACGTGTTTAGCAGATGCCTTCACAAACGGGTTATGGGATGGCATCATGGGCAGAATCAAGGAATTGATGGCTCCAGTGATAAAGTAGCATACTCTTGTATCAATTCAGAGCCGGATGGCCTTAAAAGATAAAAAAACAATTATCTCCTTAATGATTATTTCGTCTTGGCCAGTTGGTCTAGTGCTCAAAAGTTCGTGCCAACAGCATTCGTCAGCACGTGGGACCCTCTGACGCCGCTTTACCAAAAAAGAGCCCCGCAGGCCAACCTCTCATCCCGCCAAAAAACATCTCCGACTTATCACACCACCCCCCACCACCAGATATAATCCAAGATGACGAGCATTTTCCAAGCCCCTAGAAATAACGGAACCCTTTGTACGTCCCAATGCACCCCCCTATGATGATAAAGAACCCCTGCTGACAAACACACGCAGTCCTGGGAGGAGAGAAGATCACCGGCGCGGAGGTTCGAGATCAGAATGGTAAGGGGGTGGAATCTCAGTGTTTCCATCGATTAGGTGGCACCAACTAATACGCTTCATTGAAGTTCTTGCTACCCAGGCCATTGCGAACATTGTTAAGAGCTCATATGGGCCTTCCGGGCTCGACAAGATGATGGTGGATGACATTGGAGATGTGACCGTAACGAATGATGGAGCTACCATCCTGAGTCTTTTGGACGTTGAGCATCCCGCCGGAAAGATCTTAGTGGACCTTGCCCAGCAACAGGATAAAGAGGTTAGAGATAGGCCCCGAGTTTTAGATGGAACAATTCAGCTCCTGGATGGATTCTACAATGCAGCTACTTTTCTAACACTTTGTTTGACGGCGGTTCTACTTAGGTTGGAGATGGAACAACATCGGTCGTGATCATTGCCGCCGAACTCCTCCGAAGAGCAAACGAACTTGTTCGCAACCGGATACACCCTACCACCATCATCACCGGATACCGTCTCGCCCTCCGGGAGGCTGTAAAGTACATGCAGGATGTCATGTCCATCAAGGTCGAATCACTCGGAACCGAAACCCTAATCAACATTGCAAAGACCTCCATGTCGTCGAAAATTATTGGTAGTGACTCTGAATTCTTCGCCAGGCTGTGTGTCGACGCGATGCAGGCTGTCAAGTCCACCAACGGCCGAGGAGAGGTCAAGTACCCTGTTAAGGCTGTCAATATCCTTAAGGCTCACGGAAAGGGTGCTTTGGAATCTATGTTGGTAAGGGGATATGCTTTGAACTGCACAGTTGCCTCCCAGGCTATGCCTACCCGTATACAGAACGCAAAAATTGCTTGTCTCGACATCAACCTTCAGAAGGCACGCATGGCTCTTGGCGTCCACATCACCATTGATGACCCACAGCAGCTCGAGGCTATCCGGGAACGTGAGGCCTCAATGGTCCTGGACCGTATAAAGTTAATTTTGGATGCTGGTGCAAATGTTATCTTTACAACTAAGGGTATTGATGATCTATGTTTGAAGACTTTCGTTGAGAAGGGTGCTATGGCTGTCAGGCGTTGCAAGAAGGAGGATCTGAGGCGGATAGCGAAGGCTACCGGAGCCACTCTTATCAGCTCGCTCTCAAACTTGGAGGGCGAGGAGGTGTTTGAGCCCTCATCTTTGGGAACAGCTGAGGAGGTTGTGCAGGAGCGTATCTCTGACGATGAGTGCATCTTGGTCAAGGGTACCAAGGCGTTCTCCTCCGCCTCCATTATCTTGCGAGGCCCCAACGACTACCAACTTGATGAGATGGAGAGGTCTGTTCACGACTCTCTCTGCGCTGTCAAGCGAACTCTTGAGAGCGGAAAGGTCGTTCCAGGAGGTGGTGCCGTCGAGACTGCTCTGAGCATCTACTTGGAGAACTTTGCTACCACCCTTGGCTCCCGTGAGCAGCTCGCAATCGCCGAGTTTGCTTCTTCCCTCCTCGTCATCCCCAAAACTCTTGCCGTCAATGCCGCGAAGGACTCTTCCGACCTTGTTGCCAAGCTCCGGTCATACCACGCTGCTAGCCAGACAGCTGATGAGACCGACACCAAGAAGAAGAACTACAAGAACTACGGTCTGGACCTGTTGAGGGGTAAGGTAACGGATGAGGTCAAGGCGGGAGTTTTGGAGCCAACCATGAGCAAGGTGAAGAGTTTGGTACGTTATATATCTTCCTCTCTGTTCTTCTTACCTTTGGGAGGGTCGATATACTCATAAATTGTTTTTGGTGATATAGAAATCAGGTGTAGAGGCTTGTATCGCGATCATGAGAATTGATACCATGATTAAGTTGGATCGTAAGTTATCATTACCTACATAGACACATACCAGAAACTAACTCAGTCCCTTTTTTACAGCCGAACAACCACAAGAAGACCCCCACGGTGGCCACTAAGCGCGCAGACGATTCAAAGGTGGCAGGAGCCTATGGTGAAGGAATATAAGCGTACTTATTTTTTTCCTCGTTAATGCTGTATCTTAAATGAACCTAGTTGGCTAGAGAAAAAATCAAACTGGCGCCTACTCTTAAGTGGGGAAATAATATCCATCGTATAATATCAAAGGTACATGTATCTGTGTGTGCTTAGCAACTTGGGTGACGGTGATTGAAATAGTACTCAATGTAAATCAAGTCTTGGGTTTCTTGCAGGAGATGGGGTGTTGGTTAAGAAGTTTGTCTTGATGTTTGCTTGATACTGATTCGATACGCGGTATTACTGTCACGCTTACTGACATAACTTCGATGGCTCTTGTGTGGACTCCCAGAATTGTAGATATGGAACAAGCCCATAAACTCTGTGTGTATGCATAAACAAAGCAGATGCATTACGCCCAGACAAAGGTGACCAGGAGTCAAGTGAATATGGGCCGAAGACACACTCAAGCAACCACATCCACGCAGAAACCTAGAGGCTTAACTGTTAGTTTGCCAGGAGAGGACATCGTAACATGATCAAGCACGAATAAATATATTTGTTCATGATTCGTCTTGAAGTGATATTAGGTAGTGAGAAGGCGCCAGAGTACATACATGTATCGATGTTCTCGATCTCGTCCAGTCATTCATGCAGCCCATTCAGGAATCCCCATGATTGTTTGGTTCAGTCATGAATGGACCAAGTGGTAGGGCATCAAGATGGAATATCCGGGAGACCTATGGCCCCTTTCCACTGCAATAATGTCTGCCAACTTTAGATAGCCAGACACTCTCACTCGATTGCGATGATGACAGCCTTAGCAGCTAAACTTGCCTGTGCTTCCTTAGAACCCTCATTTCATGTCAATGTTAGCTACATAATATTGGGGATATCGATGGGAGTAAAATTAATTACCAAGCAATTATTAGTCCATTGGGGTAGAATATCGGGGTCCATGCGACTCGTCGAATATTTCCATGCACTCTACATGATAGCGGGAAGATCCAAGTCGTGCTGCAGATAGCTTGAGAAAAATTATCGAGCTTAGGGCTTTGCCGTTTACTCAACCTGGGTTGGAGTGGTATATGGTATTTATCCGTAGCTAGACTAAAGGTATCTCATTAATCTATGGACGAACCGGTCCATTGTCAACTAGATAAAGTTTCACCCTCGCTATCGGGGTATATTTTACTTCTGGTCTTGCGCTCATCACGTGCACTCGCTCATCACCGTCTAAGGCTGAGAGACTAGCAATAGGAAGGCGGGCTCTTTGTTAATACCTTGACCTTAATAACTTCTCTTTAAAGAGCTGGACATGCCCAGGCCCGCGGTCTCGTACTTTCCCTTACGCGCGCCCAAACCAATAGTCAATTTTGATCATCTCTAAAAAATCTCTCAGGAAGGGATAAAATACAAACAATCAGATATCCTCGCTGGGACACATATGCATGCTATAAATATAAAGCTGGGCACATGATGCGAGGAAATGTTGTAATCCCGAGTGAGAATATGTGAATCTACAGCACAGCGTGGCTCACGAGGGACCACTTACCAAAGCGGGCACCATGCACTAAGTACATATGCAATTGTAAAAGACCACCTGCCACCACATTTCGTTTGTTGCAGATGGCTGTAATTCAGACCAGAAATCCTCTAATAAAGAGCAGGCATGGTACGGTTCGTGGTATCCCCTCATGATCATAGTTGTATAATACCACAGATAGTAGGAGCATCCTTATTAAAATGTGGACCTACGAATATATATATAATCGTCATATTCCACGATCAGGGCACAGTAAATGACAACATAGCTGTCACTATAAATGTAATTGATGCTGACGTATAACTGCCTTCGAGTGATATTGTATGATCGAGATTATTATCCCAGACGGAATTACATGTCAGAGTGGTGCCCAATATATATACCGATTTGCGCTGTACTCTTGGACGACTTATTTCGCTCACGCCCGGCCGTAGCCTGTATTCATGAATTATGTTATTCGGATTTATGATTTACTAACTTGAAGACTGAAATATGCCACCCACCTAATCGCTGGAACCCTCAACCCCGGAGGGGGTAAAACAATATTGAGATAGAAATATATTTTATAAATCAAATACTCCAATTGATCATCAATCTTTATAATTAGGCAAGCCTACCCTCAGTCCCCTCAGTCACACATCCATAAAACGACCACTTAGGGTTCTCCGTCTCATCTATATCAATATTAATATTAACAGTGGCAGTAGCAACCCTCACCTTAATTCCTTTCAACCCAGTTAGTTCTACAGGTCCTAAATCACTCATGTCCTGTTCAAATATCCACCTCAACCCACATACACCTCTCAGCCATGGCATCACAATCTCCTCCCCCAACGACCCCAAGCTCTCGAATACTAGCCTTGTCAATGGAATCCTTCCACATACATCACCATTCTCTATTGCATTAATACCGTGACCTCCTATGAGAGTGCCAGAAAGGAGGACATGGAAGGAGAAAGGCAAGGGTAGAGTGGTAGATAGGAAGCTGTAATGAAGTTGGTAGATCGTGTAACTCTCTGGGTAGAGTAGGCGGAAAGCGGGGGAGTGGGTGAGTGTATTGGGGAGATAGTATGGAGGTATAAGTGAGATGTAGGGGAAGCGTTGGCGTGCTGGGGAGCAGGAGAAGGAGGGGCGCCGTGGGGGGTAAGGGTTTTTCCGGGGAGAACCTATCGCACCAAGATCTAGGTCTATAGCTTCCTTTCTGGGGTTTTCGAATGAATTAAGTGTAGATATACAGTCCGCTGACTTCGTATGTTTGGGGTCTTGGAGAGCAGTCATTAGTGGATCTTTTACTTCCGATCGGATTGTAGTATTGGAAATAGATGTCTGTTTTGCGGTCTCGGAAGACTCGAGGACCACTTCTGTATGGTCTGATCTCTCGACTGGGCCTGGGGTTTCTGCTTCGAGTTGTATCTTGCTCGTTTTGGTAGTTGCTCAAGAGGTAATGATCAATTTTACCTCTTTTTTTCTTTGTTCACCTCCATATGTAGAAAATCTTGCCAATCCAGTCATTTGTGCTTGATTATATGCTGGTTGGAAAAAAACGCCACTTATGTGAGGTGCCTTTTTCATAGCGGGCTTGAAAGAAAATATCTCCCATTCAGGAGGGAAAGGATAAGGAACAGCGATATACGTAGTGTGATTCCTGCTCGTGTAGTTCGAAAACTCCTTTGTTAGGTGAATATAAGATATGTACATGGGACCATAAGAATAGGACAAAGGTATGTTATCAATTCCAATACTTTACTAGGTGTCATTGTAGGTAGTGAGTCACGGGAGCGAGTCACAAACATGGAAATGAGATGAAACCCTAACCCTGTTTTTGAGCTCCAGATTAAATTTTTTGACTCCCACTAAGTATCGGTGAATGAAGAGTCATCCTAGATTTGTGCTGGCTTTCCGGTATTGAAGAAAGTATGCTGATGTGGTAGTGACCTTGAGAAATGCACGGATAGCAATTTGCTGGTTATGACTCGGAGGTCTCGAGAAATGCTCAAAGAAATCCATTGCTAAGGCTAAAGTCCTTTAGCGACATGTACTTAACGAGCCTTCGTCCTAGATGCGAACTAGGTATACTTAAGTACATATACTTCCTTTATTTTCTGTAGAAACGGAAGTGTGATTTTGACGTGACGATAATTTAAACGATGGATTAGAGTGCACTTTCTATATTACACATGTAGCATTAGTATATGTAGGTATGTACATGTAGTCCGAGCCAAGTCGGTTAAAGACTCAGCGGCTCAAGCTTTTCTTTCTCTTGGTATCTGACTGTTCTAACGGGTAGCCGCTGTGGCAATTATGCCAAGTCCCAGTCAACGACCCCTCATACCTTGATAAACTGACTCTTCTCCTCCAAAATTCTCCATTCCTCCACAACTTGAATTCCCCTAGTCCATAACCAAAAAGTTCTCCTAGGATAACAATTATCTATCAAAACTATTTTCCCGCACTTTTAAACAGTCTCACTACTTCAATGGCTGACAACGGCATTCCCCCGGTTGTAGCTGCTGATGCTGCTGCCGCTGCTGCTACTGAGGCACCAGCAGTTGATATTAAGGCGGAAGATATCCAGGCCGATAATGCTGAAAACATTGATAGCGCCCAAGAAAACAAGCAGGGGGGCGCGAAGTCAAAGAGGAAGAGTCTCTTGACGTTCCAACAGAGACTAAAGACGAGCCTGTAGCCGATGTTAAAGAAGAGAATAAAGATGAGCCTGCTTCTGCTGACGCGAAGGAAGAGACAAAAAATGAACCCGCCGCCGATGTCAAGAAGGGAGAACCAAAGACCGAGGCAACAGGTCATAAGACTTGGGTGCAAAAATTCCGGAGCAACGTCAAGTTCGATGCTACAGTGCTTCCTGAGTCAGATGATCCAGTCGAGATGCGCAAGCAGGTAAGATTTTTTAGCCTATTCCTCTAGGCGACTCTTGTATTTTGCAAAATGTTAATAATTCCCAATTTTGTGCTGCAGGTCGAATTCTACTTTTCGGATTCAAATTTGCCTTACGACAAGTTTCTCTTCGGCCTTGTCGGCAAGGAAAACAAGCCAGTACCTCTCAAACTTGTCGCATCATTTAAGAGAATGAAACGTTTCACCAACCGTGATACACTCGTCAAGGCTTTACAAGAAAGCGAAGTCTTGGACCTCGCTGGAGATGCCGGAGAAGAAACCATCAAAAGGAAGATCCCATTGGACATCACCGAAGTTATTCCCCGGAATACACGACGGGAGGAAGGGCCAGAATCCGTAAAGTCCATGGCCGAGTCCGCCAATGTATACAACCGAACCGTCGCCGTCGGGCCGATCACTGATAAAGCGATCAATAAAAGCATCTATGCGGTATGTTTTGACACCATCTTATATCTAATTCATTTTGGAAGGCGCATAACTTATGATTATTTCTATAATGAACAGAAAGGGTTTGGGGTAGAAACTCCTTCTACTCAGGTGGACATCGAAAAGTTTTTCGACCCCTTTGGTCCTATCTGTGGAGTCAGGCTTCGCCGCACAAACTATGGAATTTTTAAGGGATCAGTCTTCGTCGAGTTCACCAGCGATGAAGCCTCAGAAAAATTTATGGCATTGGAGGAAAAACCTAAGTGGGAAGGCAAAGACCTATTGTGGAAATCAAAACTGGAATATGTTGAGGGGAAAATTCAAGACATTAAAGACGGAGTAGTACAGCCAAAACGCGGTAATGAGAGGAAGAATAGCGGTGATGGGAAATCTGGTGGTGATAGGGGTAAAAATAATTCCAACCGCGGCGGTGGTGGTCGTGGTGGTAACCGGAATCGTGGCGGGCGTGGCGGGCGCGGAGGACGTGGAGGACGAGGAGGGCGCGGAGGGTCCAATGACAGGCACAATAATAGAAGCGACAAGCCTAACAATCCCGAGGGAGCCAAGAAAAACGAGAATGGCATCCCACAGCTCAAAAGCAGCTCGGAAGTTAATACCTCTACTCAAAATGAAGCCGCTAAAAGGAAGGCCGCAGACGATGGCGAGAATGGCTTGAAGAAAGCCAAAACTGATGCATCCCCGGTTGCCTGAGGCTTCGCATAATAATGGCAGTGGTGATTGACCCCGATAGGGGGTATCTGTAATATAGACAGGGTTGGTTTCTTTTACTTTTACTTTTCATTTCTGTTAAATACTCAGGAAATATTTAAAAGTGCTTTTTTTGTGTCTCTTTCTCCATCTTGTATTTTTTAGGCAGGAAAGAGAAACTTCTCGGGATCTTGTCCTCACAAGCGTTATGTTATGATCGTCGTAACTTGTTTGCAAAGCTACGGATAACGAACAAGCCAATTATTCCAATCGCCCGAGACGTTACCCGATCAATTAATCCTGGGAATAATTCCTAGATTTTGGTATAAGTATCTCGGCGTGCGATATCTTTTACGAAGATATAGTTCTTGGACATAAGTCACCGTCCTCGCGCCAAAACCCAAAAACGGCGAAATCAGCCCTTTTCAAATAGCCCCAGCACCCACAATTTTAAGATATAACTTATACAAATTGGTAGAATACAAATTAATGATTAGGAAAATCATCTGGAAGTTCTTAATCTCAAAAATAAACACTGTAACATTGTTGGTATAGCATTTTATTCAGCTGTTCTCTGAAACTGTGCCAAGATCTCAAATTTGTATGGGGTCTTGGCAAAATTCGACCAAATCCCATAACTCTCCACATATTTGATGAAAAGAGCTATAGCTTAGAATTTATGTCCCTCTATAGTGTATATTCCTATACTGAAAGTTATATGGTAATTGATAAAGAATTGAGGGTTCGAGAAGGTGCCCATTTTGGTCAGTTTTGGTGTGTTTTGCTTAAAGTTGGTGACTTATGTACAATAGAGTAGAAATTCATCGTAGAAATATTGATAGCTTTATCTCAAGCCGGACAATCGTTATGATATCAGTACATCAATGTACCTACATACTCGAGTAGGCCTTTGGGTGCAATTATATTGCTTCAATAAATCGAAAGTTATGTAAATATTCGATCTATCATTGGTATCTAAGAGCAAGCAAATCTAGTTGTGTAATGGACATACCTACATGTAGGTACTTAGCAGTAAAAACATGAAGTAGATAGTGGCTGAGTTTTATGTACATGTATGTAACACCATATATCTGGCAAGATCTGTGTGAGTCACCTCGTATCTATCTAATCTTCACAGCCCTGTAGCTGAAATGACACTACTGATGCTGTAGTAGCGCACAGGTAATAAGTACCTGTTGTCCTCGTTCTCAAGCTTGCCCCTCTTAAACTTCTAACACATTACCGAATGCAATGGACCTCCCACCACTCCTACAACTTCCAACAGAGATACTCATAAACATCCTCAAATTCACAGCTTCCTCTCCCGGTTCTTATATAACACTTTTAAAGCTTGCACAAACCTGCTCACACCTGCACCACGCGATTTTCTGTTCAGAAAATGATTCTATATGGCGTGGTGCTGCATTGACGCTCGGGATTCATGAATCTTTGCAACTCGAACAAATCCTGTATCCTGGCTCTTCAGCCGTCCAACGTCGTCTTTGGCAAAATGTTGTAAAGTTGAGTCTCGGGTGGTCGCGCCCATTTCCTGTCGCAGCACCAACAGCACCACGATTACAAAAGGTTCCAAAAGAATTGCCTCCACCAGATAGGAACGGAGACTGGTTTGGAAGGAGAACTATAGAACTGTTCACTTATGGCGAAGGAAGTCGCAAAGGTGCGGCATACTTGAGTAAACACGCCAGTGTCAAAGATGATGGCTGTGTGGTTTTCCAGATACGACCTGAGAAAGCTCTTACAGCCACAAATTCTATGACTAGACTTGTTACCGGTGTTTTGGATCCTGCATTCGGTAAGGTACAAGCAGTTGCACTTGAGTGGAAAGCTCAAAATCAATGGACGGCGGCACCTTTCCCTACATCAGCTGGTTTCCTTGTTGAGGAAAAGAATGGTGAATATAGAGTGCGCGCGGTAGATGCACCAGAAATGGGGTTATCACAATTATGGAACCTAGGAAAGAGAGCTCCTGACCGCTTTGTTGCAAATGGGGAGATCCTAGTTGCGGTGACTTTTCCAGACCCGACTAGCTCAGTCGCGGCAACGCAGATTCCAAGTAACTTGTTATGTGTGGAGTCTGTGGGGACAAACACAGAAGCGGAGAGTAAAGTGGTATGGGAGTTTGACTTGAGTAGAGAGTGGGTAGAGGATGAACCGTATACTAGCTTTCCACATCTCAAGAATTTCCACATCACAAGGTAAGTTCTTTTCTTCTTCGAATCTATTATCAACTATAAATAATAACTATTACATATAGAAAGCATCTTGTTTGCCTCGTGACTCGCCATCCATCTTCAACTCTTGGGAAACTCACAAGAACTAATTTCATTGTGATATCCCTTGAAACTGGAATCGTCGTAAAAACAATGAAGTTTCCAGTTAAATGTATATCTACGAACACACGCGCCGCGTTCACCACCGCCTTCTCGCACGATTTTTTGCTGACGGACACATACATTGTATCGGGGGGTATCGGGGGAGTTCTGTTGGTCTGGGACTATTCTAAAGATCGCAAAGGGCCGATATATGAAATACCAAACCCCATTGACTCCGATGCAAATAACGTCGAAGATACTCCAGGATTTCCTCGGCAGTACTCATCTCTATCCTTGAGTGTTGATGGTCGATTTGTAGGGGCCACGACTAGTGATAAGTTATGGCTATTCGATATGGTTGAAAAGAAGGTCCACGGAATTTATAGTAATGGTCGCAAAATCAAAAAGAGCGATTTTTATACCAAGAATCCGTTTGATGATTTTCCTGCTGGTGTATGGTGTTGGTGGAGAGAATGGCGAAATTGTAGGAACGTCAAGACAGGAGAGGTGGGGTGGGAGGAGATAAAGGGCTCCGAAGGAGTTGCATATCTGACGGATCTAGGCAATGAAGGAAGTCTTATGAATACGAGGGGTATTTTGCAGAATACAGGAAGTCCTGGGGAGATAACATATCTACTACATGCAAATGACGGGAATGCGCCCACCAGAGGGGTTGTGGGGAAAGGATTTAGAGGAGTAAGGTCGTATGAAAAGAGTGTATATTGGATGGGTTATAAGGGGGTGATTCTTGATTGGGCCTTCTTGGTGGTGGTACCAGTGGTGGTTGCACTGATTGTTGCAATTCTGATTCGGTTTGAGGCAGTTTGAAGCGACCCGTCGATCTTATCATTGATTTTTAAGTTTATCATAGTTTAAATAGCGAGTTGTTCATCTCATGGAATTTGTTGTGCATTCCTTTACCCAAATGTTCATTGCTGTGTGGTCCTTCACAATTGATCACTCACTGAAGACTAAGATCTTATCTTATCTTGACCGAAGCCCAAAGCATTTGCCTATTATGTACCTAAATTGTTCGCGCACGTGAAAAATAACCCAGAGTAGAATGGTATTCAGGTAAGAAGCACGCGCTAACAGAGTTTTATCATTGAGGAGGCTCTGCTGCAGGGAGCTCATGCGATGTGATGGTGGGGCTGCAGCGTGGCGGAGAGAGCTAGGGTACGAGAACCTTCGATGGAATGATGATGGTTGGCTGTTGAAGTGAACTTTGGCCTTGTTTAGTGGGGGAAGGGGGGAAAAGCGTTGTGTTGTTTGTTTTGGCCTCAACGTCGTGAGACCAGTGCAATCAAAAACAAAAGCAAAAAGCCACCACAAGAAACAAATATCCTTCCTGCTGAAAGTGGAACAGCCTAACCCCTCGCTGGACGACCTCATTTCATTTCTGTGCCGTTCGGTTCATCGTCATTTCATCCCCTGCGTCAGTTCGTCTCTCGTCCCTCACCCTTCTCCTTTCTGCTGTGAGTAACAGACAGTACATACTCTACACCACCTACCACCACCAAACTATCTACCTCAGCACAGAACACTACCGTACCAAACAATAACTCTGTTCCTTGCCGCATTTGTACATTCCAGTCGCACGAGCGGCCGCTTACTTTATCGGCCTCCTTGCGCTCCGGATCTCTCTCCTCAACCGTACGCGAGAGTGTTTCCTCATTACCTACCACCTCTGCACGGGCCCCCTCTCGGTAATTTGATTTCATCACCACTCGGTGCTTAAAGACTCGGTCGCCCGTCCCTGTCTTCATTTGCTCTACAACTTTCCCGGGACACCAGTTGCCAGTTGCGAATCATGTCTGTTAGAGATACACAGGCAGAAAACCTTTTGGCTCTGCTGAAAGGAAGTGGTGAGTTGATTCTTCCTACCCTCGCAGCTCATATTTCGAGATTTGCGACCTCGACCCCAAATATTTAGTACAGAGATTCTAAATACGGATATATGGTTATAGATGTTGATCAGAAGATTGCCGAATTTGCAAATATCAAGTCGCAGGTCAAGCACCAACATGTGCAGGTATGACACCAACCCAGGATTATACCGCCGAATTCTTCGAAACTAACTCAAACCCAGACAGAAGCCATAGGCCCCTTATTCGAAGCTTGTCGTCTCGGAGTCTCGTCCCCTAACAATACACTATCTCTTCACGCCCTCTCCTGCCTCGGACATCTGATTAAAAGAGTTACCCTCCAAGACGTCGCTCGCATCCGCCCGCATGTCGCCCACATACTCCCAGTTCTCATTGAAAAGCTCGGCGATCAGAAAGACAGGTGTCGATCAGTAGCTCTGACTGGATTATTGGATCTATGGAAGAGTTCTGGCCCTGATGTGGAGAGAGGGATTAAGGAGCTTGGTTTTGGGAGTAAGATCCCTAGGTGCAGGCAGGAGAGTTTGAATTGGCTGCTGCAGGTTCACCATAGCCAGCAGGGCTTTTCTTTCAGGAGCTTTACACCGTTTATGATCAAGATGCTTGAGGATGCTAGCGAGCCTGTTAGAGAATCTGCCAAAGACGTTGTTGTGGAGCTATTCAAGTGAGTGGCTTTGTTCCTATACAGAAAAGTTTTAAGCTAACCTTCTGAAAAGGAATGCGCCGGATCATGCAAAATCGGACCTTAAAAGAGAGTTACAGAATCGACAAGTCCGAAAAGCAATTGCTACATATATTGTGAGTCAACTTGGGATACCTGGCGGCGAAGCAGAAATGCGGAATACTGTGAGATCCCCGGAAGGACATGAAGAAGAAGTGGAAAGTGTGAAGGGAGGAAAAAGCGTTGCAGGTAGTATGGCTTCGTCGGTTTATGTTCAGAGCATGCCCGGAAGTGAGATGGAAAGTGGTATCGAACCATTATACGTCAACACGAATCGTGAGCTGGAGGAGATTATGCACAGTATGGTCGATGCATTTGAGGGAAGAGAATCAGAAGGAAACTGGGCAGCTAGGGACAAAAATGTCACGAAGCTTAGGCAGCTGGTCAGAGGAAACGCCTATAAAGATTACCAAACAACGTTTCTTGTGTCATTAAAATCGCTCCTGGACGGCATCCTTAAGACGGTCAACTCTCTGCGTACAACAGTAGCCACGAATGGTGGTCAGCTATTGAAAGATTTAGCGAAAATCATTGGCCCGGGCCTTGACCCTATGATGGAGATCCTCATGATGAACCTTATTAAGCTCTGTGCAGGAACGAAAAAGATTACATCGCAATTGGGAAATGTCACAACAGCTGTGCTGATTTCAAACATTTCATATCATGTGAAGCTTGTACAACAACTACTAATTGCATGTAACGACAAGAATGTTCAACCAAGGAGCTATGCAGCTGGGTGGTTAAGAATCCTTTTGGAGACTCACATAGATCAAAAGGGGTATATCGAACATTCTGGGGGGACTGATGTGATTGAAAAGTGCATCAAGAGGGGCTTATCAGACGCAAATCCGGGGGTAAGAGAAGGGATGAGATCAACATACTGGCTGTTCGCCTCCATTTGGCCGGCGCGAGCTGAGGCGTGAGTGATCCTTTTCAATCGTTGAGACTAATGCATCCAAATACTGACTTTTATAGGCTTATGGATACTCTGGACTCAAGCTCGCAGAAACTACTCCAAAAAGGCAACCCGAACCCTGGCGCAACAGCAGCACCAAAAGGCGTATCAAATCTACGCCAGCCATTAGGAAGAGGCCCTGCTCCAGGAAGGCCTTCAGTAAAGGAGGCGATTCTTGCGTCGAAGAAGAGCCGTGGAGAGCTTAGACCTCAAGCTGGGCCTACTGATATGGGGCCTCCTGCTGCTACTCAAAGCGGTCTGGCCTCTGCGCCTCTTAGGCCCCAGAGACCGCATGTAAAGACAAAAGCTGCTGTGCCTGAAAGAACGCACGCAGATGCCCCATCTGTAAAACGAGAATTAAGCCCCTCGGGCGCATACCAATCTGGCCAAAGGACGTCCCCGCTACAAAATTCTCGTACGAATGGTGTACGGTCACCTCCATTATCGCCTCCAACAAGAAGCTTCCATGACAGGGCGGTTCGAATGCACTCAACGCCCCAACGTCAACAAAGCCCACTTATTGGTAGTTCTGGTAGAAAACTCACTGTACTGGAACAGTTGAATCACAGCGACTGGAGAGTAAGAGTTGAAGGAGTGGTTATAGTTGCCTGTCTTCTTGCCAAAAAGACACCCCCAAATTACGATGGCCAGAAAATGCCAACCCTTCCTCCGAGTGATGTGTTCGCACCAACTTTAGCAAAGCTACTCAATGATCCCCAACCGGAAGTTGTCGAACATGTCGTTGCGCCCGAGGTCCTTGCAGAATTAGTGAAAGTGGTTCCTATGGACCAGATTGTTCCTAAAGTACTCTTGCTAAGTGAGAGTGATGATGCGGAGCACTCCCAACCTATCATGTCGCACAGCATGCCGGCATTGAAAAAGTTGATGACGGAATCCGAATCTGCAGAAATGCTTTTCAAAATCATTACCAGTATGGGGGTATCCGGCGTAGTACCAAGGAAACTAGCTGTTGGTTCATTTACAACAACCCAGAAACGAAAGATTCTCCATGGTTGCCTCATCTGGATGTGCGAAATCGTGGAATCACATCTTAACGGTGCGCAGAACGAATTTTTGAGCGATTCCTCAAACTTCAAGCTATGGACCAATCGTCTGATAGCGATGTTAAACAACACAAGGGTACCGAATTACGGTCCTCTGACTACCCTGTTGAAGAACTTACAGAAGATGGACCCTGAGGCTTTCGATAAGATCCTGATGACGTTTGAGTCTCAGACTGTTAGAGATTTGAAAAAGGCCTGGGGAGTTAATGTTGAGGATGAGACAGAAGCGATAATCATTGAAGAAAAGGTCGCAGACGTGGAACAAGTTCTGGGGTCTGTGCCAAAGATTGGTAAAACGCCAATGAACTCTCAGCAAATCAATGCGTCATCGATGGCGAGAAAGGAATCATCCATTGACGATGATATTTCGTTCTCTAAAGATGATGAAGATATTACTATGATCAGCCTTCCCCCCCTCCCTCCTGCACCCAAAGTAGCCACACCAACACGAGCCAGAGAGAACGAAAAGAAACTCCAGGATTTGCCGCCTCTTCCCACCACACCAATCGACAATACTCCTGACCTCCTTGGCTTGTCAATGCGAAAGTCTGGACGCGCCGATGACAAAACTCCAACCATCAAGGTTTACCAGGATCCAATTGTCGAGTCCAATGGTGCTGTGGCTACAGGCGGGGACAAACAACAAGGTCCTGGATACGGTGAATGGAATAGGACAAAGATGAAGAAGCAAATCAGCAATTCAAACTTGCCAAAGACACCAGAGCACTCCTCCAGATTACTAATTACGCTCATCACAAGGCTACAAAATCGTGAAATCGATACCCAAGCATTCAGGAAGCTGATTGGAATCGCAAGAGAAAATCCGGTTAGGGCTGTCTTGCAAGAGAATAACGGGGAGCACCTGTATGATATCTGGGAGAATGGGAAAATGTTTGACGAGTTACTTATTGCTCTCCTTGAGTACCTTGATGATGAATCTGTAAGTTTAATTCCTCGAGGTTTTATTCGTGGAGCGTGTATTGACATACTATTATTATAGATTGATGTGGATAGAGCTGCGGATCTCCGAGTACAAGGGCTTCTAGTACTAAAACAGTTGCTTTCCAAAACTGCACCTTATTTTTCACGACATGAGCCGGCAGTTTTGCGTACACTTATTGATCTACGGGGAAAGTATCCAACACAATCACATGTCACCACCGGCATTGAAGAAATCAGCGAGGAGTTCTTGGCTCTTGTCGACCCATACACAGGAATTGAGGCTATCTTAAACATGATGTTGCCTAAGGATGCACCTGGATTTAGGCCGCCTACCCAAAGTTGGTGCATGGCTCTTAGTTGTCTGGCAGCACTAGTGAGGAGTAGTAAAGCATCAACCCTAGATCCCCAAATGCCTCGACTTGGCGTTTTGGCTGTTAAGGTTTGTGATTATCCAATATCTTCAAGTTTTGTATAAATGGACACTAATTTTTTTCTCAGTCTCTGGATGATGAGGATGCCGAAGTGAGGAGATCGTGCGTATCCATGTGCATTGAGATGCACTGTAAGTTGGGGAACGACGAAAGACTCTTTGATGAAATTTTTAAAGGACTCAAAAGTGGACACCAAAACCTTTTAACTTATTACTTTGCGAAAAGAGAAGGCGAAATGAGGCAATGACAGTAGTTGGCTTTGGGCATGTGCCCGTGGTAGCGCTTTGTACTGTTTCTTTTCTTTTCGTTATATAGGGTAAGGCTTGTGAAAAGTTGGTTTTTAAAGCATTGTTCATGTGGCGCCGAGGTTTATGGGGTGTTGTAAGAGTGTCAGCGGTAGTAGGTTTTGTTTTAATCACTTCTACTTTGGAGTTCCTTCTTTTCCTGTTTTTATTTATAGCTCGTGGTGTTTTGCGCATAATCAGGTTGCTTTTGTTAACTATTATTCCTTCCTTTGCTTTTATTTTCTGTATTTATCTTGGATTCGCATATTTCTATTTAGTTCTACCATGCGAGACTTTGACCTTTTTTATACCTGGGGCAATGGGGATAAATGGTGTTAATGCTTCATTTCATATAAACATTTACATGATTTCATAATTATGGCCTGTCAATTGAACTACTCGTCGCTGCTACAATGTGTTCCCTGTGTAATGATACAGACGACAAAATTGTTGGACTGAATCCACATCTTATACTTTGGAGGCCAAAGCTGAGTGAAGGTATTCGCTGAATACTAATCCATACCATTCCATCATGGAATGAAATGCACAACGGAAACCCTGCATAATATCAGCTCCGAAATGCACTCTATTTCTTTCAGGTCCGCGATTGCTTTGTTGCTTTGCTGCCCGCCATCAAACCCTTGGCATATATATACATACACAGCACCAGATACGCTACCCCCCCCCCCCAATGACACCAGCTCCACGGTTCTATGCATCCAGCAATTGTTTATTTAGAATCCTTGGCGCCTCTCTCGAACTCGATAATCTGCTTGCTCCAGTCTACCCCAACCACCATCCAATGTTAGCAAAGACCAAAGCCAAAGCCAAACCAAGCCAACCACACACAAAACACCTAACGGAAATGGGATGGGGATGAGGAGGAGCACTACTAACATCGACTCGGAAAGAACCGGTCAGGGTCTGGCATACGCGTGCGGTATTCCCGCTCGGCGCTCAACTTCCACATGAGCGCAACGCAGCCCCCGATGACGCCGAACATGATAGCCGTGTTTCCCTTCCAGTTTGCGGGTCGCGAGTACCAACCACCGGAGGGTGACCACACGTGCTTTGGGTATCTGTGAGAGGGGGAGCATTCATGTTAAAATACTGTGAGCCCGGACACCCCCCAGTGATGGATGTGGGGGGAGAGGAGGAAGAGGGGTGTAGTTACGGGATTTTGTCGCCGCCGCCCTGTGGGGTTTTTTTGTTAGCTGGAGCTTTCTCGCTTGGGAGCGGATGGAGAGGAGGTGAGAGCTACCATGACTGTTTTGTTTGTGGGTTAATTGGATTGTGGTGAGGTTGGTTTTGGGTATTGTTGGTGCTTGAATATTACAAGCTGTGAAGTGTGGAGGTCCAGGTTCCGGATGCCAAGAGTCAATGTTGATGTGGGGCCGACTGGGATCATGCCTTATCACTCGATGATATATTTTGTTTGAACACGAATCGTGATTGGTCGTTATTCAACGTCTAAAACGACCCTTAACCTATAATGGAAGGATGCCCATATCTCTACCGATCAACAGCATTTGAGGGAGTAGAAGATTTGGGTTCCCGGAATTTTCCATTGGTATCTTTTATTGTATTGGCGCGCCTCTTGGTGATTGGTTATCCTGACTACTAGGCCATCTCTAGGTTCAAAGACCTCCTCTCATGCCTGGGAAGCTCGTAGGCCACTAGTTGTCGAGTTCGTCCAACTAGAGACCCTCGTGTTCCTTATATCGCATCGCTCGCTCGTGTTTTGTGTTGGATTCAAAAATTCATAAAATACGCAACTGATAAAAGGAAAATCCAACGATGTCAGAGTGACAAAAATTTTTGAAAGGGGAGTAAGACATCCAGTACATGTAGAGACACCCGTAAAGTTAAGATTAGGTCTACTAGTGTTTGTGCGGGTTATTGGTCTTGAATTTTTTGATAACCCCGTGAAGTCTTGTTATACCCGGTGCGCCCAGGAGAGCAAATTATGCTTCATAGTCACCTAAGGGCTAAGAGGTATTAGTTAGAACCGCATTGTTCTCAACTACACACATCAAAGCCTCCGGAGGTTGTAGAGCAGCGTTTTAGGGCTCTAATATACCATTAAATTTACAAGGACTGCATGCGCAAACTAGGCCACGACTTGCTAAACGTCAGCATTAACCATCACCACCTTGGACATAGTTATATTTTTGCTGCCATTAAATTGTAACTGCAGCACATTGCTCTATCAATACATATGAATTCCAAGGTGAAGGCTCGATGGATCCGTGCCCCCCCCCCCCCCCCCCGCCTCGCCATCAGCAACCATGCCAGTTGAAAACCGAAAAATTCCCATCCGGACTGAATCCCCCAAGAAGATAATTAGCGAAACTCAAAACCAGGCGCGGAGTTAATAAAGCAGAAAGATAGAAAGAACAGCAAGTCAGGTTTTGAAAATAGAAAATTATTGCATTCATCTAGACAGCCTCTGTGGGCTGCCGATCATACGACAATACATTCTCATCATTCGTCTGTAAAGGAAGTGGAAGGGCAGGGGGCGAGAGATCGGGAGAAGGCTTTACTTACACTTGACATGGTAGATAGTCGGCTCGCTTCTAGATGATTGGTTAGTGATACACTGAATAATTGGTGCCAGAGATTGTAGCCCTCTTAGTAATGCACATCAAGATATTAGTAGTCGCATTGTAGATGGAATATTAGAGTTGAGGATGGGGCGAAGTTAGTTGAAAATAGTGTTGTGGATAGGTGGGGAATGGGAGTATGTAGAGGAGAATATAACAGAGGGATCCTTGGCTCGTGATGTCAAGTGCGGCGCGGGCCGTACCTAGCGAACTCATGTGGGTGGCCTTACAGGGCTCAGGGCTAGCTCGCGTCACAGATTATCACCTGCCACCCAGATTTAAGCTTTTTTTTTCTTTCGCAATGTTAATCGCCTTAAACGCGTTGAGACCCTTAGGTCTCTTACTATCTCCAGCATTCTAGGTATACTTAGATGGTAGCTTTTGAAAGTAGATATAGTTAAATTAATCATCGAGTGTTTTATCACTACGTGGTTATGGTCTATAAGAGGGTAGCCATGCCAGTAGGTCATGATGGTGCGCAAAGTTATACATCATATATAGAATCACTTTTTGTAAAACTTATCGACACATCTTTCTGGAGATCATTGGCCCTCGGTTATTACTTCGCTGTAGTGTGGTAGCACATATTGTAATAAGTAAAGATGTAGTACTTGTAGTTACATGTAGTGTCGTGGTATTAAGCCAGACTGAGAGGACACCACGGTCTGTACAAGTATAGGTGTTAGCAGCGGGTAGATAAAAAGAGCGGGGGACTCCATCCCGAGTATATCATCATCGATAGAAGTGATCAGAACCATACTGCATACTACATGTAGTCACTCAAGAGTGGAAGTTCACTGTCGATAAAACTACATGCGCTCACGAGCTGAGTACTACACGCACCTCCTTACATTGTTGCGCCCCTACGGAATTTACGTACATGGAAGGGGAACGAGGAAATATTTCAAACAATGTGGCCGCTTAGTTCTGGCCACTTCTTCTAATTACAAAGCTATTATTTCACGGGCCGGACCAGCGTAATGAAAGTCTGGCCTTACAGACGACTATATACAACTACAACTCGCCCCGCCCTCAAACCAACATGGACTCCCGCCGATAGTTATCATTAATAGGATGGAAGGTCTAGATTACATTGACTAACTTTTTCTCTTGGGTGATCTGTTTGCTACTACATGCTGGCCGTTGCCATCTACTAAATTCACGTGAGTGGTTAGCGTACGGAAATGATCAAATTACAAGTTTTCGGGTTTAGAGCGGGGTGCCTAACTACGGTCGTAATTAAACGATCCTAGGGACTAAAGGGGGAAGAGGTGAGTATCTCTAAGAATTGGGCCCCCGGGAGGAGGGGGGCTATGAGGAAATGCGGGCAATCCCTCTAGCTCAGTCCCTCGGAAAATTCAAAAATTCAAAAAAAAATGATAGAGGATTGCCCCCTCTTTGCGGAGGCAGGGGCAGGCGCAGAGAAAATAAAAAAAGAGGGAACAGGAACGACATAAGTCCTCTCTCGATCCCTCGGAAACTCCCAGAGACCAATAGAGGACTGCTCTCCTCCTTATAGAGGAGCACAAAAAAGATGGGACAGGCAACCCACGTGCAGGAGCAAAAACCAAAAAGGTTAGAGAGTGAGGGGGAGAGGGGAGGGAGAGCGGGGGGGGGGGGGGGATCGGGAACGTACTCACAGGCATAAAGGGGAAAAAAGCTTAGGGGGGCAATAATGGGATAAGTCCTCCTGGTGAAGGAGCGCGGGGTTGGGACCGGAACTGGGGACAGGAAACCCACGAAAAGATGGGAAAGAGGGGAATGGGGCGCCCGCTGGGAACGGGGGGGGTGGGGATGGCACAGATCCTCTCTCAGTCCCTCGGGACCCCCCCAGAGACTGATTGAGGACTGCGCTCCTCCTTTCGAAGGAGCGCAAAACGTTTGGGCCGCGGCAGAGGGTGGCGGGGCGGGGACGGGATGGAGGGCTGGGCGACGGGGGACGGGGGACAGGGACAGGGCAGGAAGGAGCCGCGGCAGGAGCAGGTAGAACCCCTTCTCAATCCCTCGGAAACTCCCAAGGATCGATAAGGGGCTGCTCCCCTCCTAGCGGGGGAGAGACACCTGCAACCTGGGCCGGGGCTGAGGCTGGGGATGGGGCGCGGAGGGCAGCCAGAGAGAAGGCCAGCCGGGACAGGCAGAAGCACGACCAGGCAGCGAACCCCCAGCCCACACGACCCACCCCCTACTCCGCACGGCCCGGCCAGAGGGCCGGCCAGCAGCCCACAACCCAGCCAGAGGGCCAGCCCACACAACCCCAACCGGAGCACCAGCACACACACCCCAGAGGGGCCAGCCCTCAACCTGGCCGCACCCCGGGCCGCACCAGGCCACACACCCCGGGGACCAGCCCCAACCACACCCACAGGAACCAGCCTGCACCATGCCCAAAGGGCACCCCAGGACACACCCAGCGTTTATCCCCTGTGGGGGGACCAGCCCTCACCCAGCGGCACCCCAGCACACCCCAGCGCACCCACACACCCAACAGGGGGACGGCCCTCCGGCCAGCACACACCCCGCCCAAACAACCCCGCCCCACAGCCCCACCCCACCCCACAGCCCCACCCCACCCACACGGGCCCACGCCCACCCCACAAAACACACCCCGCCCACACCCCACCAACACAAGCCCGCGCCCAGCCCACCCAGCTAACACAGGGGAACCCCCTCCAAAGCCGGCCGGCCACAAGCCGACACACAAAGCCAGAAGAGGAGTTCCCCCTGGAGAAAAGAAAAGAAAAAGGTGAGAGAAGGGGGCAAGAGTGCTGCTTATTTAAAGCCAAAGTGCCAAGATTGTATCATGTTTTTCGCCGACGGGGGCTAGGCGTGGCCGTAGACTGTAATCCGGGTGTTTGCATGTTGGCGTGTCTCTATGGGGATGAGAGGTGCTGGTGGTGTGGATCATGAGTAAATGGGTCGATTGGCAATAGCACTTGGTGGTCGCAATTGGCTTCAATCGAGAGTACCTAGGTGAATGTAATTCAAAATAGTTAATATATTCTATCATATATCATGTCGACCCACAAACAATAAACACCCCCCCCCCCCCTGCCCCCAAATCCCAATAACAGGAAAGGAATCTAATAGTGTAGGTGTGTGTGTAGGTAGCTAGCTAGTCCGAGTGAGATCGTGTGATCCAGCTAAAAGGTCTATCGTGGGAGGTAACGAAAAAGAAGAAAAACAGAGAAAAAGGACATGAAACTCGTCATCATCTATGAGTTAGTGCATTAGTGAAAGAGAGAGAGAAAAAAGAGAGAAAAAAGGTATCTCCGCCCAATGCCCCCCCCCCCCCCCCCGGACCCCAGTCCACTCCAGTCCAGTCCACTCCAATCCAGTCCAGTCCAATACAAAAAAAGCCTACTCCACAAGCCATTATTTTTAACCCAAAAGCGCAAAAGAAAGCAAGCCCCAATAAAATAAAAAAAAGAAACGTCAATACAAGCTATGAGAAAAATAACAAAAAAAGAAGAGAAAAGAGAAAAAAAGACCCATAGCATATCACAACTATGACTCCTCCTTCACCACCGTCTCCACAACCCTAAACGCGCCACTCGCGCCCTTCCCCCCCTTCTCCGCCCTCTCATACGCCTCCGCGCTGCGGTCCATCAGTGTCTCCAGCTCCGCATCACTCAGCACCTGCTGCCCCGCCTGCACAACATTCACCTTCTCAAAGTCCTCTCTCAGCAATATGCTGCTCAGCTCGTCATGATCATTACCAGCCCCCGCCCCCGCCGCCGGCACCGCCGCCACAACACTCTTAAACTTCCCCTTCTGTATGACCAGCTTCTCGAGGCGCCGCTTGCCATCCGCCTTCTCGAGCAGCGTCTGCTCGACCGTCGCGGCCGTCGCAAACCGGTACACAATGACGGGCTTCCGCTGGCCGATCCTGTGCGCGCGGTCCTGCGCCTGCAGGTCCTGCTGCGGGTTCCAGTCGCTGTCAAAGAGGATCACCGTGTCGGCGGCGGTGAGGTTGATGCCGAGGCCGCCCGCGCGCGTGCTGAGGAGGAAGAGGTTCCAGCCGGCGTCGTGGTTGAAGCGGCGGATCTGCTCGCGGCGGTCGGCCTGGCTGACGGCGCCGTCGATGCGGCAGACCTGCCAGCGCCGCAGCGTGCTCGCCCACTCCTCGATGATGTCGAGCATCTTGGAGAACTGAGAGAAGATGAGCACCTTGTGGCCGCGCGCGAAGAGCGCGGGGACCAGCCGCTCGAGGAGCATCATCTTGCCGGACTCGGTGACGATGGTGTTGTCCGGGTCGCCGGGGAAGGGCCAGTAGAAGAGGTGCGGCGAGTTGCAGGCTTGTCGGAGCTGCATGACGAGGTTCTGCAGCTTCTTGTTGCCGGCTTCTTTGGTGGCGTTGAGGAGTTTGAGCTGGTATTCGTCGACGGGGATGATCTCCTCCTCGTCGGAGCTCTCGTTGAGCTTGGCAAAGAACTCGCGGTCCTCGAGTTCTTTGTAGGAGGTGTTTTTACGGCGGGTAGAGCGTGTGCTGCGCGCTTTCTTGGGCTGCGGCGTGGTGGAATCGTCGTCGTCGTCGTTTTCCTCGAGTTTGCGCTTTTTGGAGGCCGCGGCGTCTTCTTCGAGCTTGCGCTTCTTTGTGGCATCGCTGCCGACGAGCTTCTCGATGAGCCATCTGCGGCCCTCATGGTTGAGGAGCTTCCCGTAGAGGTCCTTCTGCGCCTGCGTGAGGGGCGCATAGAGGACGTACTCGCGCTTCGGGGGCAGCATAGTCTCGACGTCGGTCTTCATACGGCGGAGCAGGAACGGCTTCAAGATGGCGTGGAGGCTGCCGACAATGTTTGACTTTTTCTGCTCCTCGAGCCACGCGTGGTGGCCCTCCTTCTCCTGGATGGCGCTGAAGTCGAACCAGTTCTGGAAGCTGTCGAGGTCGTCAAAGATGTCGGGCAGCAGGAAGTTGAGCAGCGACCACAGCTCCGAGAGGTTATTCTGCAGCGGCGTGCCCGTGAGCAGGAGCCTGTTTGCGGAGGTGTACGACTTGAGCTCGCGCACGAGCTTGCAGTTGAGGTTCTTGATGCGGTGGCCCTCGTCGATGATGATGAACTTCCACGCATACTTCTGCAGGTGCTTGCGGTCGTTCATGATGAGCTCGTACGACGTGCAGATGATGGGGAAGTCCTTGCCCATCTTTGCCATGCGCGTCCTGCGCATCTCCTCGCGCTCCACCGGCGTCCCATGGTACATCAGCACCGGCATCTCGGGCGCAAACCGCTCAATTTCATCCACCCAATTGCCCAGGGTGCTAACAGGCGCCACCACCAGGAACGGCCCATTCGTGCCCTTCTCCTTCAGGAAGGCCAGGAACGAGATGGTCTGCAGCGTCTTGCCGAGCCCCATCTCGTCCGCCAGGATGCCGTTGAGCCCGTTCTCGTACAGCGAGACGAGCCAGTCGAGGCCCTGCAGCTGGTACGGCTTCATGACGCCGCCCGTAATCAGCTTTGGCTGCCGTGCGGAGCGGAGGTCCTTCTGCAGCCCCAGCTTCAGATCCGTCGGCTCCTGCGCGTTGGCCAGCGCCTCGGCGGTGCTGCCGGACTCCTTCAGCTCGTCCTTGGCGAAGTAGTCTGAGATTGCCGTCTTGCCCTTTGCCTTTGTCGGCTTGCGGCCCGGCTTCTTCTTCACGGCGGCGGCGGTGGCGCCCTTACCCTGCGGTTCCTCCGCCGCGGCAGCAGCAGCGGCATTGTTCCGTCCGCTTTTTCTCACCTCTGTGGCGGGTGTGGGTGCGGTGGCGGTGGTGGTGGTGGTGACGGGTGGTGCGGCGGCACGGGCACGGCGGTCCTCCTCCTCAGCCCGGGCGGCCATCTCTTGCTGCTGCTTGAGCAGTTTGTCGGCCATGATGTTTGCATAGACGCTCGACTGCTTTATGAGGAAGTCGAGGCGCGCACGCTGCATCGGAACCGCTGCGGCAAGAAAAGAAAAAAGTCGGTCAGATTGGTTGGCGTGTCTGGGTGTGGTGGCATTGTTTCTTTTTACTTACGAGGAGGATCTATGGGCGCTGCTACTGCTACTGCTTCTTCTTTTTCCCCCTCTTCTTCCTTTGTGGCGGCGGTATTGGGCTCGTCCTTGTCGGAGTGTGAGCTTGTGGATGTTGCGGGCGTGGATGCGGCGGCGGATCCGGTGGGCGAGCTGGGGGACGTTGAGGTTGTGGTTGTGGTGATCTTGGTGCGGGCGGGCATGGCCATGGCGGTTTGGGGACTGGGTGGTGATGTGCGGATGCTCGAGGGCTTGGACTTCTTTTCTTTCCGAGGCATGAGTGAGTGCTGGCTGTGGGTTCTTTGCCCTTCTTTCTTTTCTTTTCTTCTTTTTCTTCTTCTTCTTCTTTCCTTTGAGAGAAAGAGAGATTGCTGGCTGTTGGTGATGGTGTTGTTGGCGTTGTTGGCGTTGGTGTTTTGTGCCGTGATCTCTCGTTGACTGCAATTGCTCTCTCGTAACAAAGGATTGCGAGGGTTTGCAGCACAGCAGCAGCGAGACGACGCGTTGTTGGAACGCTCGCTCAGGGGTTTCGCGTTGCCACTTAAAGTGGATTCTTGGCTCTTTTTTTCTTTTTTTTCTCTTTTTTTTTTCTTCGAGACCCACAACCCCCGCTGAGGGGCCCACAAGCAACATCATGATAGCGATAGGTAGAGCAGATGGCCGGGAAACATGAAAATTGGGAAGCTTTACAGCTTGAATTTTTTATATACATTATTTGTGTGGGGAAAGGGAAGGATGGAGGGAGGGATGCAGGGAGGGATGCAGGGTGGGAGGGTACATAGGGATAGCTTATTTCTCGCTCTTGAGCTTCTCGGTCAGCTCAGGCACCTACAGATATTGTTAGTTTTTTCGTGATTTTCAAAACCGTAGACAGACCTGGACAGAGAGAAACATACCGCCGTGAAAAGATCCGCCACAAGGCCCACGTCCGCAACTTGGAATATCGGTGCATCCGCATCTACCCAACCGTCAGTGACAAACACTCGCAAACAAGTAAAATAAAAAAATAAAAAATAAAAAAAGAGAGAAAGCACATACCCTTATTGATAGCCGCAATCACCTTCGAGTCCTTCATCCCCGCCAAATGCTGAATCGCCCCCGAGATGCCCACAGCCAAATACAGCTGCGGCGCCACCACCTTCCCCGTCTGCCCCACCTGCAAACTATTATCCGCAAATCCCGAGTCCACTGCCGCCCTCGACGCGCCAATCGCCGCCCCCAATGCATCCGCAAGCGGCGGCATCAGCTTATCAAAGTTATCCTTATCCTTCAGCCCCCTGCCACCGGAGACGACCCTCGTCGCCGTGCCCAGATCCGGCCTCTCGCTCTTTGCCAGATTCTCACTGACCCACGTCGTCGAGGACTCCACCTTGGGATCCGCACTCGACTCCTGGACCGCCGCCGCTGACCCCGAGCCCTCCGCGGCCGCGGGGAAGGCCGTGCCGCGGATGGTGAGCACCTTGATGTCGTCGGACGACTTTACGGTCGCGATGGCGTTGCCGGCGTAGATGGGGCGGACAAAGGTGGAGTCGTCGTGGATCTCGATGACGTCCGAGATCTGCTGGACGTCGAGGAGGGCCGACAGGCGCGGCATGATGTTCTTGCCGAAGGCGGAGTGCGCGGCGACGACGTGGGTGAAGCCGCCGGCCTTGATGTTCTCTTGCAGCATGGGCGCGAAGTTCTCGGCGAGGCTCTGTGCGGGCGGGCCATTGTGAGAAGAAGCGTGCGGGGGTAGTGGTGTGGGGGAGAGGGGGAGGGGGAGGGGGAGTATAGCAACACACACACCTTGTCGTAGGCCCCGTTGGAGACCGTGAGGACCTCGGAGACGCCATTGAGTTTTGCGACCTGGGCCGCGACGCTGGCGGCGTCGGTGCCGGCGAGGAGGGCCGTCACCGTGCCGCCGAGCTTTGTGGCGGCGGTGATGACGGGGAGCGACTGGGGGAGGAGATTGCCCTCCTTGTGCTCGAGCACGGCCAGGGTGCTTAGGGGGCAAAAGCGGCGTGCGCGTGCGCGTGCCCCTGCTGTTGCTGCTGCTGCTGCTGCTCGCAGGACTGAGGGTGCTGTTCTCGTGAGCAACATTGTGTGTGTGTATGGAGAGTGTGGAGAGTTGATGCCGGGGAGAGAGAGAGATCTAGAGGAGAGAGATCTAGAGGAGAAGTGGGGATCTAGAGAAGTGAGATCTAGAGGAGTGAGAGGGAGTGACCGGCTGAGTGAGTGCTCGTTATGTATCTAGGTAGGTCGTCGTCGACAGAGGAGAGATTCAGAGTATGCAGACTCGGGCCTCGCTCGTTCTGTTCCAACTCGGGTCACTCGCCGCCAAGCCTTTGTGTCTTCCCCACCATCGATGCCCGCGCATTGGCTTGTGATCCGCCGCCGTGACGGTGCATACGCGGGCGCTGTAGTGTGCAGAACAAGTGGAGGGGCCGAGTGATGGCCTGTGAAGAGGGTGCCGCGTGATAGACTGTGACGAAGGCTCTTTAGGAGTGATTGGTCGCACCAGGCACGCATCAGCCTTCTTCCATACCAACAGAAATTGAAGACGCAACAGTAGAGGCTTTCTGCCATAGTACAGTTTGATAAAAATACAATTGCCGAAAAAAATATAAGCGGTGAAGAGGAAAATAAACGTGTCGTCATAAATTGATGTATGTAGAGGCATAATATTTCTTTGCGCAGTTCAAGAAGCCCTCAAACCGCTTATCAGCTTGTCGACCAGGTACATGTACATACATCCACATGCATAGGAATATTGTTGTATTTAATCATTCAGTAGCGGGGCCGTGAACCACTTTTACTAAAATCCCGTTCTCCTAAAAATAAGGGCAAAAAAAGTTCCCCGAAGGTAATCTTCTGCCAACCCATACGGCCGCACCGGGGTTTGAGCTCGGACCAACGGTGTTGGGACCTCAGGTGTTCACCGATTGACCATCCAAACCCCAGTGGTACCTGAGCTTCTGTTTGTGCTTTTGGCTATAGCTGCTGTTAGTGGCTAAGTTTCTATCTGGCTAAGTGTTCTAGCTTGGCACAGCGAACTTGGGTGAGTTATGGGCTAGCTTGGCACAGCTCGAGCGGGTTATATTGTGGGCTAGCTTGGCATGACCTGATTAAGTGGGTTATGTTGTGAGCTCGTTTTGTGGTTGTTATATTGTGCATTGGCTGTGTGCGCATGTGAGCGGGGTGTGGGGCGTGGTTACTCCGAGATTTCATGTGTATCCACAAGATAAGCCCAAGATAATACAGTTCACGAAACTAAAGTGCGCGGGAAGACTTGTGCACGGGAAGACTTTGAGTACTAGGAAAACCATGTAATTGGAGTTCGTTGACCAAAATATAGAACCTCTCTCTTTAACGACTCTTTCACGGTCGACGTGGAAACACCCTGATCTCGGGCAGTGCCCTTCTGTTCAACCCAGTCCAAAAGCGCTCAATCAAGTATTTCAAAGGAGCAGGTCGTAACAAGGTGAAGGGAGATCCAATCCTTAAAAGAAAGAAAAATTTCTTTTTCCAGTAGGTGAAAGCCCATCTCCAACTTCCAGGTCCCACGAGAGCATACCAGAGACCCGAATGCCGCAGGAAATCGGTCCTATTCAGCCCACTGAATCCAGGGGCAAGAGACTCCTCATGTAGCTCCAGGTTCCCTTGTCTCTAAACAATGGAGCCAGCTATAGCTACGTCACGCCACAACCGGAGGAGGCTAAGGCAGCCTTGTTAAATCCTGTAGGAGAAAGAGGATTGTCCTATAGCTACAAGTAGTTTGGGTGTGGACTGTGAGCCTGGTGCATGCCTGCTACAGCCGCGGTGTAAAGAAGCTTCTGGTGAATGGTTGGTTAGAGCAGCTCCGTATCTTAGTATCAGAGATCGCCAAGCTTAAAAACCGAATCTCTTGTAGCCAAGTTGCAGTGGCTCATGCTCAGATCCTGGGGCAGTGCGTGACGAAACATACATGTATGTTGAAACCGATACTTAAAGGCACATCATACCGTATCACCGAATCCCTAGTATTGAGAAAAGGGGATATCCGTCAATCTAGTTTTCGAGTAAAGTGGGAATAGGTCTATTATACAACGTATCTTTACTTAATGAGCCTTTGGCCATAGTCACAGCCTATCACTCGAAGCCCTTTCGCATCCGTTGTGGATCATATGTATATTCGAACAGCAGAAAGATACGAAAACAGACAAAGATCTTCTAACCATGTATCCATGTCATCTTGTTAGATGAGTGTTGGACCCCGGAGCCCAAATAGCAATCTGCCTTTTTTTCGGGCCCACGAGCTAAAAAAAAAGGCTGACAACCTCACCACTCCAAGCCAACATCCACCCAACCGTAAACACTAAACAACCACAAGATCTCTCAAGTCTTAGAAAGAAAAGGTCCAGGTCCATAAATAAAAACCCCCAAACCCACAGGAATATCCCAAAGCAGGAATGCCAAGACATCGCAAGCCAAATAGAGCTGTGCTGACTAAGCGACGTTTCATCGCGACCATTACTGCGCTCGCTGGGGGTAACAACGCGACTTCTTTCCCCAATCTCTTCCCACGAACGAAACACACCGCATCGTCGCGATCACCAGCACTCGAGAGCAGCAATCGTCTCTGCTGTCATCGCAACTGATACCCCCCGTTTCATCAATCTCTCCGTTTCGACCTTTCAGCCTCACCTCCCCGTTTCTCGCTTCTTTTCTCCCCCCTCCCTCTCGCTCTCTCCTCTCCTTTCATCCCTTTGGTCGTTAAAATAACAACTGCAATACGCAGCCAAAACGATTCGTTCGAATTGAAGAGTAATAAAACAAGGGTAAATCATGGATGCCGATACGCTGGACTTTGGAGATTCCCCATTATCAGGTACAAACACCGGCACCCCCAACCACAACCCTGCTGCTGCAAACCAGGCTCATATCCAGGGCGATGGCAACACGCCTGTAGGTCTGACCCCAGGCAACGGTATGGACGATGATGAAGATACGCACACCCAGAACGGAAACAACACTGCCGCCCCGTCCGAGAGCGCCGGAGCCGGAGGAGCTGGCGGGGCTGACGCCAGCAAGGGCTCGCCAACTGACACCGCCGCGCCCGAGGAAGAAGACTCCGTGATGCAAGGAACTGACGAGGGCAGCGCTGACTCCAAGAAGAACGGCGACTCGCCTGCAAAGAACGGCGGGGAGGGCGAGGGGGCTGCGGGTGAAGGGTCTTCGGCCGCTGCTAACGCGCCGGCTTCGCCTGCGTCGGAGAAAAAAAAGTTGGAGGATGCGGCGAAGGGGTATTTGGTTGAGCAGACGCATATGGTCGTGGTGCCGTCATACTCAAAGTGGTTTGATATTAACAATATCAAAGATATCGAGCAGAGGGCGTTGCCCGAGTTCTTTAATAACCGTAACAGGAGCAAGACATCGCTCGTGTATAAGGATTATCGCGACTTTATGATTAATACTTACCGCTTGAACCCGTCTGAATATCTCACAGTCACGGCGTGTCGCAGGAACTTGGCAGGTGATGTCTGCTCGATCATGCGCGTCCATGCATTCTTGGAGCAGTGGGGACTCATCAACTACCAGGTTCGTTCTCCTAAACTTACCCCCGATCATCAATGCTAAAAAGCTGCATACGCAGATTGACCCTGAAACAAGACCATCAAACATTGGTCCCCCATTTACTGGTCACTTCAGGATAACTGCGGATACCCCACGTGGTCTGCAGCCCTTCCAGCCCGCCCCTGGCGCTATCACTACGCCCGGAAAGCCGCACCCGACAACCGAGCGCGCCTCCAGCGCTGGCCCCTCTAAGGCTGAGCTTAACCTGGAGATCCGCAAAAACGTCTATGATGCCTCCGGAAACCGTGTGGGTGGTACTCAGGCCAATGGCACCTCCGGTGACTCTGAGGACGAGTCCGGAAAGAAGCTGTACAACTGCTACTCCTGCGGTGTTGACTGCACCCGCGTGCGCTATCATTCTGCCCGCAGCGCGCGATCTCAGAAGCAGATTGAGCTCTGCCCCAACTGCTTCCTTGAGGGTCGCTTCCCCGCTACTAGCAGCAACACGGACTTCGTCCGCATGGAGGATCCTTCTCACTCTACTACTGAGAAGGACGCGCCATGGACTGACCAAGAGACCCTCCTGCTGCTCGAGGGATTGGAGCTCTACAATGAGGACTGGAATCAAATTGCAGACCATGTCGGAACTAGGACTAGGGAGCAGTGTGTAGTCCGCTTCCTCCAGCTTCCCATTGAGGATAACTACCTCGAGGAGAAGCCGGAGCAGCTTGGACCCCTGCAGTACAACCGCACCCCGTTCTCTCAGGCCGACAACCCAGTCATGAGCGTCGTCGCCTTCCTGGCCAGTATCGTCGACCCCAAGGTCGCCGCCGCTGCCGCAAAGTCGTCGATTAGGGAAATGACCAAATCCCTGAACGACCAGATCCAAGGCAACAAGGCCGCTCTCGCCAAAGAGGACTCCAAGCAAGCCGCGTCCGAGACTGCCGGCGAGAAGGAAACCTCCGCTACCAATTCCCCCAAGGCGGTGGCCGAATCCTCGGCGGCGGGGGCCTCAAAATCCACCGACGTCAAGTCCGAAGGCACCGCAGTTGACGAGACCATGGACGTGGACGAGCCCGAAGCCGCATCCGCCACCGCTGCCCTCTCCCCCAGCAACCCCGAGATCGACCCCACCGACACCCCGAGAACATCGTCACCAAGGTGGCCTCGATCGCACTGGGCACCTCCGCCGCGCGCGCGCACGCCCTCGCGTCGAACGAGGAGCGCGAGATGACGCGCCTCGTCAACGCAGTCGTCAACTGCTCGCTCCGCAAGCTCGAGCTCAAGCTCACACAGTTCAACGAGCTGGAGCAGGTGCTCCAGGCCGAGCGCCGCGAGATTGAGAAGGGCCGCCAGCAGCTGTTCCTCGACCGCCTCGCGATGAAGAAGCAGTGCGTCGTCGTGCAGGACACGCTCAAGAGAGCGCTTGCCGTCGGTGGTGCGGAGGGGTACCAGTTGGCCGGGCAGGCGGCGCAGATGGGCGGGCAGGGGCCGAAGTTGGCGTTTGAGGGGCAGCAGCAGGGCGCTATCCCTAATGCTGGGATGAGGCCTGTCAGTTTAGAGAATCCGGGTGGCTATGTTGGGTATGAGGCATAGATAATTTGTAGTCGTGTGGTGTGGTGTGGTGTGGTGTGGTGTGTGTGGGGGTTTCTTTAAAAGGGTTACATTGGCGTGATTTCTCTTTTTTACTATTTTCTTTTTATCTTTTTTTTCTTTCAGTGTTTTGTATTTTATGAAAGCTCTATTTTTTTTTTTCTTTTCTTCTTTTTTACGTTGCCTACCGTATCTACCTACTAGCTCCGTATTGTAATGCAGATGATCATGAAGGTTGATATGTAGTACATGTAGCTGCGATATGAACCGGTATTAAATGGGCGGCGGCGGTACGGGCGTGTCTTGTAGTCGGAGAAACTAAAAAGGACTTTTTGGGAGAGTAGAGAGAAAAGAAAGGAAAAGTGGCGGGAGAAGTTGGTGGATTTCTGTCTGTATGTCTATCTGAACGTTCTAGAAAATTGGGTGTCGGCGGTGATGATGATGATGACAGTGGCAGTGGCGGGGTTAAATAATCAAACATTCACGTTTTCAACATCATACCTGTGCCAAATCCAGCTTCACAGGCTCTCACTCGCCCCTCCAATCACACATGCGCGTGGTCCAGTGACCGTTACCCTACCCTGCCTGCCCACCCTGCAACCATCCATCCAAGCTCCACGGAACAAGCCGTAAAAAAAAGATTCCCAGTAACACAAAAATAAAGTATATCCCACCTCCCTCTCCAAAACATCAACACCACAGAATAAAAACAAAACACAACCCCCAGTCCAATCCAATTCACCCATCCCAATGGCATCCGTCTCGGACCCCGACCCCGACTCCGACGCCGACACTGAAGCCAGCACACCCCTCCGCCTCCGACGCCGCCGCCGCGGCCCCATCCTCGTCTCCTCCGACACCGACACCGACAGCGAGCCCGAGCGCCCGCCGCGGCACCTCCGCGCGCCGTCGAGAACGCCATCGTGGGCAAAGAGCGTGTCGAGGTCGCCGAGCCCCATTGTGCATAGGAGGAAGAGGGCGAAGAGGAGTGTTTCGCCGGGGATTGGGATTGCGATTGGGCGCTGGGGAGGCGACGATGAGAAGGGGTATGAGTCGGCGGAGAGCGGGCGCATACGGCTGCGCAAAGAGAGGAGCCCGAGTGTGTTGCGGGAGGAAGAGTCGGACGATGAGGGTGTGTCTGGGAGCGGGAGTGAGGTTGAGGTGAGCTCTGGTGAGAGTGGGGTGGACGACTCCGAAGACGAGGACAAGGTTGAGAGTGATGGGGAATCGGAGGCCACCTCAGCGATTGAGGAACAGCTACATCCAGATAGTCCCACCGGAACTGCTCAGATGCGGATAAAGAGGCAAGAGAGCCCAGATCAGGAGCTACAGTCGGATGCTATGTCTAAGGACGAGGAGAGCGAAGACGAGAAGGAAGCTTCAAGTTCAGGTGCTGAAGATAATGCAGAGACCGAGCCTGAAGCGGAAACCGAGTCGGAAGTAGAGCCCGAACCGCAACTGGAGATCGAATCGGAGCAGGAGGCTGAATCGGAAGTGGAGGCCGGCTCAGAAGCACAGGTCGAATCAGAATCAGAAGCCGAATTCGAAGTAGAGAGCGAAGCAGAAACAAAATTCGAATCCGAAGCAGGAGTCGATTCCGAGGCGGAGTCTGGGACAGAAACAAAATTTGAATCGGAAGCAGAGCTAGAATCGGAAGCAGAGGTTGAGACTGAAACAAAATTCGAATCGGAAGCAGAAGTGGAATTAGAAGTAGAGACCGAAGAAGAAACAAGATTCGAATCAGAAGCAGAACGAGACTCGGAAACAGAGGCCGATTCAGAGGTAGATGACATGCCCGAACCTTGGAACGGGCCTGAGGATAGCCCGAGTCCGAGTCCGAGGGCGAACCCGAACCTAAACCCGAACCAGAACCAGAACTCGAGGATGAAGCTCAATTCGCAGACGAATCCCAGCTGGAGACCCAACCACTTTACGAGTTACCGCCTATAATACACAGCTATGCTAACAGAGCTACAAATTCCGGGCCCGCAACACCGTCTCCATCTGATGATGATTCAGGCGCAGAAGAAGAGGGGGAGGGGGAGGAGGGGGAGGAGGAGGAGGAAGAAGAAGAAGAGGAAATCTCAGCCCCACTCGCCAGCCCTAACAAGCGCCCCACAGCCCCTCTAGATAGCCCCTCCCCATCAGATCAAAGCGAAGCAGGCGCCGAAGAAGACGCCGAAAGCCATTATACCGACTCCGGCGAAGACGAAAGCGAAAATGAATTCGCCGAGATCAAGCCCACGGCAACCATTTCCTCCGCCTCCAAAGGCCGCCCAAAACGGGCCGCAGCACAACGGGCCGCAGAACAACGGGCTGTACAACGGGCCGCAGAACGGGCCGCAAAAAAACAGGCCGCAGCACGACGAGCCGCAGCACGACGAGGGGAACGGGTCCCTAAAGTTACCGGAAGAACGCGGGGGCGACAGGTCGACGTGTACAACCCCAAATACATTGAGCTCCTCAATGACCAGATCGAGCTGGCCGCCTCACGGGGGCTCAGTGAGATTGAGCATGACCGCGAGCGGGTGACGCCCGTGCTTGGGTCGGTGTGGACGAGGAGGGAGAGGGATATATTTTTCAAGTATATAGCGATTGTTGGGAAGGATAATGTCGCCGAACTGTCACGGCTTATCGGCACCAAGAGTATCGTGGAGTGCCGTGCATATGTAAAGGCACTGCAGGATGGGAGAGAGCACGATTGGCATGCTCCGGCTAAGCGGTGGATAAGAGAGAGGGAAATTGTTTCCTCGAGAGACATACCAGCGGCCATGGAACTCAGTGATGAGTGTGTCGAGGCATTGGAGGAAGAGGCAGATGCACTGGAGCTGCGAATACGCAAGGACGAAGAGAGGCGGGAGAAGGTTAAATGGGGAGATCTCTGGCGTCTAGATGCTGCAAGCTCGTGGATCATTGAGAAAATGTATAAAAAGAATGAAATCGATGAGATTCGCGAGATTGCACCGGAAGCTGAGCTGTTGAACATTCATAACATGCTTGAGATATCAGAAAGGTACGTGTACCCCCCCCCCCCCCTTCCATCTCTTTCCGGCAATCTTTTTTCAATACTTTCTTGTCCGATCAATTGCGCAATAGTGCTTTAAATTTGCCATTAAATTGTCTTGTCTGCTTTTGGCCCTTACAGTTTGAATCGCACACAGTATCTTCATGAACGGCTCCGGCGACGATTACAACTGGCAGTTCCTGGGCTCTGATTCACCCGCGATCCGCCACACAGCATTCAAAGATATCCACACGCTCATTGTCAGCCTGATCAGACGCATCGTCCAAACAACAATCTACATGGCCACATCACGGCTCCGTGGAATGGAGAGCCAGGTCTTTGGCGGATCCAGCAAATCCAAGCTCATACGCCCGGCCGATGTTAAGGCAGCGGTGAATTGTCTAGGCCTCCCCGAGAACTCGAGGGAGTACTGGATTAGGATCCCGAGGAGAACCGGGCTGCACGTTTATAACAGGAAGGAGGACATCAGGAAGAAGAGCAATATAGGCTTCATTCCATATGATGAACTGGAGCAGGTCCTGAAATCTACCAGGGCATATGGCTCAGGTTCAGCGGTAAATCAGGGTGATAATGGTGACGACAAGGAAGATGACGAAGCCGTAGAGGCTAAGATGGATGCGTTACTTGCAGCCGCGTACGTTGAGCGCAATAATAATGAGGGAATAAAGGGTGAAGATGCTTCGGATTTAATGGATTCCGAAATCTCAGACCTGGACTCTGAGACCAGTATCGATGGCGACGAGGATGAGGATGATGAAATTCATGAATCCGCAGATAGCGATATGGACTTAGATGGCACGCTTAGAAGCAAGCCCCAGAAAAAACTAGATTCCAACTTGGAGGCTATCGACGATGCAGAGGATGTGTATATGGAGGTATTGGACAAGAAACGGAGCTATAAGGAGGAGAAAGCTCTATGGGAGCTGATGGGCAGAGAACCCAGTCAGCCTTTGCCTAAAGTAGCAAAACCGTTACCAGAGTTGTTTCCTCTCGAAAGGAAGAGACCGCTGGATCTTATGAATTGGAGGGACAGCGCCGGTTATCTGGCGTCATGGGAAACGGATAAAAGGAGGAAGACAAAGCATGATGGTGGTCTATGGAGAGGAGACGATGATATTTCAACTGCCTTTCATTCGGCAGCAACCTTGTCAGAGCCACAAATGACCACCAAAGTGCATGAGCACAAAGTAATACCCAAGAAGAAAAAGAGGCCGACGGCCAAAAAGTAGAGACAGGCGAAGGTCATGCGCCCGATGAAGGCTATAAGTCCACCTGCTCATCATAGGCCGAGAAGAACTCGTGAACGACGCCAATCTAAAGTGTATTCTGGACTTGTTTCAACCGTCGACAATATCGTTGAGAGCGATGAGGAAGCTCTTGCACGTGAGTTGCGGGAAGATAACTCTTCCTCGGAGGAAAGTGCGGATTAATAGTCTCCTTTTCATTTTGGTTCCTCCTTTTCCCCGATGTACGCATAGAATAGCATTATTATGGGTGGCTTTGTATATTGTTTTATTGCGAGCGAGGGCCGGGCGTTTGGGCTTTCATTTCGGTTTTTTTTTTTTTTTTTTTCCTTCTTTTCGTATTGCAAAATATTCTGGTTATGCTGTATTCTTAGATACTCTCCTCTATACGATAGAGCATTGTATACCCTAGTTGTTATTTCTTTGCTGGGGATAATCCAGAAAGAAAAAAGCTTTGTCGTTGAGATGCGAGTGATACTACCCATTTTATTAGGTGCAAGAGGGTGAGTGAGAGCTTGTGGCGCGCCATAGATCCTTCCTGCACTGCCTACGTCAAACTACCACGAGGTCGCAAACCCCCACGAAAGAACTATAGGTAAACTGTTCGCATACTAATACCATCTGTGCTTTCTTTGAACTGGAGGTTGAGGATGGCTCTGGAGAGATCAATAAAACCGTCGTTGTGGCTAAGAGTCGGGGCTTTTTTACGGCGGCGCACAGGTAAGTTAATCAACGCTTCAAGATTGTGAAGATAGCCCAACCAACATTCGGTGATTGTATTCACTGGCCTTTAGTTACACGCCCACGGATTGCGACAATTCTAATCAAAAGGGTTCAGTCGTTCCAGTCCGGGATAGACCGTGACTCTCCCAAGGATGAGGACAAAGACAATGTCTAAGGGGCGTTTCTGTAGATATTTATTTACATAACCATTCCCTTGAAAGGCTCACCTTTACCAACAATTGTCACCGCTACTACACCTCTTGATCAAATGAGACTCACAAATAGGGGTCTATTAGTTTCTTCTTAGTCGGAAGGCCTTTTGGACAAATTTCCACAGCATTTCCGTCATTACCTGTGTGTTATTCGCTTTTGACTGCCGTTATAGATCAGCCGAGTGATGGTTCATGAATCAGATTATGATTGTACTGTATAATGTGCATATCGGTTTTAGTTTAGAGAGTATATAGGTAGGGGATTTTACCACCGAAATCTAGATAAACCAAAGCACTCCATAGTCCAGGTCAACCTACCTAGGGAACAAGCGAATCCCCCTGTTTCTATACATATCTGTTTCTGAAACGCCTAATTATGTCCAAGATAACATGAGACTTGTTGAATCACAGGTACTAACTGGTGCTCTGTCTTGACCCACCCATCCTCGCTTTCTCACAAACTCTAATGAGGAATATGTAGCTCTCTACTCTAGATACCCAGCAAACCTCCCCTACGAGGGTTAGTTTTTAGAAATAGGGCTGGTCCTGCCATACCCTATAAATCAACGCGAATGTTTGTTCTCACCCGGAGATTATTTAGTAAAGAAAGAGAAGCCAAGAACAGAATTAATGTACAGAAATGGGATTACTAATGATGAATTGCTTGCCTAAAAACAATAAGCCGTTTAGATATTAAAAGCTTAGACTTTTATTGAAGCTATATATGGGGTTTTCGCGGGAATAATTTGCAAGAAGAATGATAACCCCCAAATTCACACGCGCATCTTGCCTGTGATGATTGCCCCACGGTCTCATACGTCCAGACTAAACGATGAAATTAGCTAAATAGTCAATTTCTCATCTCACAGCATAACTGAAGGATCCGGACTTACCAAATCAACTCAAACTCTTTATACTTTTGTAGGTAATTCATTCTCCTCCTATATGCCCTCAACAACATCTCCGAGTCCAGCCTTCCCTTCAAAGGTCTCATCCCAATCAATTTCTTCATGGGTATGCTTGGAGTAAAGAATGGATCGAAGACAAGTAGGTTTCTCATACCGTCCAAAGTCTTCTCAATGCCCACAATCGTCATCGAATGTCCGCTGTGTTGAAAGTATATTGGCGGTTTCTGGGTCCGCGAAACTCTGTGTATGACCTGCCCTTGAGCTGTACCCGATTCGAAGTAACTCTCAACAAAGTCAAGCAAATGATGCTGGGTCTGAAGTCCTTCAGATCTATTGAATGGGAACGGACGACAGGAGATCCCGAGAGAAAGTAACATCGTTTGAGCCTGTTCACATTAGTTAAACTCTTTAGGTTAGATATTCCATAGTGATTTGGAAACTAGCCTCTGATGTTCCTATGTATTTTCTGGTGCCTCTAATACCACCAGTTTCTAGCCTTGCGCTGGGGTTGATGCCTTTATCCCAACCCTCTTCAATCCAGTCTTGTATTCTTAATATAGAAGGTATCCCTCCTTCGAAGGGATGGCTTCCCCTCGGAAAGGCAGCTTGAATGTAGCTGATCATCATCTGAATATTCCTATATCCACAGAATCCACCTTCTCCCATGATTTGCTTTCCCACATGTTTTACCCATGGATGACATAACCAGGCGCGTGCAACATTTGGGTCACGCTCACACAGAAGCGCAATTACAGGAAGTAGATCTGAAGTTTCATTGGATACTGACACAGTTTTTACAATAGTATTAGTCGCACTGTCGATCCTGGTGTGTGTGCTGACTTTGCCGCCCCTTTCAAGTTCCTTGCGGAGCCAATCAGGCATTTGATGTTCATGGGCGTATGGCCCAAGGTCGGATTTCTATATAAATTAGTTTTATTCGAAGACGATGGTAGTAATCGATTGGTAAAAGGGGGGAAGCCACTTCACATACACCCAAACGTTTGACCCTACTGTCATTGTAAGGGTTGACTGTATTTGACCTTGGTGTTGATTTTTCGTGTCTCCTCGAACTGCTTGAACTGTTGCTTGTATAGACGGTATCTTTGCGCTGTCCCGGTGGGAAAGATACTTTTTTCGGCGATTGATGCCTTGTGGATACTACTAGTGAAGATAAAGGTTCAGAGTCTTTGTAAACCGGTCTGTGTCCAAAACCTCTATCCCGTTCTTTTTCTCTTCCTCTATCACTCTCCCTATCTTTGCGTGTGTCATTTTTATCATACTCCCTACGCTCATCTCTTTCTCTTCGCCGATCACTCTCCCTGAACTGTTTCCCCCTATCCTTATTATCGTATTCCCTACGGCTGTAAGCGTCTCTCGGTACCACCGACTCCCTAGATATAATACCATCTCTTCCTAGGAACAAACTTCTGCTTTCCTTTTTCTCTCTTTTTCGAGTCCCGCTACTACTTCTGCTGCTACCACCATTCGTCTCCTTTGCCGATTTACAACCACCACTCCCACTTTCCCGTTCCATATACACAGAATCCCTTGCAATTCCCATCTCTTTATGACTCGAGGCTGAACTCGCTGGAGAATTCCCGCTCGAGCTTCCGGATGAGCTTCTATACCCCTCCTCATGTCTCACATCCTCCATGGATATTTGTTCTGCATCGTGGAAATCAAGGTGAGTCTGTAACTCCATCAACAACACAGACTCCCCGCACCCGGACTCAGGGCAAAGGACATATGTCGTCTCTTCGCTCTCAACTTTTCTAAATTCGTAGTCTAGAGAATTGAAATTTCCACGGCCACCGATGCTACCGCTAATGGCGTTCTTGCACTCTTCCTTAACCACGAATGGGGAGTCTTCTGTGTGCAACGCTTCTATATGTAACAGGAGTACATACTCGTCGTTGTCATGGAACTGACAAAGGGGGCATTCAAGGCGTTTCTTGCGCTGCTGCTGCCTGTGCGCCATAGCGACCTAAAGAGTGATTAATTATGGTAGGGGAGGTTGTCAAGATATCCTTCAATGAAGGACTCAACGAAAGATAATGCAGAAGAGAAGTATGTTTTGCGGTTCAGGCAGCTGTTTGTTGACTTGCTGGAGGACCGACCATGTGTCTGTCCGGGAGATATGTATGAGGCTTACCCAGCGCAGGGATGATCAACCAGGTGTCACATTTGATCTAATACGTCTGCATGCAGCAGCCTCGAACCGATAGGCTGCTGTGGCAGTTTAAAGGTAAAGGTGGGCACACTTCGCTCTCTTCCACTTGTACTTGAACTCGAACTTTTTCTATAATACAAAACAATCGTTCCTGTCTTGAACCATTTTTTGGTCCGGGAGCAAAAAAAAAAAAAAAAAAAAAGGAACAATAAGATATAAGAGGCGAAATAATGGATAAACGACAAAAGATTTCTCGGATCTTCCAGGATCGGTGCCCTCACGATGACATCTACAAGTACTTTTTGGGCGAGCCTGCTCTCCTCCGCTTGTAAACAACGTACCCAGCAACAATAAACGCTTGGAAAGCAATAAGAATTGCAATGTATGTTCCAAGCCTGGAGCCACTCGTTGACAGGGCTAAAAACCAGAATGATATCAGCTCTTTGTGTCTTCTTTGTTGTTGGGGCAAACAATGAAAAGGGCTTTGTTAAAACGAACGAACCTTGGGTCACGGTATCGGGGACGGTATATAGTAAATTGGAGTGATGCTCTCTCAGAGTCCTCTGCAGCGCGTCGAACTGGTGTGAGTAATCTTTGTGGGTGATTGCGTTCCCAATTTGTACAGCGAGATTTTCAATAACGTTTCTGCATAGGTCCATGAGCCAAACGATCCAATTTACATCAACCATACTTATTAAGAGCGTATCTCGGGGACAATTTAATGAGCTTACATTTTGGTCTCCATATTATCAATTTGGCTGCGGGGAACTCTAGTTCCTCTCATTTCAGAACGCATGTCGTCGTGCCTGTGGGTCAGCGCATCGAGTCTGTCATAGAGCATTCCAATTTGGGATTGGATCGCAGCCATGTGATGTGTCTGTTTTTCGGAAGATAGGAAATATCAGATATTACTGTGGATAATAATAAACAATCACAAAGATCACCCACCATGCCCTGCAATCGATCGTGCAAATCCTGGAACTGCTGTTCCGGCGTTTTGTACATCTCTGCAGATGTGTCCTGGAACTCGGGAATGTACTCCTCAAAGTCCTGCTCGTGAGGTGTCCGGCCATGCGCTCTGGGGGCGTCATTCTGAGCGTTTTGCTGAGATGACTCGCGATTTATCTGCTCATTATCTCCAATATCCTGTTGCTGAGTCCCAGATGCGTCTCCACGCTGTTCCGGGGAAGCTACAAGTATCGAAAGAGCTCAAAGCTGTCAGGAGTGTCTGAAGTAAGTGCTGACACTCCGAAGTGGTAGCTAGAAGGAAGTTTAACCTGAATCACAAAGACGGTCAGCAAAATAGTATGCCAAAGTAGAGGGAAACCTCGTTTATGCACCTTTTCCGTTTCAAAACACAAGTTTCCATCAACTTCGACCTTAAAGGTCTTCGGCCCTTGGACAACCTTTAGAGATGTCAAAACTCCTCTGTTGCGATAATTTATGTCACAGTGCCAAAGGCAAGTGAGGGAACATGGTGGTGGATTGAATAGTCAGTCTGGCCATCGTTCAGATACCCCCGAACGCTTCCTGACTGTACTCGGCAATGGTTAGATGAAAAAATTTCCCCAAAAACCAAATTTCAGTTGAACATACTCCACCATACGAATCAACGACCAAAGCTAGTCCATCGAAGGGTTTTGAGGTATAGACCGATTCAAGTCCCCCCTTCCACTAGCCCCACCTGCGGTGTACCAGAAATGGAAACTCCCACCAGGCCTTTCGCCGCCCGATGTTCTAAAATCAATATCGACGGACCATTCCTTATATGGATTTGGTTTTTGCGTATATAGTCCAACGCGTTGGTTCCCGGGGCTTGGTGGTGTTAGGACCAATCTGTCCGAGAGTATCTGCGGATCGCCAAATATTTGGTATCCACGAATTGTATGTCTATCTTGGGAGAACCTTTGGATACTCATATTAGCATAATCCTGAATTCTTTTTGCGATATGTGTAACTCACGGATGGATCAGCCCGATTGAGTATTCAGCATCATATTCATAATTTCTGTCGGCCTGGGCGAAAGAATGTGCAGGTGCAAGTACTAAGAGTACCCGAGCAATGGCGTTGAAGCTCTTCAAGAGCCCTGATCTTGAGAGTGACGTTCTCATTTCAAAGGAGAATTGAAAAGAATGTAACGATTGGCTGCGATATGTGAAGCTCCTGACAGCAGAGCAGATTACGTGTAGAGATTGAAAAAAAAGAGGGAAACCTCGAGTCGCAGAAACCAATATAGGAAAAGGAAACACGGAGCGTTATTATATCGTGTGTAAGGTGTTGCTACCTGTCCTTAGAAGCTCTCCAGTTTATCCGGTGAAACAATCACATTGTTAGCAGCATTACACTGTTGCACACATTCAAGTCGGATGAATCCTATATTGATTACATAAGCAATGATTCGAGACGACTACTCTGACACTCATCCCTGCCAGTGAAAAATATAGCTACATGTAGGTACATGTACGTTATTCTTCCATTTTACCGCCAATTCCCGATATAAAATAGGTCTAGGTAGACTTGTTAGCCTGAGTTGAGTCCTGCCGGGACTTGATCAGTTGCACAGGCCAAGCGGTTTCCCCGGATTAATGCGGGGTTACCCGGACGTAGATAAGGCCGCATGACATGGCATGAATCAAAAGGCTAGCCGTTCCTGTATTACGCTCTCGGTTGATTATGCCTAACGGGCTGAGCTAGCCAACCAACCGGGCTACTGATTTGGAAGTGGCTTTTGTGGCACCTGCATGTAATATTTGTAGCAGACTCATGGACTAGAATAGTAGAGTGAGCACCTGTCGTGGTTCACCATCGACTAATGTTCTAACTACCAATGGCAGTGAAAATTCACGAGTAGTAGTTCAAATTATGGTAAGAAACAGCTAAGCCATAAAATCTTTAGGTCCTTTTCTATTATATACCGGGGTCCTTTCCAAGATTTCTCTTCTAGATAGATTCTGTGTCACCGGCTCCTTGTAGGCCGGTTATGAGATTGGGCAATCTTAGCTTCGCTAGTTAGTACTCATCTTTTTCTAACAGTGGCAGACGATCAAGGATGTAAGTTACCCTGAAAACACCAATTCAACCCCTTTCTTATGGATTACAAGAGACTGGTTTCTGGCGGAACACTCTGTAGTCACACTCCATTCGGTAGTTTGGGAGGGGGAGGGGAGGGGGCGGTATAGGGTTAGGGTTAGATTCGAACATTTTTATTTAGAGCCCTAACCCTGGCGTATTTCAGCGGTATCCCTTCGTTCGTGCCCGCGATTCACATAGCATAGCCGAGTTGATATTCAAAATCCTAACTGCTACAGGGGGTGGATACCCTCTAGGAGTAGAAAGATCTGTGGCTTCGAGGTTCGCGGAGTGTGGGTTAGGTGTGCTAGAGATAAAAGTCGCTGGAACAACTTAAACACCCCCAATAGCGTTTATGGTCAAAACGAACGAAGGGATCCCTTCGTCTGTTCCAGCGAATCGCGAGGATTGTTTAAAGCACTACTCGATTGAGGATTTTTGCGTGACGAGTGGGGACAATTTTGCACCGCCGGCCGCCGCTTTTAGCTAGGTAGTAGATTTTGTGTGGTGAGCCACTAATTGCCATAAGTCCTGAATACAGACGGAGGGATCCCATAATCTGGTGCTTAGATGCTGTCTATTTGACGGAATATTATAATTACTAAAAGAGGAAAGGTGGCAGCCGAATATGTGTGTGATCCAGACACAAGCCACAGCTGAAAATACGCCGCCCGAATCAATAGGCAGCTTTAACGGACTATGGATAGAGACGCACACAAACTATAAAGCGAACTTCGTAACAAAACTCTTCTAATATACAGGTGAGTACACCCTACACCGTTTTTCATGATTGAGCAGCATTAATTAAATCAAGACACTCCCGTTCTTCCGAAGGTTTTTTTTATAACTCATCACAGCTACATCGATCAGCTGTCCGTCCTGCGAAGAAAGGGGATTAAGTACAAAGATTTCCAGCACAAATTATAGATGTGCAGCCACAAACAGCCGTTTTTAATTCATTTCAGCCAACATAACATTTACTCTGCGATTTCGCCCTCTTCGCTTTCTTCTGCCTTCTCATCAAGTTGCATCTTTTCAGGCTGTTTTGTAGATGCCTTTATGGTTGGAGAGCGGACATCTCTGGGATAGTCATAGCCCACTGGAGTTCTTTCGTCAGGTGTTCTTGCCCTGGGGGTCCTCTCCTTAGGGGTTCTTTCCCGTCTCGATCTCTGATGTAGAAGTTAGTAAATTAAGATTTTCATGTCTTTAGTAAAAGGAGGATAATTATACCTTTGAATCCCTTCTACCATCATCGCTTTCTTCTGTAGGACTTAAAGGCCTAGCTCTTCTTCTAGTGCGATATTCATCGTCACCTCTAGTCCTATAAAGCCTCTCTCTCTCTTCTTCCCTCTCTCTTCGCTCTCTGTCATAGACACTTTCCGCTCGGTCTCTATCGTGTCTATGTCTACTATCGGGCCTTCTCGTTTCCCCTCTTTCGGAGCGATGATGCGAAGTGCTTCGCGCTACACTTCCCCTATGTTGATACACCCTTTCTCTTTCGCCAGCGGCCCTCCTTCTTTCTGCCTCATATGCATCAGGCTCTGGAGATCGGCTATGGTGGGAGTCACGATGATGACGAGAATCAGTAGGTTTGTGGTAGGAAGCACTTGAGCGGTGACCATTACGAGGTTCAACAGCAGCATCTCCACGATAAGCTCGCCCATCCCTATCCTTTTCCCGCACTCTGTCACCGCGATCTCTATCCCCACGATCCTTCTCTTTCCGCTCTCGTTCTTTCTCTCTATCGTCGTGCTTATCTTTAAGCCGACGAATGAATTTATCGAACGCTGTACGACGTAATTCTTCTGGATCAAGTGCTATAAATTCATCCATTTTTTGGATACGAGGACGGACTTGTTCCCACGTATCCGTCACATCAATCGGAGGCTCAAGGTGTTTCATAACAGACCTTAGAGCATCCATTTTGCGGCGTGCATGACGCTCCTGCTGGTGACGGTCGTCCTCGATACGCTTTACAATCTTCTCACGGAGTTTTTCGAATAGAGCAGCTATCGTTTCACGGTCATATTGTGCTGTACGATGGTCAGATTTCAACACACTTTCCAAATCTTCAAGAGTAGTTTGCTCTCTGATTTCAAATCGTTTCTCCTGTGTATCAGAATAGGGTATTAGCACGCCCTGTTATAACAAGGAAACAGATTAAGGAAACAGATTGGGGAACTCACATCCAAGATATCCAAAACTAGGTTCCTTTTCAATCTTATGTCTCTCTCAACCTCTTCCATAATGTCCCAAAACAAATCGAGAGGCGTAGAGCCAGGCTGGCCGAGCATATTGAGATACCGTTCGTCATCCTTAATTAACGGGTGAATATGTTTCCACTTTGTTCCGACTCGGATGTCACCTTTAGTACGAAGTTGGCTCAAAAGTGCCGTAAAGGCCTCCCTACACTTCCTCTCCTTTCTCATTTTCGTATTTTTGACCTTCTGCCTTTTGTCGTTGAATGTTCTCTCGAGCATTTTTATATGGTTTTCGAAAGCGTTCAACACATCAAGTTTGGATAATGCCTGGAATCTTTCTTCAGACTGGAAACGTTCATTCGCGTGGATGATCGCCTGGGCTTCTGACCAACGTGTATATGGCTCCAACTCAAGTGACTTTAGTAAGCCAACCAGCTCCTCTGATGCTTCCTTTCGTGCTTGCTGCTCACGCTCCTGTTGAGCCTTTCGAAGTTCTACAATGTACTCGTCAAACAATTGGCGACGTTCGCTTTCGTCTGAACTAGATCGAAAAATCGTTTCGCCCTCGATCATGGGTCGCGCAGTTCTACGGGCATAGGCCATTAGCACGGTTTAAGATGATTGGGGGCGGGTGGCTGTGAACATACTTCCACCTTGTGTAATATTTAATTTCGGGATGACTCTTCAACATGACTGCAAAGTCCTGTCTCAGCTTCGTGATCCTATCCTTTGCTTTCTCCTGCTCCTGCTGTTTGAGTTCGACAATATACTTCTCAAATGCTGCCTTCCTGTCCTTAGGATCCTTTAAAGCACGATACTGCGGCTCCTTTATAATTGTGCGCATCGTTTGCTCCCACGACCAGTCTGGCGCCACTCCAGTGCGACGCAAAAGCTTAATAAATGCCGCCTCGGCTTCGTCATGGGAGGAATATTGTGGACCATCTTTATCATTAGCTAAAGCAGAGGGAAGAGACATGGGCTTAGCAGCGCCATCGATGCTGGTGTCCATATGCGCACCCTGGAGGGCTACCTGGCGGTCATTGTTTTCGTAATGATTGTTGAAATTTTGTGTGCCCCCAGCGACGAAGGTTTGCTGCCTATTCCGTTATCAGTTTGAATTTTGTAAACACAAGGCTTGACATCATTCGGGGGAGATCTCGCGACTCACGGAATATGAGACAATCCTATAGGCGCCTGTGTTTTCTCTAAAGCAGCTTTATAGGCCTCGGGCATCTCCCAGGTGGTCTGTTTAGTCTCCTCATGATACCTGTTTCGGCGAACAGATTAGTACCGCGTCAGAAGTGGATATAGCGGTATTAGAAACTCACCAGTAGGGGCGGCCTTCTTCGGATTTGTGCTGCTTCCATGGCAGATCTTGTAGGGCCCTCTAAAATAGCATCAGTATCAACTTTTAACTTTATAGCTCGAGAAACCGGTTCTCACTTCGGCTGGTGTCATCATCTCTACTGGCTTGGTCCATTGGGTGGCTTTTGTTTGAACATTGTAGTAGTAAACTCGTCCCTCTGGATTCTTCGCTTCCTGCCATAGGGCTGACATGATTAATGAAGATGCGGAATGGCACAGGAAACTGTCGATATTTGAAGACAAAGAGGTGAACGCTGCGAAAGTGGATACTTCAACCTTTCTCTGTTTTTCTTTCCCTGGAGCTGCAATGGAAGGTTTCGCGCAGAAAAGGAAGACACGGTAGGTAGGGAGGCTGGCGATCTCGACCAATGAATCATAGCCCTAACCCTTAGCATCACAGGATCACAATTCAGTTAGTTAGTCCATGTTCAGGTCACGTACTTAGATGTTCCAACTCATTGACAGTGTGTATGGAGTCGGACTATGTGGTACATTTAGTGGGTATCAAATACGCTTTCCCGAGACTACAGTTATTACTGCTAACGTATCTCAGCAAGCGTGAGGAACTATTTTACAGCCTCCTGTTATATGTACACGTACCTTCCTTCTACTTGATAGGCCCTGTCCGCGGAGGAATTGTGAAGTTCAAAGGGTCAATTTTCAAATTAACGGCCGGCAAATACGCCCTATTTAAGTAAAAAAAAAATGGGGGTAATGAACGGAAGCTATGGATTAATTATAATTCCAACAATCGAACTCTCTACGAGAGGGGTACATGTAGTTAGGGTTTAGTGGAGACAACTATAAATGAAGAAAAGAACGTAAACCTACCTAAAGTTATACATGTATATCCATCATTGCTACATACATGTATCTAGGTTATCTATCGCGCGGTGGTAACACCGGGCCAACTCCTAGTTAATGGATGTCAGTAGATAGACGCTGAAATATTTAACAGATCAGTTCGCAGGGAGCTACTGCTCTACTCCATCTTCACCATCCTGCCCTTACATCCGCAATGCCTGCTACAGCCCCACGGGGAAAAGGACACGTCAGGACAAATACAGTCGAGATCCAGGAGTCTGCCCGTCTCGAGCTCGTTATTCCCCAAGCCTCAGATCTCGATATATCACAGGCAATTTCTAAGACGCTCGAGGATAGCAGTAAACCAGCTGCAACATATGCTGGCGGCATCCCCGCTGTAGCTACCATTGCGCAGCGTGATTCGCTCTTCTACGGTTCGTTCGGATTATGTATTTTCATAGAGCCAGTGATGAAGGCTAATAGTGTTCTTCGATATAGATGAGACACTTCCGGTCTTTGTAGTTCTTCAGATCCTCATCCCCCTGGAGGAAAGTCTTTATGAATCCTACCTCTCCCGACTCGCCGTATCTCTTGAAGTAGCGGCGGTAGATGGCCAAAAGCGCCAAACAGACTATGGGGGGAAGGGCCACGAGCAGCTCCACTTGCTCTTCCAGACAGTCGTGGATGAAAAGGAAACCCAGCGGATTCTATTGGGGGATGACTCGCAGAGGCTAGCTATATGGAAACTGGAGGTTCCATTAGGCCACCCCCGAGCTCGCCTGAATAACCCTCGTGTGATATTCACGGCTTCTACCACCATACGACCGACCGAGCTTCAGAAATCTGTGATCGAGGATGAATATATCACTTCCAGGCAACCTGTCGGTCTCAATCTTCTCGAATCCTTCTCAGATGACCCCTACTTATCTTCGATTGCTCCACGTCTCTCGGCATCCCGTGTCTCCCGCGTTATCCCTGTGACTCAAGCTCCCCAGCAAGCTCTGCGTCCCTTCGGTTATGCCTCAAAACGCTCTTTCAACATATACCCTGCGATTAATATTCGTTTGCGTTACTCACGTATTTTCTCCGGGACTAAACAAACAATTATTGCTTCCCTAGATCTTGAAGTTACCCCCTTCGGGGATTGCGATGTTACTATCGAGAGCGTTGACATTGCGTTGTCGGGTGGAAGAGCCGACGCACTAGAAGATATATCATCTTCCACACTGCCGATAGAATGCCGACCCAGAGATGATATAACGTTTCTATATACTCTTACTCAAACCGATCTTCTCCCAACCTCCAGCGATCCTATACCGATCCCCTCTAACTCACCGGTTCGCCCGATTTCAGTAAGCTTAAGAGCGACGGCACATCTTTCCTCAGTCTGTCATCCTAAGATATTCACAAACTGGACAACAACTGTAGACTTCTCCCCGCCTCCAGTAACGCCTTCATTCCCACCTACTCCGGGAATACAACGAACTCATCGCCCTCCTTCTTTGGGTAGTATAATTCACGGCGCAACTGTTTCTTCCTCTACTGGCATTCGGCCTGTTTATCAACCTGCACAACCTTCACCTAATATTGCCTTTACTCCACCCATTCTATCATCTCCCTCATTTGCGTCTTTCCAAAACCAGGAAAGTGCGCTGGGTTTGACGATAACTTTTGCAGGCCCTTCGAGAGTATATGTGGGCGAAGTTTTCCTCTGGACAGTATTCGTCGTAAACCGTTCCCAACGTGCAAGAAAACTAGCACTCATCGTTCCACCAAAACGACGAAAGGTCGGGGAAGGTAAAGTTCTACCCCCTCGACCAGCAGGGGATGATGCAACGGAATCGGTATTGGACGAAAATGTCGTGTACCAGACACACAGGGCGCAGTATCTAGAACCGGCAGAGTTGGTCCCACTTGTCAACGATGTTAGGGTTGGGTAAGTCGCGTCATATTATAACATTGAAAACAAAACCTAATCATTATCCCATATTAGGCCGTTACTACCCTCGGCATGTCACACAGCTGAACTTCGATTCATCGCGTTGGCAACTGGTGTACTGAACGTTGAGGGCGTACGAGTTGTAGACTTGGTAACAAATGAAACCACGGACTGCAGAGATTTACCAAGCATTGTCTCCGTAGGGAAGAGGTAAAGTTGAGACATACGAGGAGGAGGAGAATGCTGGTTTTGTTACAATAGACTAAATTTAGGTAAACTATTAAACATGGCATGTTTGGTGATTTTATTTCTGTTCTTAGGAGGATCATGTGGATAGATTATTCATATACCATACATCATGAAATTTACTAACTGAGAACCTAGGACTATTTTACATATTATGTACATAATACACAAAAAAAACAGTTTGGTGGGGGGTTTTAGATGTAATTATAATATGGAATAATACAAAAAAAATTAACTCCCAGCATTAGAGCGTTTTAGCTGTGCCAGTTGAACAGAAAGTCGGACAGGTTGGACAGAAATTCTCACTATTTTAGGCAAAGACTTGCAAGGATTCAGCCAATAAGAGGTGCAGGACTTTCTGTCCAAGTGCTCGACTTTCTGTTCAACTGGCGCAGCTAAAACGCTCTATTGATGGAAGAACTCTGTAATTTCCATTTTCATGCCGTACAGCATAAGTACATGTATATGCGCATACATGTATAGCTACCCTATACCATAATTGTAGTAGTCTGCGTACTTTGATGCTGGCCAGGTCCCTTGGGAAGAATAGACGAAGTATATTTATAGCAAAATATAACATTTTACCAGGCTCTTGTACTGTGACATAACCGTATTTACAACATCGAACATTGGCATAATGGTTAAGGTCACATATGCATGTACGAAGCCCCAAATCATAATGGCATATGTTGAATCGATTTATATGTTATTATACCGCAATTCAAAATACGCCTAATTCCTATCTCTAGGCACCATTATTACTGTTACTGGTAGTACTAGCATTCTCTAGTAGCCACCTTGCATGACCATCCCAAGTATCCCGATGCAACGCTGCCAGGCGGTCATAATGGTCATATAACATCGCCAACTCACTTTCCAATGCCTCAACTTTGTGTTTTGATGCTAGTGATGGTGTATATGCTCTCATATCTATCATACCTCTCATAACAACCGCTGAGTCCGAAAGTGGCGTGAAATTTGAGATCCGGGTGGGATTTTTGGTGCCAAGAGATGCTGAAACGGTTTCATGAATAAACCCATTTGATTTGGTCATTAATGCATAGTTATGCAAGTCGACAATTGTGGAAGCGGATGCAAGAACGGCATCATAACGCGGCTTTTTAATTGTTGTTTGCTCGATGGTGTCATGGGCATTAGGAGAAGTTGGGACAAAGCTATTTGGAGGTAGAATTTTGATAGTTGTCACAGAAGCTAGATGATAAACGGCTTGGAATAAATAAAGATTACGAAAAATGAAGGGCCGGATGCTTACATTTGAATTGCGCTAGCGTTCGGAACACATGACCCGTGGCTACATCCCAGATGCTGACGGTTCCTTTCTCGGTCCCAGTGACGAGATAGTTTCCCTCGTAGACAACACCCATTGATGTAATAGGGCTTTCATGATCAGTAGCATGCCAACGATTCCCTGAGAGTGTCACAGGAACATGCCGAAACTGTTCGGAGAACAGTTGATTTGAAGATGTATCCATCGTTTCATCAGAGCCAGCATTGCTGTGAAAGCTCACGCTTTGAACTGTTCCATCCTCGAGGCCTGCATAAAAAGCGCGATCCACAGGATCAAGCGCTAAAGCTGTAGGAACAGAGGAAAGTATGTATGTTCGTAAGTGAGTACCATTACGATAGTCCCATACCTAGCTGGGTCAGTGGCTAGAACCATGTTTAATCTTATAGTGTTTTTCAAATGATTCTTACTATACAAGACGAATCCTTTGAAGCAGTGACCATAATATCAGTTGGCCCCGCTGCACCGATTCTCCCAGGTGATATAGCTGTGATTTCCCGCTGGTGACGGTCAAGGATTCTCTCCGGCTTTCTCTCGCTACTCCGAATGTCGAGTAAGGAGACCAGAGACCATACATAGACATTGCTGTCTGCGGAACCTGTTATGACAAAATTTGAATTAAAGTCGAAGGCGATGCATGTAACTTTTTGAAGATGTATTTGAGGGGTCGAGATAAATCGTCCGGTTGCAGTCTAGAAGGCAATGTGTTATAAACCTTTCTAAAAAGAGATTTTGGTAAACCGTTACTGGTTCTAAGGATCACACAAACCTCCCAAATTGTGAGCCGTCCAGAGTCGGTTCCTCCAGCCAGAAATGCTCCAGATCCCCCGCTCGCTTCAATGACCGTGAACTTTTCTTGGAATGGCACTGTAGATTCTAAATTTTGTTTCGATCTGTTGTATATATTGATAACTGCCTTATCACCCTGCGCAGCGAAAATATGCGATGGGGTTACTGCAAGACAGTTTTTTAGTGTCGAAGAGCGCTTGAAGCTTGCTGTCTGTGAATATGTATGCAAGTCAAAGACAGCAATGCTAGACTCGGCTGTTGAAACACTAGAGTTATCGAGTGAAGAGCGCTGGGTGCCGAGAATCACCTGTTCAGTCAACATTATTTGATATCCTTCCGGGGGCTTTGGGTGTTGTGGAATAAATAAGAAATGATTGGGCTCAATTCTAGTAGATGTTCTAAAAATGCCCAGGACTTTTTTTTTGCGGCAAGTAAATGTAGGTGAGCCTCATGCATGGTCCGTGCATCAACTGGGACTAGGGTAACACAAGAAAATTCTTAGGGTCATGACATTTTTGATACTTTGTCTGCAACCACACTCCTCCGAAAACCCACAAGGACGAGCAAAATGGCCCTAGTTACGAAAAAACGCCGAACGGATAACCGCAAAATCAGCGCTATAGAAGTTGCAAGTGATTCTGTGCCAGAGAATTTTTCAATTGACGAAGTTGAAGATAAAGCAGACGGTAGTGAAATGGAGTCTTCTGGCGAGGATGACATCGAAACCCCCAATTCGAACCAAAAAGAACGAAAGCAAAGAAAAAGAAAGGGCGCTGATGGAGGGGTATCTGAGAAGGAGAAGGCTCAAGCAGTCAGCGACATGTACGAATACAAATCGAACGTGTTCCGGATGGAAACTGAAGAGTTGTTGAAGGAAGTCCGTCTAAACTACCAGAAGCGCATGGCACCTGTGGAGAGAGTCTTGCACAGGTTAAAGAGTATTATTGAAGCTATCCCTGAAAACCTAGATATTCCCGTGAGTTTCATTATCCAAACCTTTCCTAGACGAAAAGTCTTACTGACCATGCAACCGGCAGATATGCGAGGCCGAGAAAGAGATGAACAGGCGCAAAATCAACATTCCCTTCCCGGATCCAAAACCGGCAAAGGATGTTATGTACAAATTTTCATATGCAACGCCATCCTATATCAACATCGTTGGCGGATATGCGCTTAAGACATTGATTAAACAAAGTGAAGGGTTTTCGATCGATTTGATTGTCTCAATGCCTTCGGTATGTCCATAAGTCGAATTTAAGGAACCATAATATGCTAAACCAGGTTTAGAACATTTTCCAAGAAAAGGATTATCTTAATTACCGATACTTTCACAAGAGGGCATACTATCTTGCGAATTTGGCTGCGGCAATCCAAGAGTCTAAGGATATCAAAGTAAAATTAACAATTGACTATATCAACCAAGACCTCCTACGCCCCATTTTGGTGGTTTCTCCTAGTGGCAGTAGGTTTCATATAAAATCCAATAAAAAAGGCAATCCTAACTAAATTATAGATGGCGATGAACTAGATTTTACCGCTTCAAAGTGCTCGATCAGGTTGATCCCCGCCGCTTCTCGAGATACATTCGCGACAAATAAGCTACTCCCTTCTAAAAATTGTGTAAGGGTTTCTCAAACACTTGAGGTGGACGGAAAAAAGACGCCTGAACCAGGCCCAACAACATCATACAATTCATCCCTATTGGCCGATACAACTTATTTCAAACATCTATCACAACTTCATTCCAGCTCTGAGAATTGTGCATCTTTCAAAGATGCATGCTTATTAGGAAGAGTGTGGTTGCATCAACGGGGATTCGGAGGGGGGATTAGCAAGGGCGGGTTTGGCCATTTCGAATGGGCTATTTTGATGTCATTTCTGTTAAAAGGAGGGGATTCCAAAGGACACGCCATTCTTTCTCAAGGATATAACAACTACCAGATGTTTAAGGCTATAATCCAGTTTCTGGCAACAAGAGATTTGGTAGCGAGTCCATTGATTTTCAATGCCGGCGAGGAAGCGAAAGTCAAAGACTCAAGGTTGCCATTATTATTTGATGGTTCGAATGGGCTGAACTTGCTATTCAAAATGACACCATGGTCGTATAGATTGGTTCGTAAAACCGTTCGCGGAATTTATATATGATTCAGAACTAATGCTTCTCAAGTTAAAACACGAGGCGACGATGACCATGAAACTCCTCAATGATACAACATCTGACAACTTCGATGCCATATTTCTAAATAAGGTTGATGAGCTACATTCCAGATTCGATTCCATTACTCGTATTCCAATTTCTCAAGCGACTACAGAACTGGGATCCACCATGGTATCGAACGATGCAGACCATAGGACTCATACACTGCTGTCATATTCCTACAAACTCTATGACTCTCTGGCTAGAGGCCTTGGAGATAGGGTTTCTCTGATTCATCTGATCTTACCTTCACCTTCCCCCAGAAGCATTAACCTGAAATCACCCCCCCAACCTTTAGTTGAAAGGCAGATAATTGTTGGTTTCATGTTGGATGCTAATCAATACGCACGAGCTGTGGATCATGGTCCTCCAGCAGAACATAAGAAAGAGGCGGCAGAATATCGTAAATTCTGGGGCCCTAAAGCAGAACTACGTAGATTCAAAGATGGAAGCATCCTCGAGAGTGTTGTCTGGACGGACAAAGACTCAAAACTGTCGATTTTCAATCAGATTATCCAGTATATTGTAGAGCGACATATTGGAACAGATGTCGCGAAAGATGCCGTTTTTATCGGCGAGGAATTTATTCGTCTTCTTCCGAAATCCCAGCTTTTAGGCTCCCAGTCTACAACATCTTTTCAGCCGGCGATGAATGGTTTCGATATGCTTGTCAAGGATCTAAGAGCTCTTGAAGGTCTTCCCTTACAAGTGAGACAGATATCTGCAGCTGCGCCTTCTTTAAGATACTCTACAGTGGAGGTTCCATTGGTTGCTGCAGATGGGCAATACTTGATGGAACCAGCAGACGTGGTTGTGCAGTTTGAAAGCTCACTTAAATGGCCCGAAGACCTCGTCGCGGTCCAAAAGGCAAAGATCGCGTTTCTTTTGAAAATTGCAGAGCTCCTTGAGCAGGCAAAAGGCGAGGATATTGTTACCCGAGTTGGACTTGAGAACGAAGGCCACAATACTATGAACAGCGCTTTCCTTGACGTTGTTTATCTTACGGGTGCTACGTTTAGGGTTCGGATATATCATGATAGAGAACGAAACCTTCTTGAGAGGCAATTGAAGGATAAAAGCCTTTCTCCTCGTACTAGAGAGGAGATTACCCAAGCGTTGTCGGAACATTGCAGATCGTTCATCTATGGGCCTCTACATACCCAAGACCTTCAAAAACTTTGTCACCGATTCCCTGCCCTTTCTCCGACGATCAGGCTGGTCAAGAAATGGTTTCACTCACATTTACTATCCCCTCATATATCGGATGAGCTAGTAGAGCTTATTACACTCCGATGCTTCATCAATCCATCATCCTGGGTGAGACCATCTAGCGTAATGACTGGGTTTTTGAGGACAATTTCATTCATTTCTCAATGGGACTGGAGAACAGAGCCATTGATTGTAGACATGTCTATTGGCGATTTGGGGCCCTCAGCCATCCAGGAAATTATCGAGAGGTTCGACTCAATGAGAAAGAACGATCCTGCACTGAACAAAACTGTTCTTTTTGCGGCTTCAAATCACAGCCAAGATGGGACCACATGGACGGAGAATGGGCCGATCAAGGTTGTGGCCACCAGAATGACGGCATTAGCAAGGAGTGCCTGTGAGTTGGTCAAGAACTGCGGCTCGCAGATCGAGGCTGAAACTCTATTTACACACTCTATGAAAGATTATGATTTTATCCTTCAGCTCAATCCAGCATTTACGGCGGGTGGGATCCGAAAAAAAAAGCAACAACCAAAATTTAAGAATTTACAAAAACCAGAGATAATCACAACTCAGGATATTTCGAAGCTAGGGCTTGACCCTGTGAAAATGTTTCTTTCGGAGCTTTCGGTTCGTCTCCAGTTGCGCTCTATAATAAATTTTGAAGCTTACTATCTCCACAGAATCTTTATGGCCATAATTTTATCATGTTCTATGATTGCTTGGTTGGTGTAACTGTGGGGTGTTTATGGAGCCCACTCTGCACAGGTGCTAGAGGGTGGAAAGTAAACTTGACATACTCGACGTCACCGATCACGGAGAGATCTGACAAGGACGATGGAAATGTAAAATTTTCTTTTTCTAAACTGATTTGAACTTTGATTACTAATTTTAACTCTTCTTAGGATGCAAAGCTCGTTATCAACAAGAAAGCCATTCTCAACGAGATCGCGAGGTTGGGAGGCGAACTAGTGAAGAACATTGAAGTAAATAGGCCATAATATACAGATCTAGGGGAAGGAGAGCATAAATAAAAGTATCGCGGGTCTGGTTTATCTAGGGGAATAATTTAATGAGAGATCATTTTGGGTGTTTTTCTTGGTTTTCTGAGTGGTAATACTCTCAGTGATTTAGCCAATGAGCGGCCGGGAAATGCATCTTCTAGTTGGGTCAACCCCTATATAATACATGAGGAACCTCTGCGGCGGGAAATTATCAAAAAAATTATCAATCTGCAGTAGGAACTGGGAGATTGGCTGATCGAGAATCACAGATGATCACTCGCACATGCAATCGCGCGCCAAAGGGAATTAAGAGACGACCCGGCCAGTTAACTATATATTATCGAGGCCATGATAGGGCCCTTCAAGTAGAGTATGATGCGGCTATTTGAGGGTTTTAGATAGTAGTATTTCGGAAAGTCGAAATGATTTTAATATTGCGTAGGATACGATGGAGAAAGAAATGTAGATACTAAGCGCGTGTGAAGGCGCTGTACTCAGATAAGCGCGATAACATGTGTCAGCTCCAAAAGCGTTGACCACGTGCAGAACCTATCTAGAAACTGCAAGCGTCTAGACTAAGCAGCATTGCCTCCAGGAAACTCCTCCAGTCAATCTGTCTACTATTTATTCACCCCCTTCCACCGCAACTCAAACATATCATAGCAGTAGTAAACATCAAGTGCTATTACAACACAACTAGAGCTATAACAGCAACTTCAAGCATCTCAACCTATCAAAATGAAGGTTTATTACATCGGCGTGAGTGCTTACTTTCCCCGCAGCACCTACCGGTGGAAGTGAATTGAAGCTAATGTCCAGCTTTACAATGCGTATAGGTGTTCCGCAGAGACCCTGAGCCGACTTTTGAGCTTTGTTCTCAAACTGATCTCTCGAGCTTCGGTTATTTTCAACAGACTCCCGTTAGCGAGTTCATGAGTCTGTTCGCCCGTGCCATAGCGGAGAGCAAGGACTTGACACCACGTCAAGAAGTCGCAGAACAATGTACGCTACCGCCTTCCGGAAACCCTTTCGCCCCACAGGGGATATGTGAATAGTTCTCATCCACTAACCTTCGGTATATAGCCTACGTCTTCTACGTGTACAAGCGTTCCGAGGGCATTGTCAGCGTGGTGATCACCGATCAAGAATATCCAAAACAAGTCGCGCACAAGCTTCTTTCGCAGGTCTCTGATGATTTCTTGACAACTTATACTCGCGCAAAATGGTCTCAAGCTGGAAAACTCCCTCTTCCAGTCCTGGGCGAGTACATCGTCAAGTACCAGGATCCGAAACAAGCCGATAGCATGCTGAGGATTCAACAAGAACTGGACGAGACAAAGATTGTCTTGCACAAGACTATCGAAAGTGTACTGGAACGGGGCGAGAAAATCGACAACTTAGTTGCCAGAAGTGAAGGGCTGAGCTCCTCGTCCAAGATGTTTTACACCCAGGTACCCGGACCTCCCCCCATCGCAACAATGAAGGGTTCGCGCTGACTCGTACCCATAGGCCAAAAAACAAAATAGTTGCTGTGTAATTACTTAGATTTCCACATCTCAGTGGTGGACCGGAGACCGACCTTGCCAATCATAGGGGCATGAAATTTTATTAAACTATATTTGTTTTTCTTCGGTCATTTCTCTAGTTGGGGGTTCTATTATCTTTTTTTACTCTTTTTTCCCCTCTTGTTTCGGTGTTTTTTCTTCCTTTTTTTGTCTTTCTGATTGAGCTACTTTCCTGGGATGAAACTTGAGGTTTGGTGCTTTGTACGAGTGCTCGCAAGAATATTGGTCATAAATGCGAACCTCTTATTATTGACTTATAAAAATATATGTCGCAGTATTATTAATGATTGACGGGTCCATACACTACTTGATCTCGGAGGTAGTGAGAGCGCCGCGATATCTCGATAATGAGTAACTAATCTTCCTAACTGGTATCAGTTTTGTAACCGAGGGGTACATCATGTAGAGTATGCAGGAAACATTTGGCGTCCCAACCTCAATAATTACCCCACTATGGGCGGGGGGTTCCGAATGCATATATATATTGGTAGCTTGGATACTGTAGGTAGCATTTTGATTAGGTGTCATCTTGACAGCTGCATACACATACATACACTATATGTAGGTACGATTAGGAGATAAAATGGTTGGTTTATAAGCCAAGAAGATGAATCCAATCCATCCCAGAAGGAAACCAGAGCTAGGTAGGAGAATCGGCGGTTTAAACGCACCCGACAATATATGAAGATCTAGAGACAAGTGTAAGATTTACTCTGGACCCCGTGGCTCTAACTTCAAAATCCACATATCCAAATGTTGGAAAAATGAAACATCAACCATAACAATACAAGATCAAGACACCAGTTACAATTGTTATAAATAAGCTAGAGAGAATCACTGCCCAAACCATTCCTTTTTTTCATCGTCCATGTAAGAAAAAAAACAGCCTAAATTATAACACACGTGCAAAAAGAAAAGAAAAACCCCGAACCAAGCCTCATTACTTGGTAAAAAGACATAACAGAATGAATAACACATAGTCGAGATACTATTCCTCGTCCGTGTCCGTATCCGTATCTGTTTCGCTTTCCTCGGCAGCCTGCTCCCCATCGGTGTCGGACTCCTCGTCTTCAGACGAGTCATCGTCTTTTGGTACCTTCTTCTTTTTAACCGGGCCTCCACGCATAGCATTCATTTGGCCTGCAATCGAATCTATAACAAAACAGTTGGTTAATTTCTGGTTCCTCTCAAGATCACGGGAAACGGCAAGATATACCTTCTTCCGGTTCGCTGATATCATCTTCCTCAATGATCTTCTCAACTTTACTAGGATCGCTAATAACCAGCTTCACGCTCCGTCTGGTATCGACTCCGAGGTAAGAATCGCTGACACAATGCATCACGAATGTATATTCACCCGGTTGTGGTGGTGCCTGGAACTGCATTTTGAATGTTTGAACAGCAAAATTATCAGTGCTCTTCTCGAAGCCTGTAATAGCCTGAGGAGGAACAATCATCTTGGCTTGCTTTGCGTCTGCAAGGAAGATCTGCCAGCTTGGTGTGTAGTCTCGAGGATAGAATGGGGCGTGAGCAAATGGAGTAGTTGGAGTTTCTTCGCCCTGTTTCGATTGTGACCAACGGGATTTGCGACCAAGAAGGGCCTCAACATCGGTTTCTTCGGGGTCTTCGTCCAGTAGATCCTTAGGGTCGACAGGGGGCGCTTTAGACCCAGGAGGGATGACTCTACATTTAACCACGAATTGTACCAAGCTAGAGGGTGTGATATATGTTTCGCCCATGACTTTGAAAAATGCATCCTCTACAGAAAGCGCAGGAAGATTTTTGGCAAAGTAAATAGCCTGTTCATATTGCTTTTCCGAAAGAAGTCCCTTGCCAACACAAAGTTTTCGTCGTTTCTCTTCAGGAGTGGCCATGAAGCGCTGAACTGTCCAGTGGTTCTTACCCCCATCCTGTTCAACAGCAGCAACAATCTCGCTGGTGAAGTTGGGCAGTTGGAGAAGCGGTGAATGATCAGGAGGGATAGCTTGAATAAGGCTTTGGTTCAGAGACATAGAAGCAAGAATTGGTTGGGTGTTGCTGTAAGCGAGTGAGATTGCATGAAAACTCCTGTTAAGCGCAACTGCTGCAGGGCCAATGTCAAGTTTTGCTAGATTATGTAAGTAATAGCCAGCTAATGATAATTCATTGTGGAAAGTATACCGTTTTCAAGTTTTTCGCTTCCCAGATCAACCCGATAAAGATACGCCCATAGAAGCCCACAGGCTCTTCGTTGCCAGCCATCTAGTTCTTGTAATGCAGCAAGCTCCCTTTCAGGTACTCCTGCTTCGCGGATTTTCCGTTCAATGATTGCCTCTTCACTCCCAATCCATTCCTTTTCTCTTTTGCCACCAGTTATATGTTTCATTTCTTCACCGACAGTCAAGATCGATACCAGTTTTTTTTCGTCGATGTGTTCATCGTAAGCCCTAAAAAGACTACCAGCACTCTCCATCAAAACCCCATCCTTGGTGTGCTTCTTAGTTCCGTACCACCAACGGCCCACGGTGTATGGCAGTAATATCCCGAACAATAATCCATAAACAGCAAGAACGTAGTAAGAATTTCCTTCAGAGACGATCCAAACGGGTAGAGCAATTCCAATAGAAAACGCCTGCTTTCCGTCAGGATGACCGTATTGAGCGTAATTATTGCGGATCTCCTCATCTGTCAATGTTTTGTAGGCCTTTGTCAGCTCCGAAAATTGCTCGTTGAGCATCTCAATGGTCTGGTTCTCGGTAGGGCGGATTTTGTCGGGATGAAATTTGAGAGAGAGCTTTCGGTAGTGAGATTTGATTTGTTTTTCAGTGGCTGATGTGCTGATTCCTAAAATGTCATACGGATCCCAGATCTTCTTGCCTTCCGCATTTTTGGTAGTAGCAATAAGGTAAACCATGTAGGCAAACAACACCCATCCGAAAACAATGGAGATAAAGCGCTTCAAGCGGCGTTCCCGCTTTGCCTGTCGACGGCGCGCACCATCAATCAGGTCGCTATTAGGCGGTTTATAGGTGTTGTCTTTTAGGAGAGGTGTCTTTAAAAGTCCCGGCTCTGAGTACAAACATTAGCAATCGTGCTCAAAGGGCTCTAGAAAGTGAGGAATAGCTACGTTTACTGGGCGCAAAGGTGGAGTAAGTGAGCGGTACGAGGACCAGCCCTGAAAGTGTAAGGATAAAATAAGGGAAAAATTGTCCCTAAATTGATAAGATTGCAAGTTAGTTATAAGCTCGTAGCCTTCTGACTGCATCCTCTCGAGAAGAGATGTACCTGGTCATCATAATTATAGTCTTGCGACATGGTTGCGGGATCAGCGCTTTGCCCGCTGGTTTATTTCTAGCTCTACTATTTTCCCCTCTAGTCCGATTTGTATATTATGAGCTTTCAAGTAGTAAATGTGAGGAAACGAAAGGAGCTTGTTGAGATCAGAAGGAATGGTAGAAGCCAGGTAGTTATTTGTCGACTCTTATTTGTAGGTAGGTGCCGCTTGTCTGGGAGGCCCTATAATAGGGGAGCTGAGTGGTTGTTGGTTGTCGAGGGAAAGGAGAGATAAAATAGAAGAAACTGTAGGTTCTGCAATGCGGGTATCTATTGAGCCCAAGAGAGCATCGTGTCCTCTTGACTTTTTCGCCAAAAGAGCCCGCCGCTCTTCCCCTGCATCTGACTAAGCTGTACCTAAATAGAACGCATAATCGTGGCTCCTAATCTAACCCTAACCCATATGAGTAGTCTAAGCCCCACCACCGAGAGGCAAAATTCTACCGCCTCTCCCTTCACAGCAGCACCCATCATGGTTTTAGAGGCCCTCGGCCAGTCAAGCAGAAATGAGGTGGATCTTGAAAGCAAGCCCCGTCTTCAGGAAAACATCAACAACAACAGACCTCCAAAACGGATAAAACATGTTCATTTACACAAATCTACGGATAATATTAAGGGGATAATAGGAAAGAAGTCAGAGTCAGAAAGTGAACAGGAAGACTCCCCATCTTTTGCAGATAATGGACTATACGCATCCTTGCCACTACCAAACGACCATGATACGGCCATAAGGGAATACACAGCTACAGAAAAATATCGCAAGTCTATATATGTCGAAGCTTTCAATCTGGCACTAGATACAGTATTAAAAGATGAACTGCACTTGTTCTCCGATTCCGAGCAAGAGATTTTTGCGAAGTACCGGTCCTTGGAATATGAGCCTCAGTTCCTGTATGACCAGTCTTATCAACTACTTTCCTTGTACTATACTAACGCGGCTACCCTCTCAGATATATTCGTTTGTTTCTCCGCAAAACATCGGCTTGGTTTCGTGTAAGGAAGCTTGGCTACTACAACGATATTTCCGATATGTCTTCCGCGTGCAAAACACTTCAATGTGATGAAGTTGGATTTGCTGAAAACGAAAAGGCCATAACTACTCTGGAAGAAGCTGTTACTCTCTTAAATGGGGAGGAACTGAAATTAATCGCAAAAGAAGCAAAGGCTACTGGCTCAAATAAGGTTGAATTAATGGCGGCTTTGAAAAAGGCTTCAGGTGGACAAGTTGGACTCGGATCTAAGGGGCAACTCGGGCTTAGCTTTGACAAGAAAGGGAATTATGTTACTCGCGATACGCATTTTGTGAAAAAGACATTGGAAATGACTGGTATAGCCCAATTTCACTTTTCCTTGAATTCGCTTTTTGAATCATGAAATATCACCCGGTTTCACCCAACCCATCTTTTTCCGAGTCCGTTATTGTTCCTCTCAAATATTATATCAGATCATACATTCCTAATACTGTGTGCCGATTCGCTTCTCCAGGGCCCCTCATCCGCCTTAAGTCAAGCGCAACAACCCTTTTTGAACGTGTCCACCTCGTGTTCTACCGTTCCTCCAAGTGGACAGAAAAATCTCTCACTACAATGATTCTTGCACGAACACAACGCCGTAACTTCCCAAATTATATTGTATCTCGCACATCCAATATCTTTCCTACTCGTGCCTCTCTTCTAGATTTCGAGGAAAGCATTAAGATCCAATCTTCCGTCGATGAGATTCTTGAAAACAATGGTTCTACAACAATGGAAGGCCTCGAGAATGTGGGAACTATTCTTGATCGAATATATGAAAAATGGAAGCGCTTGATCGCCGAGGATCAGGAAAGAAAACATGGCAACGAAGAAGAAGAACTAGAGAACGTTTATCTGAGACGCTTCACAGCAGCTTGGGTCCTGACTCGAGTCGTTCACAAGGGTGGATACGTTCTTGGTAGGCTCAAAGATTATGCACGAGAATATGAGGTCCTTAACGCGTTACTTGCTCAACGTGGCCATCATCCTGCCAGGAAAGGAGGATGGTATCAACGAAGAGCGCTGATCGAAGAAAATTACATGGCCTCTATCACCCCTGGCCCAACTTCAAATACAACCTCAGAGGCGAACAAGAAAATCTGGTTGCGGAAAGCATTGAAAACATGCGAGGCGGGATTACAGGATCCAGAGACACATTTAATCTATCACTATGATCTACAAAAGCGGATCATGAAATTAGAGCCAAGGCTACGTATCCCGAAAAAAGATCAACACGATTTTGGCCATTCTAGACTAATACAACCTGAAAAAAGGAAAATCATGGGCGAGAGGGTATTCCAAGAGATAGAGGCCAATGACTCGGCTATGGGGAGGAAAACGATTTGGAGAGACGAAAAGGAAGGCGGTGAATGTAGCGTTGAGGAAATGTGTCTATCTTATTATCGAAGCGAAGGATGGAAGGGATACCACTCAGAGGGGGGGATTCTCAAACCCTATTTGCCTATTTATTTTACGATATCATGTTTCTTTATCTCCCTAATGTTTTCCAAACCCAGTTTCAAACATGCCCTTTAGATCTGTTTACAGACGGATTCTACCCCGCCCGCTTGAGTGAAATCAACCATCGCTTAGCTGAGCTGTCAAATGGGGGAGCAGCCGCTATTATTGAGAATATTGATCGGGAACATAGATGCAGAAGGACATGCATTGTTGGTTTGGATTGGAGTTTTGCGAAAGAAGATCTATTGGAGATTGTTGACGTCAGTATCCCCTCATCAACTCTCTATTTGTCCCAAAATCTTGGATAGAAAACTTATGACTGGAACGATACTAGTGTATTGGCGGGGATGCATTGGGCATCATTTGTAAAGTTGTAAGTACACCCAGAAATCGCAATATTATTCTATGGAAATACTAATGATTCAACTTGACCTATAGTTCTGCCAGGAATACCGCCAAAGGGCATCAGGTCTTCCAGATCTATTCCTCTGGAACCCTAAAAAAAAATTATGCATGTTTTCAGAAGGTAAGGGTTTTCTTTTATTCTTCGAGTTACGACTAATATAGTCAATCTCTAGTCAAATCCGAGAATGATAGATTAGGTGATAAACAAAGACTCTGGATACACGTTTTGTCTGGTGCAGGTGTGAAAGTGGAACTGTGCGCGGCCGTTGCACGAAACCAGAAATGAAGAAGCAGGGCTCCACAAGGGCTAGATGATTATATTGGTTTATAAAATTATCAAGGTTATTACATTATTACGAGGTTATGAGGAGATTCAATAACGATGGGAATTTTGAATTGTTCAGGCCCTTTTAGTTCGGTGATTTAGTACTTATTTGGATTCTCTTTTAGTACTAGTACATTGGATGCTATCTTGATTCCCAAGTTCCAATGCTTTATGATTCGATTGAATCAAAGCTATTCTCTTTTTCGGGACTCCTATGGCCATGTGGGTCTAGCTCGGGCCCAGAAACAATCTTGAGGTCTGTTTCCTCATCACACATGAACCCTAAAAGATCGATTGGTTGTCCCAACAAAAGGGGCCCCGTATCGACTTTTGCATATTCCATGTTTCTTGGGAGTGTTTTCGACCTGAAGTTCCTTCTATCAAAAGTTTCAATGTTCCGTTCTATACTGGATGTTCCGTAACCCCCATAGGTACCTTCCGGAAACGAAACCCTCCGTTTAACGTCATGATCCTTTAAGCGTTTTGATAATAATGGTGACAGTGTTTGGTTATTGTGTGGGAGGAAAGGTTTTCTTTGGGGAGAACCAACTTTTCTGGCAGGACTGAGATGCATGCGACACCCTCCAGGATCAACATGAGGAATCTTTCTTCCTGTTTCGTTGGTTACCAACGACTCACAAGAGTCTAGAGTCGATATTTGCTCAGATGAAATAGTAATTCTACTAATACTTCGTGTACTACCGGTGCCGTCCATTCTACGGCGGCCAAGTGAAACATCCTTTTCGTCAAGAATTCTTGATTGCATCAGAATCTCTAACACATCCTCAAGGGTAATCACACCTGTTATATGTCCTCGGGATGATAAGTAGTTTTCTTCATCTGTCCAATACTTCGGAGTGTGGTGAAGTGATGTTTTTTTGGCTTCCGTGGCCTTTGAGTGGCATGGGAAGATTTTTCGTAGAATATTCCGACATTTTTCTTTTGCTATTCTCCAAAAAGATTGTGAAGGCTTGGATTCCAGAAACGAGTCAAAAAATTTGATCTCCTCCAAATCTCTTTCTACAATTGCCATACTAAATCAACATATATATTAGTTTATAATATAACCACATGCAAGCACATGATTGTGGTCTTACTGAGAGGCACCTTTCTGTTAAATAAACGTAGTTAATAATTTTATCTCTCGATTTTGATAGAAAGACATACCTGAAATAGATGAAGGAGGTCCCAAAGCGGGTAGTCTTCACCAATAACAGGCATCTTGTGCATTGGAAGCTCTTTTAACGTTGTTACTTCATCGGGAATCACTAGTAATAAATCCTATATTTATTTATATAGAAAGGAAAAATCAGCAGTGAATCCTTATATATAGATAATGTGTTCTAGATTCATAACCTACAAAAATGTGTAAGAACCCCAAAACTTTGATATTAAAGTCGGAATAAATCGAGTTGTTATCTCTATTGTGATCAAGGGACATATAGATAGGAACACGACTATAGCCCCAATCAGAGATCTCTGTCCAGCTGCGGAATGTCATCCTCGAATCCACAGACTTCATTTTTACCCCTGAAAGTGGCTTCATGATATCACGAGCAACTCTTTTTTCCATGTCAACAATACCGTGGAGGAGTCTAAGAAAGCACGTTATTATCCAATTCAACGTTTCGAATTAGGTATTTACCCTGTGGCGTCAATAGAGAGATCTTTGTCAATTTTCTTTCGTACAGCGCGTAAATCAGCTAGAGAATTGATCCCTTTCCTATTATGATTGGTTTGGCGCCGCACAGGTCCTGGGGCCGCCGTAGTTTCATAGATATATGACAGGAGGCAAGCTGGGATGCATAAAATACAAGAGACTGTATATATGGCCCTATAAAATTTCAATGATCGTATGCATTATTGAAATGGTAGCTGGAACCCGAACTTACCACATCATGTTCCCTAGAATTAAAAGAGGAAATCTGGGAAATACCATTAATGGTAAGATTTCTCCAAAAATTATTACTAGAGAACTGGATAATAAGAACCCCCAAAGATTATTGTTAAGTAGACACGCAGCCATAAGAGGAAGAGAGTGATTGATCATCACGGTTGTAAGAGTCATCGCACCTACCATATCAAGACACCAAAATTAATTTGAATTATATAAAGGATATTGAAGGTAATGAATTGGGAATATACAAAGAAATAACGTGGTAAATTCCGAGTGTTGTCGAGCTTCGTGTATTCTTCCCGCCAGTTCTCTAAGTAATTAATGTCAGCAAGGGTTGTAACAAAAGTGATTATACAGAGATACTTCTCGTGCATTGTTCCTGTATCCATTATTGTTCGCAAATCTATACTATCCAGTTGTCAAAATAAAACCTGTTAGAACCCGTCCCTTATAATTATAACAAGATCTAGATCTAAGTGATTCTCACGGATCCAAGCCTGTATACGTAGCAAAAATTTGTTAGCTTTCAGGAAAACCAAACAAAAAGCAAATACGATATCTAATAATTACTCATGAATGCCGACTTAAGCCCATTGAGTCCACCCGAAATAAAGACCAGAAGCATTATTATTATTGATAGAGCGGGTGTTGGTAGTTTATTGAGCCCTGGAAGGCATGCAGGATGCGCGGAATTCCTACTGCAACTCAGAGTACCGTTACAAAATAGCTCGCCATTACAAGCCAAAGTCCCGTTGAGATCTATCCAGTCTCGACTGCAAATTAGGGTGTCATTGCATGAAGTTGTCCCTTGACAAAATATTCCTGAATCACATGATACTGAGGGGTTGTATGCTTCCAACTCATGTGCGGTGAGATTTCCAGAACATGCTAAAGGTCCTCTATGATCAAAGATTTTCGTTGAGGGCATGGACACATGATCTAGTTCAATAGAAATAGGTAAAGGTGAAGCTTTTGAAAGGGTGTTACTCAAAAAAATTGTTGCTGGATTTAAAAGGATCCACCAGGAAATAGGTATATGATGAAGTACCATCGGTGTCCTGGAGCCCCAGTTTGTAATTTATCAGTGAAAAAAGACGACTATGATAATGCTGTGAAGAAAATTGGATACAGAAAGGTAATGGGTCTGTGGAGCCTGGAGAACCTAAAAATCGATTTACAGTATATCCGATAATTAAAACACATGCACTTGATGCAACATATACATACACGTGAGTTCAGGTAAGGTGTGTTAATAAGTGCTCGAGTATACATGTAGGTGTATCTGATTTCAGTCTGCTGGACAGGTGACAGAAACCGAAACATGGTACTACATGTAGCTACATGTAGCTGGCACTAATTGAAGAAATACATGTGAGTACATGTGGCTGGTGTGTGCTTTGAGTAAATGTAACCTACATCCTACTAGTTGCTACAAGCTTTCCTACATGTGACTTCTAGAATTACTGATAAACAGATCACGAACCAATATTAGTAAAGCGTATTATCCTTTCAGCTCAATCATGTAAATAAAGCGACAACACTGGGGCGTCACGAGATGGATGTTACCCGGTGATCTGGCTGGCAGTGGCATCTATCTCATCATGCAGACCCTTTAAATCAGGGGTAAAGATTCGAAGATAGCGTATTCTCCCGATGTGGAGGTGCCGGGCCGCCGTGCTTATCAACAAGCTTATTCTTTTATTGGTTACATGTGTACTCATGAAGCCTACATCTGCTGCAGCCCCATAAGCTGGACCCCGAATAATACTCTACATATCAACCTTTTGCGCCATACGTTCCTTCATCACCTTTCAAGTAATCACTCGCTCCAGAACCCGGGCCCTAGTCAACACTTCTACTTCAGAACTACCAGCCAGTTGGGCCTTAACCCGCAAGCACCATATTTCGTCGTACCTTCAAGAGGCGTAGGCCAAATTAATTTCTATCGGACCTGCATGCGTGCGCAACTCGCCTTCTGTATCTAGCTGTGAGCCTCTGAATGCGAAGCCTTCTGCCAACCCAAATCTAGATATAGTTCCCCACTCCAGGTTTCCAGAAAACATCCTACTATAATCAACCATCTTAATAGTTTACAGCACTCCAAACCTTCTACATCCTTCATATAGCCCTTTACTGTGATCGTCGCACATCCTTTGAGGATGGTACCTGAGAATCGGCTTCGCGCCGCTCGCCTTGTAAGCTTAGCAGCTTCGATGTGTATAGCTCTATCCGCAGGGACAAATGTAGTACCTGCCTTCCTTTCAATTAGGATTTAGTCCCGGCTGATAATTTTTATAGTATGTCTATTCAGCATATGCTCCTCAACTTGCTGAACGTTTGCAACTTACAGCAACAGAGAGCAACTTGATCGTAAGTGGTCACAATACTTTTAATTAAGCGGTCGCACTGACAGGTTGTAGGGTATCTGTGGCAATCTTGGGATGAATCTTGCAGGTGTGTACAAATAAAAGTGTGTAGATCCTCACTTAGGCCCAGCCTCTAAGTCAATATAGGGATACCAAACGGAATGTTTATAGACGCAAAGGGACCTCGATTGCCGGTCTTACTGGGCGCTGTTCTGCTATTTTCTGGGTATTATCCAATATACAATGGTATATGTTATTCCGTTTGTACCGATGCTATTAAAATCTAACAGTTTCAATAGCTATGCATTCTGGGCAAGGATCAACGAGTGTTTTATCTTTGTGCTTTTTTTCATTCTTGACGGGAGTCGGGAGCTCTGCTTCATTTGGAGGGGCAATTAAAGCTGGTAAGATTGTAACATCGACTCTTCATATCGTACCAAACTAATAAGTGATTTTTGTTCAAGCCGCCCTGAACTTCCCCAACCACCGTGGAACGGCGACCGCGATACCACTCGCAGCGTTTGGCCTTAGTGCTTTCTTTTTTTCGTCCCTTTCTTCATGGCTCTTCCCTGGAAATACTAGCGACTTCCTTTTGGTTCTCGCCACAGCAACCAGCAGCATCGTCTTACTTTCATATTTTTTCCTCAGAGTAGTACCTGTACCAGGTGCATACTCTATTGTACCACCAGCAGAGCTTGATTATACTGGAAGTAGCAGACTGCACCGAACGAAATCTGGCGAAAGTCGAAGTGCGGCAAAAGACACTTATCAGGAACCAGGTACGAGCACCAGTAGTAGAGGGATTGTTAGAATAACAAATCCGGACTGTACACCGGATGAATCATCATCTTTCCTTACAAATTCATCCTCCAGCAGTGATGAGGATCGTATTGATGCAGAAAGTACACGGGGTGGGGTTATTGGTAGTAATGATCATGCGTATCATACAGATATTCGGGGATGGGCGTTGACCAAATCGACGGACTTCTGGCTGTTGTTTACCCTATTGGGTTTATTGACTGGAACTGGATTGATGACTATCAAGTAAGCTAGTCCTTATCTTATCTTACTTGTATAGACTCAACATTGTTAACGCTAGTTTTTAGTAATATTGGGCATTCGGTAGGCATTCATGAGTTCATTCCCACTTAACCACTTAACAGAAGCCCTAAATAGAAAATCTATAGGTCCAAGCACTTTGGCAAAAATATGCACCCGATACCCATCCTGACTATGTTCAACAAAGACAAGGGTTTCACGTTTCTCTTCTCTCCATCGGCAGCTTTTCTGGCCGGATCATGAGCGGTCAGTCAATCAGTTATTTATCCAAGCTCTATCTAATAGCATTACAGGGACTTCTTCGGACATCCTTTACAAGAACTATGGCCTGCAGCGCATCTGGTTAGTAGTTGTTTCGGCAGTTATATTTTGCTTTTCGCAAATTTTTGCACTGAATGTTGAGAATCCTCATCAACTATGGTTGGTCTCTTTTCTGAGCGGCTTGGGATACGGTGTGTTGTTTGGTGTATTCCCGACTATAGTACGTTCCGTCTCCCCCCCCCCCCCCCCGGGGGGGGCATTCCAAGATCTAGCCCACTCCGAAAATTGTGACTACTGCCTATCCTACTGCCTATCCTACTACTTATCTTACTACCTATCCTGAGTCCCACATTTGTGGGGCTTCACTCTATTGACTGGATTCCAAACTAACCTTTTGTCTACAAGACCTCAGAGACTTTTGGGCTTCATGGGTTGTCACAAAACTGGGGAACAATGACCGTTTCTGCCATTATTTCGGGCCAGATCTTTAATATGTTTTATGGTAGGTCCTATCTATCAGTCACTTCATGGAGGCTTTTTCTTTGTGCACACGATCTTGCAGATATGCGCGCACGGGCCCTTGCCGCATATCGAGCACATATCAGCTTATCGTGCGTGGCGACGAGAAAAAACCCTCTTTTGAAGTCTCACGCCACGTTGCTTCAGAAACCTTGCGGCTGAAAAAGAAACTTATCGAAAAAGAAAAAGAAAAAGAGAGAAAGAAAGAAAGAGAAATGGAATGGAAAAAAGGAAAGACAGTCTGCTGACGATGCAAACAAGGTCGGATATATGACGACCATAGTAACGTCACCCCTGAGGGTACTCGCGAGTGCACGCTTGGACTTGAGTGCTATCGGGATAGTTACTGGATCACGCTGGGTGCTGTCCTCATTGGGCTTGTCCTTGCATTGATGACCATTCAGCGCAACAGAAGACTAGCAGTACAAGCTGGTAATGTTCGCCACGCGGCTGGTCCTTGAAAATCGGATACCCACGAATTTATTTTTGGTAGATTTTGGGGAATTTATAAGTGTCTACATGTATCTTTGAGATCTCATATCATGGCAATCGGATCTAGATGATACCGGAACCTTTTTTTTTTTATATAGATATAGAATTTGAACTTTAGTTTTCACCTACCTTCTTTGCATCAAGGTATTATAATACCATTGCCTATCTGGTGTGCATCTACTCTACTTAAGGCACTTCCTCTAGAACGATTATAACTTTTATTTGTAAACTCTACTGTATGTACTTGTATCTGTGTGTCTTGGGTGCGTTTGCATTGCAGCTGTTTCTTCTTTTTTTTCTCCGCTGTGTACTTAATAATATCAGTATTAACGCGCTTGCCGTTTCCCGCAGCAAAGGATTTTACCCGGTCTGGAGAGGAAGAGCATCACCAAGTTACAACACCTCAAGCCCTTCCCCCGGATCTACTTGTCAAAGCACGTGCGTGTGGTGCAGCACAGCGAACGGGACCTTATCGATAGAGTAGAGTCGATAGATATGTAGGTACATGCACTGCGCTGTGGCAATTTGTAATCTATTCGGATTAACTGCCATGCATAAAACCCTCACCACACAATTCGTTGCTACCTTCGACTGCTTTATGTGGATGTTAAAGGCGGGAGATAAAAAGCAGAGTTAAATACACTAGGCGACTACATATAGACCGATATATTATTAAGAAGAGCATGTGTGGGAAATCCAACACAGGACATAACTTTTTTAGTGCAAGACAGAAACAAACCCCCATTTACTGTAAGAAGATAATAGGAAAAGAGCATAAAATATTGGACAAAAGATCATACATAAACAATAGAGAATCAATCAGTCAATCAAAAATCAAACTAAGAAAGAGCTAGAGGTGATGAGCGGCTTGTGAATTATTGAAGTAGAAATTAGAGTGATGAGATAAAATGTAATAGGAAACATTAGAAGAATGAAAATATAAAAAAGAAATAAGAAAAACAGCAGCAAAACCCTAATACTCCTACAAGAGTTCTTCCCTTCCCTTTTTTTGTATTCCGATCCCTGTGACCATACCAGAAAGCCCCTAGATAAGAAAAACTTTTTATGTTCTTTTGCTTTTGTTCGGAAAATATAATTAAGGAAACGAGGAAAAAATAGAGAACCCCCAGCCATAAACAAGTACAAAAACCAAGAAACCCGAGTACTCACTACACGGGACCAAAAAAATTAACACCGACGATAGAAAACACACAATGCCATGCCATGAATTAGTTGAGACTTTTGCTATCTTTCCTTCATTTTTATATATTCCCTTTTTCCTGCACAATTTTATTCGGTCAAGTCAGAGACCCTGACCTTCTTCCGCTGATGATCCCCACGAAACTCATTAAGCTCCCTTTCTGCATCCTCGAGCTTTCGCTTTAGTTCTTCCTCGCGCTTGGTACTATCGGAAAGGAGAACTCGAAGCTGCGCCTCAACCTCTCGCCTGGTAATCTCTTTTTGTCGAGCATTTGCTTCGCTTTGTTCTAGCTCATTCACTCGGGTTCGGAAAAGATCGTTGACCAACTCTAATTCTGCAACTCGGGTTTTGAGTTTGCTATTGGTGCTCATTAGACTATCAAGCGTTGGCGTGGGCTGCTCCATATGCCTATCATGCAGGGATGATGTGGATCCCGGTGAGGGATGATTGAAGGAGTTGAGCCCTGGAAGGGGAGAAGGACTTCCAACGACAGAGTTGTCTGCATGGTTGACAAGTGACTCAAATATTGAGGGAGGTGCAATGTGCGATGTAGGAGGCAAAGGAGTTCCTGCTCGAGACTGGGGTGACACAGATCTGTTTGGTGTGGCACCTGAGGATGGTTTACGATGACCCGGGGGAGGTGTCCCATTTTCCGATCTTGCTATTGGGTGACCATTTGTTGATCCATTTGGCGAGTCGAATAGACTCTAAAAAGAAAGATTAAGCAAGGAGAATATGATAGAGAAAACAATATTACTGACCTTCTTTTTTGCAGGCTGCCCAGAATTTTTAACACGGTTCCGGCTTTTTATAACATCAGTCTTTAAACTGATCGGTCGTGGTCGGCCATGAAGTTTCAAGAATAATCCACAGGCATTACAGAGAACAGAACCACTTTCATCTCTTCGCCATAAAGGAGTTGTAGACGTTGTACAATTTTGGCAAATAGGCTATTACAACCACGTTAGCATGCTGCGCGATAAGGAAGGGAAAAAAACCCCTCAGAAAACAGTCGCGTGTCGACAACAAAAATTGAGAAAAACTCGGAAGAAATTACCGGAGTGGTCCCTTGCCCAGCAGTGCTTGCACCCGGTGATGAAGTAGCGAAAGTCATGGCGAAGCCCCCGTTAAGCCTATTAATTATGAAAGAGGGATGTCAGCAAAAGGGGCTTTATTTTTTCTCTTGTCTTCTTAAATCTCTTGCTTTAGGGGGTGTCCCGATCGCGTTTAGATAAGAGAATGTGTTGCGTTGATAAGGGATAAGGGGCATAGGGAAAGGTGAGAAACTCTAAATGAAAGCTGGGTAACATACCGCAACGGGGGAGACGGGAGTGCGACGGAAGCCAGCGTGTTAAGAGATGGCAACGGAGAAATAGACGATGTCCGCGAGATTGAAGGCAGTCTCGGGCTGTCGTTGTTTGGTGTGGGGTGAAGAAGGTGATGTGGAGATGGTAGCAACTGCTCCGGGGCAGGAGAGTAGAAGAGGGCCGTGGGCGCCAGTTTATGATCTAAAGCACCAAAGCTCTGCTTGGTGAAGGCAGAGTGAGAGGTGGTGATGTGTGTGAAGGGCGGAAGGCTTTGGTGCGGAGGAGGAAGAATGGTTGTAGGTGTGATGATATCTAACAATGATAGGAAGAAACAGACCAGGGAAAGAAAGACTGAGTTGAAAGAAAAAAGCGAGAGACAACGAATTGGAAAAGGAGAAAGCGAGCGGTGGTGGGGGGTGTTGCGGGTATATATCTGAATAATAAATGGGAAAACGAGAGGAAAATATATATATTAAAAACAATCAAGTTCTCAGACAACAGAAAGATGGGATTTGTTTTTGTAGAGCGCGGTTACAGATCCAGGACATGCAAGGAATGAGTGATGGAAGGAGGAAAGAAACAACGAACGACGGGGGGATAAGAATCAAAAGTAACGATGGGAGAGGAACGGCAGAAAGGGGGTGGGCGGTCGCCGTAGATAAGGACGAATCGGTGGTACACCAACGTTGTTGTCGATAAGTCTCTACCTAGAGGGCCCTTCAACAATTTCCATCACTCACAACCTTCCCATACACATAGGTAATCCCTTCCCCCCACCCCGTATCCAGTTCCCTTGCATCGCTTCTCTCCTAGCCAACCCTCTGTTTAGACGATTTTGCTTTTCCAGGGCTCCTCAGAGTTCCTAAACCACATGTACTCTTCACATAGAGCAGGTAAGTCTCGAAGTTACACCCCGTCCGCAGCTGCTCTACTCTACTAATGGAGAAGCGCGATAAAATTAGCATCAGATATTACCAGATAGAGATAAGTGGATAGCTTACTTACCCACTTAAAGTGCAGGTATCCCCAGATAGCATGACGAGCATGGGTGATAACAATTTGCTGACATGCATCTGGCAGATGGTTGGGATTTGGATTTGCCCTGATTTACGGATCTGGGCGCTGGCTCTGCCCCTTTTTCGTTTCGTGCTTCTTCAGCTTCTTCCGCCCCACTAAACACGATCAAAAATGGATCGCTTGTGATAAGTGAGATTCGCCCGATAGCGCACCCGCACGAATTGAGATTGTGCGCAGCTCCTAGTAGCCTCCTACACACTGAGCCAATTTCGGAACACACAACTCCACACCAAGCGAATCAGAAGTGTTTTGATTACCTTCTAGAAGCATGCACTCAACCTTCTAGCGTAGCAATCTAACCGGTGGGCTGAGCCGGCCGTTGATACCCTCGTTCCGCACGATTGGGAGCTCATGATAAGATTGCCTTGTCCGCAGCAGAATCTGCAGATAAAAGAGGGGGAAACTCAGAAACAAATATCGGGAGAGCCCTTACTTGAAATGTGAATTGCATCACCACTACTTTAAACTTAGATTGGAGAGAATTGGGAATCTCCCGAGACAGGGCGCCCCCATGCTATATAACTGCGTAGGTATACATACAATACTCTACCTACATGTAGGTACACTCTGCCATCAAAGTAATATCCACGTTTATCACGTATTCTCCGCAACATTGTTGACATGGCCACTTCTCTCGGTTATCGAGTTAAGCACCGCCATTGTCCTGGCAATCGGGACCTGATAGGGCTGGCCAGTTCTATTTACAGATGAAAAGTACTGTAAAAGATCAGCGACTAAAATACTCCGAGATGAAGTCATTCCTGCAGAGCGCGCGGGTATCTAGCGGCATAAGAAGGGCGAAGAGAAAACTCCTGTCATCAGTGTGAGGCTCTGCTCAATCAATAGTCAAGTACGTGTATGTTGCGGTGATGGTAACTGCCGAAACCCAATGCTATAAGCCGGTATAATTTTGTCAAAAATAAAATACATAGAAGATTTAAACAGTGGGGAAGATTGTTCGGAAGTTGGCCTTGACTGCGTCCTAAAATAAACGAAACTCTGCAGCTTTGTTCTTTGATCATTTGTCGACCGCTGTTGCCGCGTCGGGTGGCGGCGGCTGCGGCCTCATACGTGTGCCCTGTAACCTCTGACGAAGTCCACGTCCTCCCAGAAGTACAAGCCATGCCTGGACAGCTTCGCCGATAACCAATTCACCTTTCTTATCAAGAAAAAAAAGCTGTCAACTATCAACATGCCTCGTCCTGCAGCCTCAGGCTACGAAAGACTCGCTCAGGATGCCCAGTTCTCAGATTCGGATGATGACGATCGTGATTCTATCGTTGACTATCCCGGCCGCGTTGTTTCAATCCAGCCGCACCCAACAGCTATCCACCCAACGCCATACACTCCGATATCCCCCTCTGTTACCCATCACAATGGTCGGGCTATGAAACGTACGCGGAGCAATAGCTCTGGCGTTGACATTAAAGCTATCAACGCGCGCTTGGAACGTTGGAGTAGGGAGATCGCTAGCAAATTCAAATTAAAGAAAGGACGGTCCCATCATGACCAACCACCCTTGGAGATCGTTTATTCTGTCTTTTTACCACCGGATGGCTCTAGACCCGCGTTGGATGGGACTCCAGAAGCTTCACCAGAGCTACCGGAAAATACGCATCTTGCACAGGAGCAGTTTGAAGAGATCATAGAGTCTGTTAGAACTGCTATTAGAAAAGGCATTGATCCTAAACTTATTAAGCAAGGATCATCAGGAAGCTATTTTATGCGGAATAGTGATGGGAAGATCGTGGGAGTTTTCAAGCCGAAGGATGAAGAGCCGTGGGTTTTCTTCGCATTCAAAAGCTCCCTCCACCCCCCGCGTGTGCTAAGCTCTTGATAGATACGGAAAACTGAATCCAAAAATGATGAAATGGCTGCACCGCACTTTGTATGTCCTAGGAAACTCCAAGATCAATTTTTCGGCTCTTCCTACAATTTCATTGACTGACAAATTCTCACAGGTTTCCATGTTTCTTCGGTCGTGCATGGTTTGTAGTTTTTGGCACTCAAAAACGAAAGATGCTAATTCTTTCAATTATAGCTTGATACCAAACCTTAGTTATATATCCGAGGCAGCGGCTTGTGTTCTTGACCGACAGTTAAGAACGTTTTTGGTTCCTTACACGGATATTGTTAAGCTATCTAGCAAAGCTTTTCATTATGATTATTGGGATCGTCGAGCATATTACAGGAGATCTAAGCCGCTGCCTCCGAAGGTTGGAAGTTTCCAAGTATTCCTTCAGGGATTTCAAGGTACACAGTGATAGATTTCCTACTTAATAGAGCTCAATACTGATGGCCTCAAAAGATGCAAACGTATTCCTTCGTAAACATCCATGGCCGGATCAGTACAATTCTGGTTTCCGGACAGATGCTGCCCCGAGGAGACGAGCACCCTGGGCCTCGGCTTGCCGGCCAAGTGGCGATGAAGATGATCTTTCTGACGGTGATTCAAATACACCCTCTCAGACTGATGATCCGAACAACAGACGGTTTGTTTGGACCGAGCAGCTTCAACAAAACTTTAGAGAAGAACTCGAAAAACTCGTAATTTTGGATTACATCATGAGGAATACAGACAGAGGTCTCGACAACTGGATGATCAAAGTTGATTGGAAGACCCAGGAAGTTTCAGTTGCTAGTCATCCAACTCACCTCAACGTCAATTTACAGCCGGCTACACAGACTCTACAGGCTACGGCTAGCGAGCCGAACCCTGCTGGAATAAATAATAGTCTGCGCCCGGCTACGCCGATATACCGAGTTCAGGAGCCTATGGTCGCAAGTTCAAGATCTGTCACTCCCCAAATCGGTGCCAGTGCCACAATTAAAATTGGCGCCATTGACAACTCATTGGCTTTTCCTTGGAAACACCCGGATCAATGGCGTAGCTTTCCATTTGGTTGGCTATTCCTCCCTGTATCACTTATTGGACAACCATTCTCCCAAAAAACTAGAAATCATTTTATTCCGTTGCTCACGTCTACGAAATGGTGGGCCGAAACACAGACGATGTTGCGAAGATTATTCGAACAAGACTCGGACTTTAAAGAGAGAATGTTTCAAAAGCAAATAGCAGTACTCAAGGGACAGGCTTTTAATGTCCTTGAAACTTTGAAAACCCCAGACCAGGGTCCTTTGGAGCTTACAAGGAGGGCAAGAGTTCACGTTTGGGTGCGCTTTTCTTATCAATTACCCAACTTTAGAGAGTTAAATGAGATGTGTGCTAATCGAATTTGAATCTAGGATGACGAGATGGAGGTACCTGTCGCAGTTCCCTTGCGTGTACCATCATCAGAATCTCGCCACCGTCGAGAAACAGATCTGGAACGTGGTTTTGACGAAGAGGCTGAGATGGATATCGGTGCTGCTGTCGCCTCGGCGCCCCTCTTGCGTGAACATGATCTCCTGGGTCTTTCACCCCCTAGATCGGAAATTCCTAGTTCTGCAAGACTTGGAATGTCAAGGACTCATAGCCTTCAGAGTGATCAATCGGGATCATCTTCGAATCAGAATGGCGATATTCTTTCTGCTTCCCCACTGTCCGCGGTAGACTCGCTAGCTTCTAAGTTCTCATTGGGACATGAAGCGAACCCGAGTGTACAGTCCTCTTCAATGAACGCCCCCCGATCAAGCCGTCGCAGCCATAAGAGCTTCGATGAGCGACGGTCCCCTATTGAAAGGAAGAAACCAGGACCAAACTTTCTTGACCAGCGGAAACGGAGATTTTCTTTAACTTCCAGTGCGGGACCGCCACGAAATGTGTACAATGATGATGATGCCGAAGGTGATTTAGGGTACTCGGCTGTTGACGGAAGCGAAGGGGCCCAAAGGAAGGTTATAGTAGAGAGACTGGAGGCTGTGAAATCAAGGAATCCGGTGTTCACTTGGTGTTAAGTTTGGACTTTTACGTAATATGAAGAGGATAGATTATCTTTCTATTTTCTTCTCCCCAATCGGTTTTATTATTAACTGCCATTTGACGCATTGTCAATCCGCAAAATTTGTTAGCTTATGTGCTTCTATGTCTTTCTTTCTTCCTCTTTTTCTTTCTTCCGAGAGTTATGGCGCTGAGGTATATATAAATAGTTTACTAGGGATACTCCTGACATAAAAGTAGCCGAAATCATAAAAGGAACATTTTTCTTTAATCACAATTACCAACATGTAGTTACAAATGGATTGGGCATAGGTACATGTAACTTAAAATCTAGAAGTTTGAAATCTGGATTGAAACCATTCTCAGCCCAACCAAATCGATTCCCATTGACTTCACCAAGGGCCATTATGTGGATATTGGCATTGCTGAGGGTTGTTCTTGGCTTATTTCCCACTCCTTAAAAGTATTTTTTTTCTTTCTTTCTGGAACACATACATACGTAAGTGGGCCTTGGGTACAAAGGGTCTTTACAAACAAATACCATCGAATAAGTACATGTATATATGTAGATATGGTGAAATTAAGTATTGTCCCAATTAATGCCTTAGCAACCAATGCCAACCATTCAACTCCACCAAACTTGAGACCCTACAAAACCACAACCAATAGCTAAAACCAAGTGTATTAAAGTCATAGTTATTTCTATGCTCAAAAGTAATTCCTTCTGGCTTTTCCCATGGGTTATGGTGGTTAGTGGGCTTAAGGTTGATGGTTGCTATCGCGAGAGACAACACTTAATTTCACCGCAAGTACTCGCGCGGCCGGTTTGAAGCCGCCCAAAGAACTGTGGCGAATGATCTGGCAACGACTAAGAGTTCACGTTTTTGCAGTATTCAGATCAATTACCTTTTTTGTCTGAGCGGCTTCAATCTGGCCGCTAGAGTATGTATGCCGAATTTGAGTCTTTTTTTTTTGTTGGTTACAGAAATCTCTCGCTATAAGGATACATTTTAGGATATATGCCCTATAAGGATATGAATTTGCAGTCCCGTGTATTTTGTATATGATTTTAATGATATTTCACTATAAGAATATCCCTACCAAAATTGCAAGGCTTTGTATGCGTATCCTTATGGAAAGTAGTAGTCTTAGCATCAAATTTTCTTCAAATGCTAGAATCACAAAAAAAATAAACAGAAACGACAGACTTTTACTAAAGGGCTTGGGACTCGCAACAGAAATCAACTCCAGAAAACCTAACCCTAATCTTTCTAGAATGATAATTCGTTATAAAGATACTCATTTCCGGTCCCGACCATATACTTATAGGGAGAGATTGCTGTATATACATGTAGGTAAGAGTTCATGAACCGAGCCAGATCTCATATTTCAGAGATCCAGAAATAGTGGTCTACCAACCCAAATTCGTATATTCTATTTTTAATAGAGCACAGAGCCTACCACATCGTATAAAATCTGATTCTATGAGTTAGCGGAATAAAAAAAAAAAGAGAAAAAAGAAAAAAACTGTGATCAGAAATTATAGAATGATATAATTGCGTAATTCGAACATATTTATTAAAAAGGCTTATAAATCGGTAGGCACAAAGACTATCAGCATTACTAGAATAGTCAGTGCTAATTAAAGATATACATTTAGTTAAGTTTTGTCCATCATAATGGTTGAATGCGTCATCCAACTCTTTTTACCAACTATGTTGTGGCTTTTGTAGGCCGGAAAGTTTAAAGTTCACCAGCTTTACTCTAGTTGATTCCAAATTTTCCTAAAGCTCAGATCAGAGAACCTTTGTAAGAGCTCAGAATTAATTTTCTGGTCCATCAATTGGAACCTGTAGAGTGCCGTAGCGAACTGATGAGGCCTTGTTGTGTTGTAACACACGTACCTTTTGCAAGATCGACACCCATATATACTTGTAGGTACGATCATTGATCTATGTTTAAGCTCCTTGGGGCTTAGGTCACAGGGTAATCGGGTAACTACATGTAAGTTGGCTGTTATTAAGCGAGCAGAGCCGCATAACTTTAACCCAACCTCAACTTTCAGGTTACTACAGTCAACTGGTGCACACTGCAGAGGAAATAATCCCCCTCTAGAACTCTAGTTTAGGCTAGACTCTCATCAAACTTCAGTGTTGTATTTTCAGCGCATACGTGAATTCATTCATGAGTTTTTTGGTACATAAATGATATTGCATGAGACACATACTGCCGACGTATGATGTATGTATGTAGGCAATGCGCAGTGCATAGGACACTCGGTAGGCGTGGTCGAATCGGGTTTATACATGTACTACAGACTATCATAATCTCCATCCAACTCTTTTCTCATAAAAGGCACGTACTACAACTCCAATTCATCTTTGTTTTTACTGTGCCTGATATTCGTGATGGTGGTGCCCTGGCGCTTTCGCTCGGATGGGTGTAAGTTCTCCGAAGAGGATTGGGAATGTCTTCGCACGACCATCATTCGATCATTGCATCTTAATTCAGTCGGTTTTGGAGGTCCTTTGGCCCATGGGACGGAATGGGATGACTGGTTTGAGAATCTCCTCTATGCAGGCGGCATTGGAGAGAAGTATTGGGGGGAATCTCGGGGAAGGGAATGGATATTTCCCAGGGACAGGACCGCGTGAGTATGCCGTCTTTTCTCTTATTTGTTCGTTTGTTCCTTTGTTTGTTTTCATCTCCCTCTTTTTTTTATGAGATATTATTTTTAGAAGAGTACTGAACATAGGCTTGCAGAATTCAAACAGTTTTAAGGGCCCAGATAGTGGAGATGGCTGGGGTGGAAAGGTCAAAACTCAAGGTTGGAAAAGCAGCAGAAACACCTAATCCGGAAAATGAGACGGTAAATCCACCCACAGGTGCCATACTTGAAAACGAGTCGAAGGGTTGTGGCGTCGTGGCAAGTAGCAGCTCTGCTCTAGCTGATCCTCAACGCCGAGGCCCTGGTCGTCCTAAGAAAAAGTCTCAGACTCCAGGAGCGAGATCGAAAAAACATATTGCGATAGAAGAAAACAATTTGGATTCGGTTAAGAGATCTCGAGTATCAAAAGGGGAAGGAACAGAAATTGCCAAAGCCAGTGAGAATATCTCCAATAGCACTAGCGACAATAATACCAGTCATAACGGCGCTTCTCTCGCCAAAGCGTTGGGGTCTCCCGCCATTACCCCAACACCTATCAGTGGAAACCCAGGACTGGTATTTGAGACTCGCCTCGCCAACTCTCAAAAGGCAAAATTCATCTACGCTAACGATACGCCCTCTTTATCTCTCTTTTTCGAAAAAGTACGAGAGAAGTTTCAGTTGAAAAAAGAGCAAAAGATTGACAGTATCGAGGTGGAGATCGGTACCAAAGTGTTTGTTGTTGATTTGGATGAAGAGAGAGATTGGATGTCTGTCATTGGAGCTGCCGAGAAGACCTGCAATACAGGAATTGGGGTAGTAGTTGGGGTTGTATGAGACCGGCGAGTTTATTCCCTATCATCAATTTACATTCTACTTTCCCTCATTTCTTTTTTTCTTTGCTCCTTCAAGTGGTTTCGAAACCGTTCCTCAGAATACCTTACGACCTTCCCGAGGTCGTCCCGTGTTATAGCTAGAAGGTCCGCTGCTGCTTGTAGCAAAGTTTGGTGCTCTAGCGGTAATTCCGATGTTGATGAATAGCAAAGATATTGATCGCCAGGCCTTTCCGTTTTTTCTTCTTGCTGTGCTACTGGCTGGAGTTCGATCTGGGAATTTAATTTTCGTAGACCATCACTGGAGGCGTTGCTTCCCTTCTCGGAATCGGCCTGCGTTGTATCCTGGCTCATAGCTGTTCCTTCGTGTTCAATCGGGAACAAATTTAGTATTTGTTCTGTCACTGCCCAATCCAGTTTGTTAGCACATTTAAGGAAAAGCAGTGGCCCTTCACAAGAGGAAGCATACGTTTAGTGTTAGAATTATTTGTCCAAGTCTTTTCGAACCAGTCCATGTATTTATCCAACTCTTCCCCATTCATATCAAGAATGTCGATTTCCTTTACATCAACTTCAAGTCTTTTTTTACTACATTCCCCATCGACGCCTCCCAAAAGGCCCCTACGTTCCGCGTTACCTAAACGCAAAAACCTGTCCCAAGCTTCCCACTTTAATCCAACTGCTGCAGGCTCTGTGCTGGATTCCGGAGTCCTAGATATGCCATCGAGTCCATATAACAACTTTGTGGCGATAATAATAAGAGCCATTAGCTGCGCCTCAGGCCAGGCTGATACTCTCTTTGCCGGAAGTAAGCCGTTCCAAACGAACGTGAGTGACATCAGATCGCTGAGACGCTTGACAGCGAGGTAAACCTCAACTACGAAATGAAATTCAGCGCTTGTCAGGAAGGTAATAGTGATTCAGGGGGGATATACGAGGGAATCCAAGATCTTTGATGTAGCGAAATACCATTAGTGTAGTATCGATCGGAGGAAAACTCATGCCAAATGAGGTCTGGTACATCACCACTAGCTCTTGAACAGTGTGATATAAAAGACCTTGTTTTGGTTTCGACTACTGTGCGTTAGTCTTTATAAGACCATGAAAGTACCATAGGTATACGTACTTTTGGGTCCAAGGAATATATATAATGTAGGTCCAGCCTAGACCTCATCTCCGCTGGAATGTGATCGATAGCTCTCAGATAAATCAGCTTCTCTTCCCCAATCCATCTATGCATATCGCCTAACGAAACAACAACCCTTAACAGCATCAATCCAAGGTAGCACAATCCTACGGATGCAATGAGCCTCGGACTGTCGCTAGCCTTTGGAATCTTCCGTCGGCGGCGATTTTTGTTGCGGGTATTCAAGGTTATGTTGGTCGAAGCCTGAGATTCCTCGTCACTTGTGTATAGATACTCTGATTGGCTAGACCAGCCTGTTGTTGATGACCACCCGTTGATCGAACCCTCAATATCTGGGCCATCTTCTTGCGATGGGGCAGCGTCTGAAATCCCTGGGATGGTCGCAGAGGTATTCTTCAGTTGAAGAGCCCATAGGTCACGGACCATTATCTGCATCCACCATGTTAACCAAACACTGGAACCTTGCTAGGGTACGCATACAAATATGTCGCATAATCCTAGGTCAAGAATGACCTACCTCTAATTCTACAGGAAAGCCCTTCTTGTTGATGAGCCAATGAACTTGTTTTTGGAGAATTAATTGATAGCACTGTAAGAAGAGCTCAAACCCCCTTCTTCCACGAAGAACTATTTGCGTAAGTAATATCCTCTGCCTCGTTCAAGCTGCCCCGTCAAAAAAATCAAAATACCTCTCTGGACCTTTTCTTTCTCTTGGTTCTTTCTCGCTGCTCTATCGCCCTGTGGCCCGAACCCCTCGTCCTCCGCCTCGATTTCGAGCTCACCCTAATCATTATTTAGATCAAAATTCGTGTGTGGATTTTGTGATGTAGAGCTTTGGGAATTACTTCTCTTAAATGACCGTTTTTACAGAACCACTGGCCATCATCTAGATAGAATAAAGTCTGTTTGCAGTTATCAACGCCGCAGCGTGAAAGACGCTTGTAATCCATCTTTACCACGACAAGGGAGTGAAAGTGTTGTGATATCACGGTAAGTCGATTGATTTGTTAGGGAATGAACGGAACAAAAGAATTGGTCCACTCACTCCTTTGCATTGAGCCTCAATTTCCCCACCTTTTACAAGGATTGAACCCGCGGCGGCAAGCACATCACACCGTTCATGGGTTCATGAGTTCATGGGTTCATGGTTTCCTTTCAATGTGCATAACAGGAGTTTGATAAAGCTTGACCACTCTGATAGTTTTTGTTTCACTTATCACTGTGACGAGAATACTTGTTTACCGAAATAGGATTAGGTTAGATACATTTTGGATTATTTTACCAATCATATCTGAAGAAGGCATCTCTCTGTTCATCTTTTCGTTGGTATTTAATCTCGTCGAGGTAAAAAAGAACAAATTCGATTTTTTAAAGATTGACCTCCGCCTTAGTTCACTTTTTTTTCACACCCAAATTCTCCAATTATCAGAGTTGATGAAAACCCAATGAACAAGCCCCGCTCCCGGAAAAAAAAAGAAAGAAAAAAACAGAACCGAAAAGAAAAAAGCGAGATCACTGATCCACAAAATGACAGAGGAGAGTTGAAATGCGCTTATTTCGGGGCCTCCTTGACGGAGATGGCAGCCTCCTCACCCATAGCAGAAATAATAGTGATAACTATAAAACAAATAATTAGTTCACATCCCCAAGGTAAATAAAGAAGGAGATGACATACGGATATCAGTGCCCTCATCCTCATAAGCCTGAATCTTCTCGCCAACTTCTCCCTCGGGGAGCTTGACGTCGCTTTTCTCACTACCATCGGGCTTGATGAGGTGAAGGAAATCGTCCTCGATGTGGGAGAACTGGTATTCAGTGCGGGAGACGTTGGGGACATCCATGTTGTGGGTGGACGGGCAAAGTTCTTCGAGCTTCTTGCCAGTGAAGATATCAATGGCAACCAAGTGAACCTTGGCGTGGCCGTGCTTTCCAGTCTTAGATGTGCTCATCTCGACAATCTTGCAGGGGCGGTTTTTGATAACGACGTGCCTATGGAAGGTTCGAGAAACGTCAATATACCCGTATATCATAATGAGACATCGGATCGATGCAGGAACGGCGGAGAATCTAAGACATACCCGTTCTTGCGGAGTGCAGAGCACTGCATGGGGAACGTAGCGGAAGCACCGGCCGAAGCCGACTCAAAGGTGTGGTTGTGCTATAAAACACAAACGTCAGTTCTCAGGTCTAACAAAGCTTCATCTTCTTTTGTGGTTCTTTCCATGTGCGCTGATTGAGAGCAGTAGTGGTTTTGTGCGGGGTAGAAAAATAGTGAAATTATCACGGTCTCGTGGAAGCGGGGAATGAAACATGGAAGGAATTAAAAGAGTAAGAACAAAATGCACACCTGCTCATCGTTGTCGGCCATCTTGAAAGAATTATAAAGCGACTTTTTTTTTGGAATGAGATGAAAAAGAAAGTAGCGGGCTAAACGGAGACTACGATGTAGATGAGAAGGAGAGAAGGGATCGAGGGTGGGTGTGGGAATAGAACAGATAAAAGGGCTTGGGGCTGGTGGAGGGGCAACAGAAAAATACCCCACTTAGTTTTTTTTTCAATTTTGGTTTACGGCGAGGTTTGAAGCAGTTTCATTCCGCGTACATGATTGGTGGTGACTACTCTTAATCAGGCCGAGTAATCAGGGCTCAGCCCCATGAAGCTTACTCAGCTCAAGATAAGAATACTTGGCAGGCACCCATATTGCCATTTCCCAAGTTTTTAACTCCTCCTTACTTACTTACGAAAATATACTAGAAAAGATATGCGGCCCCCTTTTCTTGCCTATCGTCTCTTTCACCGCACATTTATACGTCATGAAAGACTCTACAAAACGAAATCGTCGCAGCATCAAGATATCCCGTCCTTCATTCGATATGCAGAGTCTGTATCTATGACGCCCGATGCTACGACATATGTTGGAACCATCTATGAGTAGGTCTCCTGCTCCGCCTTCTACACCCACATTATTTAGCAATGGCTGTAGATTTTAAGGCTTGTGCCCATCATCAAGGTACACCGTTTTTGCCGCTCTCTCGGCTCTTCGCATGAAGCTTGGACGTTGCGGTATGCCGGGCGACCGTGGCATAGACTTACGTGGGACCTGGGATATACCAGGTCTCCCTAAAGAAGACCCAAACTCATCCGGAATACCAATTGTTGTTTCGTGTAAGGCTCATAAACTTACATCCGGTCCTGTACAAATTCGCGAGTTGGAGGGGGCTTTAGGATCATCAAGTCAGGATACAATTGGGATATTGGCCACTATATCATCTTGCACTCGTGGCGCCATAAGTCAAATGCTTTTGTCCAGGCGACCCTTGGCATATTGTTACGTCAAACCGTATGCGGATGGAGGTCAATTGCAGCAGTTTGTCTGGAATTCAGCAGCTGGTATACTTTTACAAGGGCTGGAGGCGAAAATGAGATACTCCGTCGGGAAGGGGGAGGAAATAAAAGGGGAAATGGTCCTTACATTTAATGGAAAAGCACTTAGCAGAAATTCTAGGAAACCAAAGGAAATATAATTTGATTGGTCATTAATGAGCAGACAATCCCAAATCCTGTACTCTAATCCCCAAAACACATACCCAACAACATCCCATATCACGTACCAAGAAGTAGCAAATCCGTATTGACGACTGTTGTAAAACTCTGTAATGGGCATCGCCTCAGATGCAGTAACGGGAACAAGTGTGAATTATACGGAGGATCTGCTTCCCTATTATAGCAAAACTGATGCGATACTTACTTCAGTTTACTCCCAGCCCCACTGCTGTTCATAATAGACCAATCGGATAATATTTATATGGAATCGAGTGATATCTTATGATGCCGGTATTCTGCTTACCTTTGTCCGTAATCGAAGTCTAGCACATGTGTATACTTGATTATATAGTGGGGGGGGGGGGTATTTAATTCTTCAAATACATGCTCTAGATCTCTTATATGCGTATGCTTATATGGACTGTTTAAAATAGTTGGCAGTGGCGTGTTCTGAAAAATGTATAAGGAGGAGATGCATCGCTGACTTACATACTTTATTGTCCAAGATACAGACCGCATATATGCGTGCTGTATACATGACATCGACTATAAGCTAAACCTAAACCTTAAATTAATAAGATAGTAGATTTCGCCTCAGAATATAGCATATTCAATCAGAGCCGGAGTATCCAGCTCCTTGAGAAGTCCCGTGACATATGTATATACGTACTATGTGATACCACATAAAAGGTTCGTTCCAGCTCAAATAACCAGATGTATTCTAATCCAATTCGATCTGGCCTGGCATGAGATTACAAAGTTGAAAACCCAATAACCTAAAAGTAAACGGCACCGATGTTAATATATTTTCTACTCTAAATCAACCTGGTGATCAGCAATGACCTCACGTATATGTATCAACATGTAGATTCCGGGTAAAGAGGTACAGGCTCCTCCTACCTACATGTATGCACACACTTATGTGGCTTCTTACACGAACAGGCTTGAGATTGTATATTGTATAAGATGTAACCTGATGTTTTTCTCGAAGTAAAAATAAATACCTGTAGGCATATGTATCTACATCTACTCTACCGCTGCACATGTTAGAGGTTGGAAATTGTAAAACGACCTGAAGGTTTAATACAGTTCAGAGAGTGGTACAATCGAAAAGAAAGAAAAGAATGTTGTAAATGTATGTAGGTACTTCAATAATAATACTATATGTAGTAGTAATATATTCGGGCGGGAGATTGGGCGAATTTGGTAGGAGTTGTGGATGTGATGTGGGTGTGGATGTCGGGGCCAATCGGGCGGAGATTAGCTGCTCGTTGGGGGTGAGAAGGGGAGAAAGAAAGAAAGAAAAAAACACGGTGGCAGGCAAACAGCCAGGGCAACCAGAAACGCGATTACACTATTATAGATGTAGGATACATGTAGGGCCTGTATGATGGTTAGAATTTTGACTGAAGTTGAAGATTATTAGTTACCTATTACGGCGTGATACCCAAACCCTCTTGTCCTTCTCCTCTGTGACAATCCTGTTCTTTGCCGCCCGTGTGTGACAACCTCGTCACCACGCCCTTGATTTCTCCTTGACTCTCCTCTAGTTTGGTAGCCCTCGCTCGTTTGTCTCTCTTTTCGCTGCCTCGTGGTAAGTCCTCTCTACTTTATCCGTTTATATTTCTGTTTATTCTTCATCTGTACCTATCAAAATTATTCCTTCTCTCATCCCTTCCAAGATTTTTTTCGATTCCTTGTCTATGCCCGGAAGGTCTGGGGCAAGGTTGTCGATCCTCTTGGGCGAGATACGCTGACGACGTCGGCACTGACTTTATCTTCCCTTTACTTAGCTCCTGAGGCAACGATACCTCCGCTCTCTCCTACATAATCTACCCCCCGGCTACCAACACGTCTGCCCAGAATACTCAGCAGCGTTGGAGAACCATTCGTTAATCATTACGGAGTCCGGTTCGAATATCTAAGCCATTGATGCGGAGTCGACGCTCTTCGAGAGATTCGAGACCCTCCATCACTGCAGACGACGGTGAAGATAGCGAGGCCTCGCCGGTGGAAGGGAACGAGGAATGTCAATTTTCCTCTGCTTTGAATATCCAGGACCGAGGCGAAGAGATAAAGACAGCACATAATTCCCCTACAAAACCTCTCTGGATTCCGCCGCGGGACCGAGACCGAGAGCCTTTAGACGCGACACCAACACCGACAAAGGAAGGGATGGAGGACACACGGGGCTACAAATCTTCACGAGTACGGTCGGCATGGTTATGCTCGTTATCAACACTAACTGTTATCCTTTTCTCGGCCTTCCTCCTCTGGGTCAGCATAACATCCTTTACGGACCTTCAATGCGACTCTAAAGGTTGCCGGATGCCACGCATGTCCCCTGTTTACATCCGGGAGAAGGATTTCGACACGGAACATACTAGATTTGCCAGCAAATATAGCCTCTATCTATACCGGGAGCATAATGTAGATATCGATTATCCGGTAAGTCCCTCCTTTTCCTTGGGCGCTTCCAGATCTTCCTTGACGTTTCCGTGTTGGTTCTGTGAAGGATCTTTGGCCTATCTTGGATGCAAGAAGCGAATTTGCAAAGAAAAATGGGCGACCTGATACATTTGATCCGTTCACAATTGACTGCTCGCGGTCCCAAGTTGTTCCAAGTCATTTGCTGAGGTGCTTGCAGCCCAAGGGCGTGCCAGTACTTTTTATCCCGGGAAACGCTGGTAGCTACAAGCAAGTACGGCCGATAGCTGCCGAGGCTGCGCGCACTTTCAAAGAAGCAGCAGCTAAAGACGAAAACCTAATGAAACTTGGACAACGTGGTCTCGATTTCTTCACGGTGGATTTTAATGAAGATATAACCGCATTCCATGGCCAGACAATGCTCGACCAGGCCGAATATTTGAATGAGGCTGTTGCATACATTCTTTCTCTCTATCACGACTCCAGAAAGGCCACAATGGATTCGGATCTTCCAGATCCAAGTTCTGTGATAGTTTTTGGCCATTCGATGGGGGGGATAGTCGCACGTACCATGTTAATCATGCCAAATTACCAATCAAACTCCATCAATACTATTATCACCATGTCAGCACCTCATGCTCGGCCGCCAGTATCTTTCGATAAACAGATAGTGCAGACGTACGATGATATAAACAACTATTGGCGGAGATCTTTCTCGGAAAAATGGGCAAATAATAACCCATTATGGCATGTTACTCTGGTTTCTATTGCTGGTGGGGGTTTGGACAATGTTGTGCCTTCGGATTACGCCAGTATTTCATCATTAGTTCCGGACACACATGGATTTACGGTTTTTACATCTTCAATGCCAAATGTTTGGGTTGGGGTAGATCATTTAGCAATTCTCTGGTGCGATCAGCTCATGAAAGTTGTTGCCCGGTCTATGCTAGATATCATCGATGTGAAAAGACCTGGGCAGACGAAGCCTCGAGCAGAAAGGATGCGTTTATTCAAGAAATGGTATCTTACTGGCATGGAACCTGTTGCCGAGAAAACACTACCGCGCAAAGGTTTGATATCTATTTATCGGTAATTTTTCCAGGACTCCTTGCTAATTTGACTAGAACCTACTACACTATTGACTCTTGAAGATAACTCGCACTCGATCATTACTCTTGGGCAAAAGCTTGTTTTGAGGCAACTTGGTGAATCGCAAAAGCCTCGTGCATACTTGATGCCTGTGCCACCATCTCGTGGAGTCGGAACCACAAAATTTACACTGTTGACAGACCAAAAATTAGATGGTGTTCGGGATTCAAAGCTGGAGGTTTTGTTTTGCAGTGTGTTCCCTCTTCAAGCTGGACAAACGGCAGCAATATTCTCTATGAATATGGATCTGTCTGGAGACAGTTCTGGATCGACCCGCCTTGCATGCAAAAATGCCGCTGATGATGTCATTCAAATGCCTGCATCGTACCGAAACTCAAAACACTCATTTGATTCAGCCCAGCCATTTTCATCTTTGCAATATGATTTTGAGGACCTCGCTGAGCACCAATTTGTGGCTGTTGTTGACAAGGCTAGTAGAGTATCACAAGGTTGGGTAATTGCAGAGTTCGTCGAGAAGAAGGATGCCAGTATTCAATCAAACGTCGGTCTACGTGGGTTGTTATTGGATGGGGTTCGAACAACTTTGCCAGCCGAACGTCCAATTGTGACTGAACTTCATATACCTGTAATGCACAGCAGTCTTCTGACGTATAAGCTAAATGTGGGTATCCAATCTTGCGGGGAAGACGGCCAGCTTTTTACCCCTCTTGTCCGTCAATACCTCATGGATCCGCATGAATCAAAGTATTTCGTCAATGTGCACACAGCCGACATAAGCCTTCACGGGACAGCACCATTTATACCGCCGGCTCTCCACCCGAATAATAAGAAGGGATTATCATTGCAATTTTGGACAGACCCAACCTGCAATTCAACTATAGATGTGTCAGTTGAGTTTGATTTCGTCGGAAGCCTGGGAAAACTTGTCATGCGGTACAGAACTGTCTTTGCTGCATTCCCTATGCTTGTGGTAGCTCTTGTCCTTAGAATACAATTTACCGAATATAATAACGGCGGTATGTTTTTTTGTAATCTTCCAGCCTGTGAACTTGTCTTGCTAATGGGGTACTGTAGGCCGTTTCATAAGCTTCACCAGAGGCATAGAATTACTGATAAATAAAACACTACCATTCGTTATGATTTCGTTGTCCCTCCTAGCAGTTTCTCTCGGATTCGCCAAGGCCGAGCAGGAAAAGCGAATATCATCTCCATTTTCATGGCCAAAGTCTGCGGCCGAGCAGTCCTCTCCCACCATGGAGTTCGATAAAAATGATCTTCTAGTTGGGCTTGCAGATCCATTCTTTTGGTTCTTGGCACCATTATTTGCCTTATTGGCTGTTGGCGTGGTTGCTGTTCTAAACTATGGACTGATGATCTTATTGCATGTTTTAACATTCATATATTCAATATTCGTTCGATGGCCCAACTGGGTTAGTAATGAACGAAGGTAAGATATATGCGAAGGTCCTAGGATGGATCAAATAGCTGATTTCAGAAGACGCTCAATAGGTCCGACGTTTTCGTCAAGTAGCCCACGAAGACGGATCATGACAACCCTTATGCTTTTGTTTTTCGTAGCGACCCTTATTCCTTACCAGTTCGCCTACATGGTTGCTTGCATTGTCCAAATCGCAACTTGCGTCCGTGCATTGAAAGTTGCAAAAGAAAGCGTATGTTTCTCTCTCTGAGCATCACCTCGTAATTCAGCTCACGTGATATTTTAGGGATACTCTGAACGCTCTGGGTCATCGGCAGATTTCTCCAACTACACCCATTCAATTCTTGTTATGATGCTTTGGATATTACCTATAAACCTGCCCGTACTTGTTGTATGGATACATAACCTAGCAGTTCATTGGCTCACACCATTTTCATCCCACCACAATTTGCTCTCCATTATGCCGTTTATACTGCTTGTGGAAACCCTTACGACCGGAAATATGATCCAAGAATCCCCAGCCGGTATGTTTTCAAGACGCTATGAACCTCGAAATATCGCTGACTAATGTTTAAAATGAATAGTATAAGATTAATCACAAACATATTATTCCTCGGATTAGCATCTTATTCCGCCTTGTACGGCGTAACTTACGCATACCGACTGCACCATCTCGTCGATTTCGTTGTCGGATGGCTTGTTATTGTTCATTCCAGCACCGCCCCACCAACAGTTGCGGGCATAATAGAATTATTTAATGACGATGGAGATGACGACTCTTCCTCTAAGAAGCGTCAATTGTGAGGAATATATCTATTGGAGATAAACAAGAAAATAAAAATCTTGTAGGACAGAAAACGGGCCTTTTTTCATGTTAAGAAAGTTCATATGGCAGTGAAGCGTTGGACTCTTTTGGATGGCGTTCTGCAGTATTCCTTTTTTTTTTGCAACCCCCCCCCCCCCCCCCCCCCCCCCCACATTTCATTTTATTTTCACCTTGAACTTTTTCTATGGTTTAACATCGGACCTTTGTTTCATCCCTTGCTAACATGGAAGCTACTTGTACACTATTATATTCTTTTTCTCCCTTTTTTTGGTTTTTAATGTCTAACTTTGTAAATAGGATTTTCTTTTGATTTTATCAATTTCTTTTCTCTCTCTCTCTCTCTTTCTCTCCGTTGCCCTCACTTCCTATACCTTTTTCTCCGTGTGGCCCCACCACCGCCGTGCCTTCCCCCCCCCCCCCTCCTCCCTACATATACTACTACATCTTTTTTTTTTTTTCATGATAAAGAATACCCAGCGGACCTGTTCAGACTTTAATAGCAGTTGTGTGTGTATGTGTGTATCATCTTCTAGGGCTTTGTTTTTACCGTACAGTCGGGGGGTTTTTAAGATTCTTGCTTGGCAAATCAAGTTACTGCAATAGCTACTACATACATCATACTACATGTCGTCAATTTTGAGCAGCGTCACTCGGTCTTATGTGGCTCGTGCTTGGTAGATATGGGGGGCTTTTTACACGTATTTATATATTTGCTGGCTGGATGCGTTAGTTGGCCCTGCGATAACCGTTGCTTTGATGGGTGGATGCTTGGGATGTATAGAAAAAGAAGAGTAGAGGACCTGGGATGTATTTGGCTGCGGTTGGCTGTGTGGGTTGGGGATTTGTTGAGTTTATAGTATGGGATGGACACGAGACTGTGTTTACTCGGTGCCCAGACCCCGGGACTCTTGTAGTAGGCGCATGGCTACTACTAGAGTAGTTAAGCTACCAACCAACCAATTACAGACAAGCATTGTGGTGCAAAGTCCCGGGATGTAGTTACAGTACTACATGCGTGCCAAGATGGGATTGTGGGGGTGAGTGATGGGTCATGATCCGAAATCTTGGGGGTGGGTTTTTACGCCGTGTCAAGGTTTTTTGTGTGCAAAGTTTCAATTTTTTCTGGCTCTCTTGCTCTCTTGTTGTTTTGATTTGGTTTTTTTTTTTTTTTTGAGTAGTTGGTTTTAATGGAAAGAAAGGAAGAAAGGGAAGGTAGTCTCTCTAGGACGGTTTGTATGTATGCTGTGGAGTAGAGTTTATCGGAGGGTTGTAATTGGCTTTGGTATTAGAAGATCTTGAAGGCCGCTATGTGGGCTGCTGTATTACTACTACTATAAACTACATGTAAGTACTAGAGAACCTAACGCTCGTGATATTACATAAAATTACAATTCCCCCCCAATCTCCTACCCCCCTTAAACCCACCCATAAAAACCCCCCTCCCCCAATAAAAACTCCACCTTCCCTCCCCCACCTCCCCCACTCCCCAACACACACACTACGACGGCACCCCCTCATACTCCACCCCCTCCCTCACCCTCTTCTTCGCCGCCCTCCTGCGCCGCCTCCTACTCCTCTCCACCCGCCAACTCGCCCCCTTGGCAAACCACATAAGCCAAACACGACCAGTACGATGACCGCCGCCACCGCACTGACAATCACCTCGCGCCGCCCCTCGTCGCCGTCCGTGTACGGGCACGACGCGTTCGCGCCGCCGCTCACCCAGCAGGAGTCGGTCGAGAGCGAGTTGAGGTCGAGCCAGATGCTGTCGGTGCTGGGGAGGTTGCTGGTGTGGAGGAGGAGGGTGTGGAGGTGTGTGTTTTCGAGCGGTGTGCGCGGGGTGGAGATGCAGGGGGGCAGGGAGGCGTAGGGGAGGGGGGTGGGGGTTAGTGTCCACTGGTTTGTTGTGGTGTGTTAGTCTAGGTGTGTTTGGGGGGTGAAGGGGTGAAGGGGAACATACGTCGTAGGGCTGCCCGGAAACACGACACGCCGCGCGCCGCCACTCGTTGCAGTCCGCCACGAACCAGCGGCCGTCCGACACGCGCATGGCGGCGCAGCGGAAGGAGGGCTTGCGGCCGGTGGTGTTCTGTGGCTGGTTGTCGGCCCAGGCCCATGCGGCGGTCGCGCGGATGTGGGCCTCGTAGTCGCGGAAGCGGGTGTCGAGGGATGCGGTTGTGTTTGCGGCGCCGACGGCGGGGTTGAGGAGGGTGGAGTAGCCGCAGTTGATGAGTGCTGTTATGTTGGTGGTGGTTGTAGTGGTGAGGGCCTGCGCCCACGAGGAGTTACCGGCGGCGATACTGGTGTTGGAGGGGTTGTAGAAGCACTGCGGGGGAGTGGAGGCGTTGTAGGGCGCTGGGGCGCCGATGTAGCCCGCGGGGAAGATTGCGGCGTTGTCGGCTGTTGCGGCGGGGTCGTAGACGGCGGAGACGGCGGCAGAGACGTTGCCGAAGGTGATGAGGACGCGCTTGCGGAGTTTGAACTCGAGGTAGGACTCGCTGGGCCAGCCGTCGGGCGTGCTGACGGTGTCGTCCGCGGCGAGGAGGGTGGTGAAGTAGGTGGTGTTTGTGGTTGCGGTGTCGTCGTCGTGCCAGCTGCTGTTGAGGTTGCGGCGGTCCGAGAGGAGTTGCGTGGGCGTGTAGGCGTCGGCGAGGATGTTTGCGCTTTTGAGGGTGCTTGTGAGGGGTTGTGGCGGGGCGGTGAGGGTGGTGGAGGAGGAGGAGTTGGTGGTGGTGGTGGTGGTGGTGGCGGGGTGGAGGGAGAGCGTGAGGAGGAGGATGCGCGCGCCGAGGTCGGTGTTGGTGCCCGTCATCCAGGTGTCGAAGATGGTGAGGAGGCTGGTGGCGTTGAAGGAGGGCGTGCAGGTGTAGGCAGGCGCCGACTGGCGGGGGAGGAGCGATGCGGTGGCGGCGGCGGCGGGGGTCGTGGTGGGTGTTGAAGATGCGGTGTCGGCTACTGTCATACAGTCAGCTCATCCATAGACCTCCCCCTCCCCCCCCTCCCCATAGCTAGCCAGCAATAGACAGTAGAGAGCAGTAGCAGTAGCGCACCTGGACAGATCCCCCACCCGCCGCTCTCCCCATCCAGATACAGGTCCAGCAGAAAGCTGCGGTACCCAATCGCAATCAGGTTCGCCACACACGCCGCCCGGTCCTCCGTGTAGCTGCCGTCCGCGAAGCACGCGGGCGTCAGCGCGATGCCCGGGTACTGGTTGTAGTTTATGGGCACGTCGCGGCGGAGGTCCCGGAGGCTCTGTACATTGGTTAGCTGTCTGTTTTGTCTTTTTAGAGAGAGAGTGAGTGGGATTGTAGAAAGGGAGAAGGAGAAGGAGAGCAGACGAGCAGCACGGTGCTCCAGTTCTCGGAGACGGCGTCGGGGCTGATGGTGGGCGACCAGGAGGCCATCGTGGGAGTTGTGGGGGGCGGTGTTTCAGAGAATATCACTCGACGGTACAGACGGTACGGGCTGGTGGGATAGCTCAGCATGGTGCACCCCGGGTAACCCCTCGCTGCCACTTACCCGCCCTCGCACCCTCCCAGCCACAACAACCCATCTGTCTGTTCTGTCCGTTACGTAGCCGCGTTCACGACACCCACGAACTCACAAACGACACAACCAGCAGAACAGAAACACACACCACAACAGCCCAATGTCGTCGTCAGAGGTAAACCCTCCCTACGCGCCCTTCTTTGGGTTTGCCGGAATGTAAGTCCACACCCTCCCTCCCCTCCTGGTACCTAGAGAGAGAGAGAAAGAGAGAAAGAAACACTGACCAACACCCGCAGTGCCTCCGCAATGATCTTCTCGTCCATGGGCGCCGCATACGGCACCGCAAAGGTACTTCCCTCCCGCCCACCCCACCAGAACCCACTGACTGACAGACGCGTTCATAGGCCGGTGTCGCCATCGCCGGAGTCGGCACCTTCAAGCCCGAACTCATCATGAAGTCCCTCATCAGTGCGTCCCCTCCCCCTCTATCCCCCACCCCCCTCTCCACACACTAACACCCCCCTCCCACAGGCGTCATCATGTCCGGCATCATCGCCGTCTACGGCCTCGTCATCGCCGTCCTCATCGCGGGCGACCTGGGCCCCAAGAACTCATATTCGCTCTTCAGCGGGTTCGCGCACCTGGGCGCTGGCCTGTCGGTTGGGCTGGCCGGTCTGGCGGCCGGCTATGCGATCGGGATTGTGGGCAACGCTGGCAGTCGCGCGTTCATGAGCCAGGGGAAGGTGTTTGTGGGCATGGTGCTGATCTTGATCTTTGCGGAGGTGCTGGGGCTGTATGGGTTGATTGTGGCGTGAGTGCTTCCTTTTTGGTTTTTTGGGTGTGGAGGAGGGGATGGGGGGAGTGTGTGGGCGAGTGCTAATGGTGGGTGTGTTACAGGTTGATTTTGAACACCAAGACGAACGGCTAAACGCCTTATTGCGGTCGCTTCTCCCCGGGGGGGGGGGGGTGGTAGCTAGCTAGCTAGCCGACTGCGGTTCGGCTGGTGCTGCTGCTAACAACAAACAAATTATTAGTACTTATTTATATCTGGATTCACAGACCTGGAATTTGGCATTGGCATTGGCTTTTTCATCGTCGTGGCGGGGAGTGGGGGACATGTTTGCAAACAACCTCTGTATAGTAAATTTGTCTGCTTTTTTTTTTCTTTTACAGGTAGTACAGGTACAGTATATCCGTAGTTTTTTTTCTCTTCATTTCTGTTTGGCTTGTTTTGGCTTGTTTTTTTTTGGCTTGGTATGTGCGCTGCATGCATGGAAAATGGTATTGGATTTTTTTTATTTTTAAAGACGCTGGTTCTGTGGTGGGAAGTGTGAATTGAGGTGCAGTTATGCTATAGAGAGGGAGAGAGCGTGAAGTGGATTGGATTGGGTGTAGGAAAACTGGCTGTGTGATCATTTCCAGGTACTTAGTAGACGTGGAAATAGTATGGCTGGGGCCGTTAACTGTACCAAGCTTGATTTTAGCTACCATTGAGCTTATTGCTATTGATTTCAGTGGCCATATCAGTACCTGTAGATGATCAATGAATCTCCAGAGACAATCTTGATAGCACTACTCCAAGCCACACCCCCACTCTAGCCCGTAAAATACAACTACATACAACCCCCCCCAAAAGAAACCGCGGATATCAACAGTAAAGAAAGACCCAAGAAAAGAAAACAATGTTTTTAATGATAAAGAATAATTACGCCCTAATAAAAAAAAAAAAAAAAACACAAAACACAAAACAAAAGCGAAAAAGGACACCACTACAGCGCCGACAGCGCCGACCCCGCAACCCACGCAGCAGCGCACGCCAGCAGCGCCCCCACCCCCACCGCATTCCGATTCCACCCCTCCTCCTCCACGATGCGCACTGCGCCCTCCCTCCTCACCACCTTCTGCGGCCTCTCCTCCCTCACTTCCTCCTTCACCTCCACCACCCCCCCACCGCGGCCACCAGCACCACCACCGCACGTCCCATTCCGTCTCGGCACCGTAAAGTTCACCGCCAGCCTCGACAGCTCCAGCAAGTCCTCATTCCAGCTGCCCCCCGCCTCGCCCTCCAGCTCCACATTCTGCACATTTCCAAAAAAGTCCGTAATCAGCGTCTCGCTGAGGTCCCTGCGGAACAGATCCGTCCTCACACCGGGGGTGGAGTGTATCTTCTCCGTGTCATAGCTATCAAACAGATCCTTCATCGTGCTGCGACTACTACTCGCCGTCTTGACCTCATTCTCCAGAAACTCCAGGTTGTAGTACGTATACCGATCAATCACGGCCACGCCCACATCATTATCGGCATGGTGCGAGTAGCTGCTCTCATCCAGCTTGCTGCTCCCCGTGGCCAGGATATTCGGCGAGTAGAACTTGCTGTACATTGTGTTTGCCTGGCACGTGTCCACCATGAACAGCATCTCGTGGTAGCGCTTCTTCTCCCACATCTGCTCAAACGCGTCCGCAATGTCAAACGCACTAATCTCCTCGGCGTCCTGGAACTTGAGAAACTCGTTGCCGCCGTGGCCCGTCATGTAGATGAAGATGTTGCTGCGGTCGTCCGTGAGCAGCCGCTTGCTGCGCGGCGTGTCGGGCGCGACGCGGTCCGTGAGCAGCCGGATAAAGTTCTCGACCGTCACCTCGTACCCGCGGTAGTCGACCTCGATGTTGTCGCCGTAGAGGTCGAGCGCGCGGTCGGCGTTGTTGTAGACGGTGCCGGGGAAGGCGTTGCGTGGGTTGCATGCGATGTCGTCGGATAGCATGAGGATGATCTGCGAGTCGGGGATGCCGAGACGCTTCACGGTCCGGTACATGGAGAGCACGTTGGCCAGGTGGCGGTAGTTGAACCAGAACCGTGAGGTGGAGACTAGCACGGCCCAGTTGGAGGTGTGCTGCGCGAGCGCTGCGCAGGGGAGGAGCGTGAGTGGGAGGAGCAGGCGTGAGGGTTTCATGGTTGGTGTTGCGTGTGGTGGTTGTGGTGAGCGGTGGGGTGTGGTGTGGTGAGGTTTGGAGGTGAGATGTTTTAGGGGCTCGTGGGAGCTGTCGAGTGCAGCTCCGTGATGAGAAATCAAGCCAAGCCGGAACCCTAACCCTGGCGAGATATCACACACTTCAATCATTGGTAGGGGCAATTGCAATCATTCTTCACGTAAAACAGCTGGCTTTGACGCAGTTACGATCTCTTATTGATTTTGTGCCCTCCTTGTTACAAATACAAGCAAAGAGATACATCAAAAGACCTGAGGTATCCTTGTAAAAAAACAAACCCGTCCTAATTATACATATAACGACTTTTTTTTCCCACCCATATGTAGACGCCCTCCCCCAACTTTTTGATGTTCGCCTCCCCACCGCTAGAAAGAAAAAAGAAAAAAGAGAATACAAGAAAAAAGGAATGCTCATTTGGTACAGATATCGATTTCTATGCCTTCTCCTCAACCTTCTCAGCCCCCTCCTTCGGGACCTTCTCGGACCCATCCTCATTGTAGTTCTCGGTCCTCATGTCCGAGATACCCAAGTCGTCCTCCTGCTCCTTGGTCCTGGCCACATCGACAATAGTCAACTGCGGGTCCGGGTCAGGCGCATAGAGGTTCTGGACATAACTGGCCGCGAGAGGATCGTCGAGGATACAGGTGAACTTCTTCTTTCCACTCTTGGCGTCGCGGAGTCCCTGGAAGAATGACTCCCACTTGTCTCTGGTTTCCTTTTCGACCGAGTCGGAGGTCTCGTCGGCCATGTCGCCCCAAATACGCTGGTGGAGATCGTCGTGAACCTGCTGGAGGAGACCTTCGAGGGTGGTGAAACGTCCTCCGAGGGTTCCGGGGGTAAGATCAAGTTTGAGCTCAGGGCAGGTGAGGGCACATGTCTCGGACTGGGAAAGTTAGTCTAAGCAACCCGAATTGGCGAATCGGACAAACCTTAAGAATATCACGAGCAAGATCCTCTTCGTCCTCGACCTTCAAGGTAATGATACGTCCCTTGGAGGGGACGGCACCTCCAGTCTTAACTTCGTTACTCTTGTCTGTAAACTATTAGTAATGGCCTTCATATAAGTCGCTACCGGTCGGGAAACCCACATCCACAAGCATCGCAGACAGTGCTCATGATCACCACTTCCTTGAAATGAGGGATGTCCACAAGCTTCATATGTGTGCTGCACGGCCTGACACAGCTAGGGCAGCTCGCGGGGAACGTGTGCACCTCATCGGGCCTGATATCGTCGTCCTCAAACTTCTCCGTGTCCTCCGCGCTCGTGTCCGTCAAACCAAGTGCTGTGTTCATCTCTGGTGTCCTGACATAGTCGTGCCTGGCCCATTTGCCCTTTGCGTCATCTGGCTTCGGCTCAATCCACGAGTTACCGGCCGGGTCGTCAACCTTCACCGTGAACGGGAATGCTCGCCCTTCAATCATATCTCTACCCTTGGCAACAAACTGCGCAATCTTCTCGTATGACTCCGGGTCGATCTCTTTGCGCTTCGGCTGGTCCTGCTCAATGTCTTCAAGTACAAGCGACAAAAGCCCTTCGACATTCGTGAGCTGTCCTCGCTGGGCAGGGATCTCAAGGTCGAGTTCGATGAAGCGCGATGTGCATGTTTCGGACTTGACAATCTGCCTGTTCAGATCCTCTTTGCTTTCGACTTTGAAGGTGTAAGAGCACCCGCGCTCCTGAATGACTCCTGCGGAGGTGATCTCGTTGTTGCGGAAGTGGCAATGGGAACACTCAAAGGACATGACGACAACCTCGCGGAAAAAGGGAATCCGTGTAAGAAGAAGGCGAGTAACGCCTTGCTCGTGGCAGTTCATGCATAGCGATTCTGAATAGCAAACACGGCGATCAGTGGAGAGCTACAAACTTAACTCGGCGCATGAAACATACCAATGTTGTCCACAATCTGCGGCTCGTCAACAGTAAAGTTTTCTCCACCTTCCGCAGCTTCACCGCCCGCGCCGCTGCTGGCAACGGCGTTGACCTGGTTGCCAATAGATTGGAACATATCCTCTTGCTTGGGCTCAGCGGAAAGAGCCATGTTTGCTGTTTATTTATGCGTCGATGATTATTGTATATGAAGCTATTGTGATATCGAGTGGGTACAAGAGTCTTTCTGTTGTTTATATGCTTTAGAGTTGAGTCAGCCACTGGGAAGTTCGAGCCAGTTACCAAGGGGGTTGAGTCAATAGTTAGGAAGTGAGTCAGTACATATAGTCAAAGGGGAAAGATTTTTTGGATGGCGGGGTTTGGAGGGGCAATTGAATTAATAAGGGAGAGCCGCATAAGCCAAGCCTTTTCTCAATTATTAATGCACTCTTTTGTCATGGCTTGCCGGGGTTGTTTCTAGAAACCCCTGTCAAAATCTCGCTTGTTTTAGAAGTGCTTTCCCCCCTTGCAGTCTCTGCAGTATTTATGCTACGAGTGATATCTTATGATGTTCCACATACCTTCCAATAGCGCAGCGCATAGATTCCACTAGAGCCTCTCATAAAGTTAGAGACAATTTTTTCCTATTACTTGTGCGAGTAGTGATAATGACATCGAATCCGCGACGGCATCCTAGGCTATTGCGAATATTAAGGACGCCAGCCCATCTCAAATCCATTTCAGCAGCCTGGAACTAATTCATTCCTGGGCCATGCATAGCCTGTATCCTTCCACAACTAGTTTTTTCAATCATCAATATTTTTTTTTCTACCGTTTTAGATACCACGACTAACCGTAAAATTTGGGTTCATGTAAGCAACCAGATGGTTCTCTATGTACTCAGTCGTCGGGAACCCCGCTGAAAGATCATAAAAAGCATTTAACAAGAAGAATTCATAACAAGTACTCAATGTAGATAGAAATGACTAAACTTACGTGGATCACAAGTAACTGACTCCTTCCCTTGTTCTTGATAGATACGTATGTAGTCAATGTACATCGTTACACCGTCGGTCAATCTAGGGCTAAATATTCGGTCAAACTTGATGTGTGATAATTCATGTCTTATCAACTCGACTTACCCTAGGATATTCCAGTCAATATACGTCCATGAAGTGCTAAGGCCAAGGTTTAATATAATAGACATAGGTTCTCGAGAAATGTCTCGTTGACCGATATTTCCATTTGGACCGATTGCATCACCTGCAAATGTTAATGGGGAGATAGACGAAAGAGCTCCGACTCCAAAGATGTAACTATATCACCTGTCATTCTAAAAGTTTCTTCGTCGCCAACAAACCACGCAATCTTGCCGTTACGTTTTCCTGGTCTATACTCGAACGCATATTTTTGAAACTATATCAACGATAAGCCACCCATTCTTGGCCCCTTTGAGATGATCAAGCTCACTTGTTTCCCATCATACCACTCATTATTCAAAGTGGTGACCCCTTTGAAATATCAGTTAGTCGGTCGAAAAATACAGATAATCCAAAAATGCATACCACTAATGGCCTGTTGAAAGGGCCCACCGCTCCATCCGTTCATCTGAGTAACCATAGGGTCCTTGATTTCTAGAAAGTTTATATCAGGCCTATGCCAAATATCAAACGGCGCCTAAAAGATTAGTCACCGAGATGTGCATAACTTTTTATAAAGATAGAAAGCTTACAATTTGGTTGGACTGCGTGATGATACCCAGTCTTAGCTTCCCATCAGTACTTGCCTCAAGGACATCAATTTCTGGCGCCCCACGGCCGGTTCCGGGACTTGGATGATCCTCTCCTGTACAGACACACCTTGCAAACCTTTGACCTGGAAGAAATGATAAACCATCGCTGCTCGACTGATTTGGAGTGATGCCTGCATCGCACTCGTCGTATGCATATGGCCATACCCCATCAGTCGTCGACATGTATCCGGGCCTACCAAGATTACCCAAGGTCCAAATACCCGGCCACAGTCCAGGAACACCAGCAGGACCTGGGAGCGAAACTGACGCCTCCAACACACCGCCCTTAAAACAGAGCTTGTTCCAGCTCTGAAGCATTCCAGACCGATAATCAAGGTTGTGGTTTTTGAATGCGTCTAGCCTCAAACGAAGGGTTCCATCTTTTGTTGTCACAGCATCTGGATTATACCATTCTAAATCATTAGTGGAAGCATAATGAAAATCCATGGCCTGCCAAAAAGGGTCTTCATTTTCGTCGAATGACCTTCCATCTTTATTAAACTCATCACTGAATACTAGCTTTAGTTTTCCACCCCCCATTACTGAATCTCGTGTCATTGCATATTTTGGTGTATCAGCGTCTATTAATGCCCTTGCGGCGCCCAAAATTGGGTAGATTATGGTGGAAAGTTGCTCTTCACCACCTGAGTCCGATCTCCCTTCCCGTGCAAGCCTGGTATAAGTAAGGACAGGCCATACAATAAACAAACTAAAAACACCACAAATAAACACCGTGCAATACAGAACTCCCATAAGTATCCTTTTGTAACTATATCTGATCCTCTCGTTTGAATTTGGGTTATGGAGGGCATCGTCATCCTCTATTTCGTTGATTGTCGGGTACTGGAGCGATATACCACCATGCTCAGGATATAACGAGAAACCACGCTCAGGGTCTTCTTCATGAAGAATTGATTTATCATCAAACTGTTCTTCCTTATAATCACTGCCAATGGTAAGTGCTGGGAGTGCTGAAGAAATTTCGGACGAGCAGGCTCCTCTTTGGGACCATTGTGGATACCGGGAGTAGTCACCAACAGTTTGAATAGATGATATGGAAGACTGTGCTTTCAATAAAGATATGATGGATGAATGCGAATGAAGTGAACTAGCCTTTGCAACAGCACTTGTTTCACCACTCGATGGAAGAAATATGAATTCCGATGAGACATTCACCACCCTGACTTGTAAACTTCGTTTAGGAATTGTCAATCCTTTTTCTTCGGCCTCACCGACATCGACGTCTTTTCGGCTTGCATTTCTGCTTTGGATACTTTCAAGAGGTAAAGAAGCTGTTGGTATATAACTCAGTCGTCGGAATGACTGGGGGGCAGCGGATGGAGGGGGGTTTGGTGATCTAGACCTTGGACCTGATCGATTCATTGGACGTGGACCATATAACTCTCTTTTTTTATCCCGACGATCAACTATTTGCGGTGATTCCATTGGCCCGGTGTGCTGGTTTAGTATAAATCAGTTGTACCGTCTTCTCGTCTTGTAGTTGGGCTTGAAATCGGATTAAAAGTGAAGAGGAAAGCTTCGATTAGTTCACAATTAGAGAGGTTTGGTAGTTCACATAGTATGACGGTTATCAGGGCCTTGAGGCGACGGTACTTGCCTCAAAGCCATCAATTCAAATGGACAACATGTGACTAGCCTTGATCATGAGCTGTCACTCGGGACTGCATACACCCCTCAAAAAATGTTTTGAGCTCTTACTACATAAAACTACTAAGTTGATAAAATCTACCATAACTCACCGCTTCGGCCCACAACCGTAAGGTTATTGAACCACATAATAAAAAAGGGAGATAAATATCAATCGAGGTGTTTCATTACAAAATGTGTCATTACAAAATGTGTCATCAAAAATATTCTCAGAGAGTGCTAAAACGCAATTATTCACCCAAAGTTACCACAAATGCAATCGGATTCGATATTTTATTGATTGATATCACCTTCCATATGCCGCAAAAAAACACCTTTACCCACCTTGTTCTATACACCGTGCAACTTCACGGGATCTTATTTCACGTATTCACCTAGAGCTATACAGTAATGGTTTGTCGTTCGGAGACAATCTAAGAGTCCAATTTGGCAGGGAAGTTTCCGTTCTCTGCAGTTTACGTTAGTCCGTTAGAAAACTGAGATCAACGTCGGAGACTATGGCAGCGTACCGCGTTGAGTGTCCCATCTCTCAAGCCATGAATTCGGGCAAAGGGATCGGTAGGCAAGGTAGAACTGGAGTTTTATGATTAGAATTTAGAAGCTGGGCGAAAGGGCCTTGGGGAAATAGCATACTTGCTTGCAAGGAGCAAAGTCCTCGCCCTTAGCGTTGATGCACTTGTAGTAGTCAACGTACTGGAGAAATTCGGTATTATATTAGCTTCAGATATGAGTTAAGGCATCGTGAAACGCGATAGGCATTGCAGGTTACGGGGAACAGACGTTTTGCCAGCACTAGCAACACCCAGGATAAAGGTTAGCATATACGGGGTATAATTCCTCATTGAACACGCATAATGGGGTGACATGCGTGCTTGGTCTGATTCTGATGAGGGAATCGAGCGTCAAAGCCTATTCAATTCACACCCTATCAGTTTGGCTTCCCTCGCTTCTCAACCCGGGAAACGACGATCGGCCACATGCCTGCAGTAACGAACTTGAATGGCTTGGTTTCTCTTTCGTCGTCGGACATAGTTGCGGATTTTTTCGGTGGTCGTGAAGAGTGGAGAGGTTGTGTTTCCGGGAGTGCAAGGAGGGCAATTGGAGATGTGCGATGGGTCGATGTGGGCAATCAAAGGATCGGGTGAGGTCCGGTTGTTTGCTGCCAAGAACAGAAGTGACCCCACTGTCGCAGTAGTTACCCGGACAGCCGCCGTTCCGGAGATTTTGGTGGGCGCCGAATGACGCCAGGTTCTAGTTCAAAAATCTCCGAATTATTATACGATGTCGCTCATTAAAAGAGCTACGGCTGCGGGATGGGCATGTTCTAATTGTACGGACATGCTGTTGGGAAAACGGGCGGTGGAATTGAGGCCGAGGTTCTTTTCGTCCACTTTGACAGCGAGAGCGGCGCCTGTTGGTCAGAACGCCAGTGCTGGTGGTGCGCCGAGGAAGATTCCGAATATGAGAGACCAGTACAGAGCAAAAAACTCGAGTGGATTATATTATACTGCGAGGTTCGTTACCACTCGTTAGAGAATTCACTCTTCGTATAATTATTTGTTAAATATCAATTTCTGTTCAATATCCTTTTCTCAATATATCATATTTCTCCTCAATGTTCTCTTTTCTACCCAAAATGAAATAATATAGGACATTGAAGATTAAGAAAACTAAATAAACCGGTCACTTTCAGTCTCGGGATTGCCACTTTGACACTCGCCTATGCCTCTGTCCCTCTCTACCGTGCCATCTGCCAACGTACCGGCTTTGGCGGTACTCCCATAACGGACCAGACCCGATTCACCCCCGAAAAGTTGATCCCACAACGACAGGCTAAACGTCTTCGTATTACCTTCAATGCCTCGGTCTCCGATGTGCTTGAGTGGAAATTCACCCCTCAGCAGCGCGAGGTCCGGGTGCTTCCTGGCGAGACGGCTCTGGCATTCTATAAGGCCAAGAACCTGAGTAAGGAGGATATAATTGGTGTCGCTACATATAGCGTAACCCCGGGACAAGTGGCGCCGTATTTTTCAAAGATACAGTGTTTTTGTTTTGAAGGTGGGCTCACTAATAGTTATGATGTTTATTGGCTGAAACCATGTTGCTAATAAAAACAAAAACAGAGCAAAAATTGAATGCAGGAGAAGAGGTGGATATGCCGGTTTTCTTTTTCATAGATCCTGATTTCCTTGAAGACCCTCAAATGAAGGGAATTGAGACAGTCACGCTTTCATATACCTTCTTCAGTGAGTACCGCCTTCAAGAACTGAGGTTTTTTCCATTTATGCTAATTGACAACCCTCGATCAATAGAAGCGAAATATGACGATAACGGCGTCTTGCGGCCGACCCCTTGATCACATGTAGAATTTTACTGTATAAACAGCTCCTAAACAGCTCTAACTACATGCATCTGTACCATTAATTCGGAGTTTGGAATTGTCTCTGTTTTTTTTTAGATTTGTATATTCACCTCTCACCTCTCTTCAATCACTTTCACATGCTAGGCATATGAATCCATACACTGTGATTCACTACATGTATGAGGGGTAGTGCTCCGTTATTACAATGGAGATATATAATGTAGATCGTAGAAACGGTGTTATTTGTTGGATCTTTACTATTCTCCATCCTTAATCTATTCCAGAAAAGATCCCCAATGTGCCCAATTAATAAATCGCAAGGATCCACCTATGTAGAATACAAGAATCGAACTAGAATACAAAACTGCATCCATCAATAAAAGCAACGATAGGTAAAGGATAAAACGCCGCATTCTATCCCGGAATCGCACAAATCCCTAGAGAGCCACAGTTTATTTCTTCGCAAAATAAGACATCAAATTCCCTTGCCCCTTTGACTGATTATCTTTGTTCTTCTTGCCCTTGGCCACTGGCTTCACCACTGGCTTCGGTTTCGGTGGCTCAGGCTCGTCTTCTGAAAACGACTCCCAAACATGCTCCGTTTTGGTGGCTGCGCAGAAAGTAAGTAGTTGTAGACTCATACAAAAATGAAAAGAGAACAAACCTAAGTATCCATCACTGTCTCTACTTTGGATCTTTTTTAGCACCTTTCTCTTTCCCCTCACTCTACCACCGCTGGTTACCACCCCTGCAACTGCTCCAGTGGGTATATCGGGTGACCCAGCTTGATTCTCAATCTTAGCCATCTTAACTGGCGGTTCTTCGTCATCTTCCATTTTAATGTCTAATTATGATTAACAAGTAAGTCCATGAATTATCAGGAAAATCTATATAGGGAAGCATTACCTCCTTCATCATCGTCATCCATCATATTTCTAAGCTCTTCATCCTTTTCCTTTCTCTTCCTTGTATATTCGGTATCATCGTGGGCAGGTGATTGGGATTTTTCATTATTTAATTCATCATCGTCATCGCCGATATCTTCTTTTGAAGACTCTATACAAACTCACAAGTTAGCAATAATTTCCTAAAATTTCGATAATCATATTTGATTTTTTGGACGTCAAAATGAGCAACCTTCTTCCACTCTTGGACTTTGTGCAGCCTGGTACAATGTTAGTCGAGGTGGCCGGCAAATAGATCAGGTGGAAAGGGCATGGCCATACAGAACTGGTTTCCGAAACTGGGTCTGTGGTCTTCTTTTTCGGCGCTGCCTTCCATGAACTAAAGATATCATTAGATTGGCCTCGTTTAGCTTTGGCAGCAGCCGAAGCGGTTTTCGTTGAGGGTAATGTAGAGCTATAATCATAAAACAAATCAGTATAATTTAGTGAGGAATCATATCAGTGGTCAATGAACGCACGTTTTTGCAATAGGCTTCTTTTCTTTCGTTTCCGCCTTTACTTCTGGGTCGTCTCTGGTTTCCGACTTGGCCTCCTTCTTCTTCGCTGCGGCTTCTCTTTTCACCGCCACTTGATCCTTTTTTGTTGGTAATTTCTTTTTTTCTTGACCAACAGATATAGTTGCCTTTCTTGCAGGCTCTGGTACCGATGGAAGAGCTCGATTACCCGTCCTCTATACTATAGTTAGTATGCAACGATCCAAGCAGATTAAGCTTGACCACAAACCTTAGCACTAGTATTCAAAATAATTCCATAGGTAGCTCCAAGCTCCAAAGGATCTTCATTTTGATGAATTGCAAGTACTTTTGCAGAGCATCCCGTGAGAATCGTAAAATCCTGGATAATTTTTAAATGGCCTTATCAGCTACATGTTACCAAAATCATACTACTCGAATTGATAACATTGAGACTAACCTCTAATCGTACTTGTTCTAAGCTGTACAGATGTACACTCAAAACCTTCTCTAACTCTGCTTTAACCGCTATAAATTAGAGTTTGTTAGCTTGTCAATCCCAGCGGCCTAGTGCATAGTTTATTCTCGATTGGACCTAACAATTGCGAAAATACTGACCTTCTAGCTCTTCCTCTTGGCATAGCTCAACAACTTTACACAATCCCTTCTTTACTTCACCCGTAGTAACTGTAGTTTGAGTTCCTGGAAATGAACTGTCGAACATTACGGTGTCATTATCATCACCGGCGCTCCCTCTCCCCCCCGCGCTGGCAGGTGGTTGTGGTTTGCGATATCCAGTGACTATATAGGTTGCATGTATAGATTTTGGCTTGGTAGCATTCTCGGAGGTGTAGAAGTCAAACAGCATTCTACAGAATAGGAGGATCGTTAGCTAGATAAGAGGATTGGAGCTGTTTGAAGGACAAGCAAACTCTTTGGCTTGGTTTACATGGACTTTCAAAGCTCGGCTTAGGACTCGGTAAGACACCTATTCATCATTATAATTAGTGGTGATTCAATTTAGATCCCCATATTCTCAACGGGTTTAGAAAGTGTAGAAAAACCAACCACAGTCTTCTGCACAATAATAGCATCCTTGAGATAGTCGCGGTATTCATTCATAATTGAGCTTTTCGTAAATATCGGGATTGTAGACTAGTCTGATATCGAGGTTCCGTGATTTCTAGAATGTGGCCGTACTTGTCGCGGGTTAACGCGTCGAGGTCACGGAATTCATTTAGGCGACGCGTTGTGATACAATCCTATTGTTATGTAGAGTGCTCTGCTTCCCCACAAAAAAAAAAAAGCGCGTGGATCTAACAGATGAATCATAGTATATCACTCTTAATTTACACTTCGATAACCCTACATAGAGACAAGCAATTTTGCTTCCACCAACTTCTAGCCCCCCCCCTTGTAAGTTGGACTCCTTCTTAAATTCTCGAAGTATGTAGAGTAGACGGTAGACCCTGCAGTGCAAGTGCACCTAGCACTTGCCACTGGAGACTGCATTAAGAATCCCGCTTCTCTCTCGGACCCTCGGATGGTCCCGTCTCTGAGCTGGCACAGTCAGTCCAAGAGAGGAAAATGTCTTAAACTTTAAGCCTCAACCTCAACCCCTTCAAAATTCACTATTAATTCGTCAGCTTCCACCATTCCTTCACCCATCTCATCACAACAACAACAATTTCATCTATCCCATCACTCACACGAATAACCCAACGAGAAAATGTCTTCACGAACTCTTTTCTTCGTCACCTCAAACCCTGGAAAGCTTGCTGAGGCCAAGGCAATTTTGAGTGCCAGCGGTGTGAATCTTGAGAGCAAGAACGTCGAAATCACCGAAATTCAGGGGACTATTGAGGAAATCACAAGGGATAAGGCAAAGCGCGCCGCTGAACAGGTTTCTACCCCCGTTTGCCTTTCGGGTGGATGTAAGATGGAAAACTTTGTGCGGATTGCTAACGACTCGAATCAGATCGGTGGCCCAGTTATTGTCGAGGACACCTGCTTGTGCTTCGATGCTCTCAAAGGGCTTCCAGGCCCATACGTGTACGTTCCAACATTCCTCTAGAGAAGCCCTTCGCATGTTGTGAAGAGATGCTAACTATTTACTAGTAAGCACTTCTTGAAGGAGATCGGCACTCGAGGCCTCACCAACATGCTTGCAGCCTACGATGACAAGACAGCACAGGCCGTATGCACATTTGCTTACTGCGAGCCTGGCAGCGAGCCCATCCTTTTTGAGGGCAGGACAAAGGGAAAGGTCGTGAGGGCAAGGGGCGAGGGATCCTTTGGCTGGGACCCTATCTTTGAGTATGAAGGTTCAACGTAAGTGCTTACTGATACCGTACCTTTATTGAGTCATATCTAACTATCTTGCAGCTATGCGGAGATGGACTCATACCAAAAGAACAAGATCTCTCACCGCTTCAAGGCTCTTCAAAAACTGACCGCTTGGCTTGAGGAGAAGCATGGCGGTGGCAGCGGTGGCAGCGGAGGGAGTGCTCCCCCACCTGCGGCCCCAAAACCTGTGGACCGTCGTAACATGGGTGGTCATGATACCTCCTCTGATGGTGGCAGTTTCTTTGATGGGTTTGGAGAGGAGGTCAAATCGAGGGCTATCAACATTGCTGGTGATGGGATGGGTATCAGAAAGGCCGCTGGAAGGGAGTGGCAGTTTGATTCTCCCGATGGTGGTAGAGGGAAGTATTAGACTGAACCGCGACTTTCTCTTTCTCTCTAAGCCATTATGCTATATCCAGTTGTAATTAAAACTTGATACAAGAATTCTATACTCCGTCCGGGTGATCCAACTTCCATTGCTTCAGCCATGAGTCTATTCTTTCCACATTGCTATCGATTTCTTCGGTGTTGTCGCTTTGTAGTTCGACCACTATCTCTTCATCGTATGATTCTAGAGCTTCTTCTAGTATCACCTGCATAATCTCTGCGTCCAGGTTTTCTTGAAGCTTTTCTTCTATAAAGTGGCGATATGGTTAGTGCACCGCAGACAAAACAAGGACCCAAAAACCTGTACCTGGATAGTTTCTGCTCTTAAGTCGATCATATAGAATTGTCGAATCTGCTCGTAGGACTACCACCAGGTCGATCCAGCTCTTTGGAAAAACATCGCAGACGTGCCAATCGATAATATAACCTCCTTTCATCACGTCTTCTTCAATCTCGTCGAGAAGCTGTCGAATTCTCTAAGTTAGGGCACCAAATAAATATCGAAAGTAATAAAAACCTTATCATCATCAACGATCCAGGTTTTAAGCTCGTCGTCGTAACCGTCATAGCAGCCTTTATCTTTGACAACCTGGTTTATCGAGAGGTGTTTCAGGCCAGTAGTTTGTGCGATGAGTTCGCAGTGAGATGACTTTCCTATATGTCATTTGATCTGTTAAGAAACATTTCTTGCGGAGCAGATACTGTAGGAAGAGAATATTACCCACGCCGGGAGTACCGGTGACAATGATGTTTGGTTGCGATCTTCCCATTGTGAATTGCTGCGCCTATCGTTCTTAGTTACGGGCTTCTGTACTCTATGGTGGAAGGTTGGGCGGTTTCCCAAATTTTCGGCCAACCAATGTGGGGAAGGTTAGACACATGCATGGTCCAAGCTTCTAGCCCTTTTTTCTCATGCAGATGCAATGTATGCAATACACCCTAACCCTGGTATTATCGGATTAACTATTTTCCGTATATGGGGAAACAGGATTTAACAACTCTACGTACCTAGAGTACCTACAGTACACCTATACCGATATTTTCTTTATGAATAATCAGTCATGCTCTACGGTAAGTAGTAGGTACATGTAGTGTCGATACTATGCTTTATTTCACTGGAGGCTCCGAGTCAAAAATATGAGATCATATGGTTCATAGGATTGTCGACCAGTACCTGGTCGCTGAATACTTACCCCTCTGTCTCCGATATTTGGGTATGAAACAGTCTCTCACACCACTTGTGATGAAATGTGAACGTCGAACGTGGTGTTAATTACTGTGGTGTCTGGCCGCCAGCGTACCTTATATCATTCTTACGGTACTTCACAGCCCGGCAAGCGACTCAATTGACGCCTCGTAAAATTAAAAGTACGCTCTATATGTATTCAACACTAACAATGGAGTATAATTCGGTTATAAAGCAGTAGGTGCTATTATCGCAATAACAGGAATTCGAACATTCGGGGCTAGCTTACTGGCAACTACAGGGAGTCCCATAATATAAAACGATTTGACCTAATCTCAACAACCAAATTTTTATACCAATGGCCTATTTACCAGTATCAAATGGTAGCCGGATTAAAGACATACATCTTATATCTACATGTATATCATCAAAATCACTCTTTACGGTGGTACCGGGCCAACCCCTAGTCTGACAGCATAGGTCCAGTAGAATGATGACTAAGCAACAACTTGAAGGGTATCTGTTTGCAAGTTCGAGCGAGTGACAGGACATGCATATCTGCGTGCGGGAACTGCCACTACTCATGGGCTATTCATTTAATTTGGCAGGAGCTCTCGGGGTTTGGAACGAATTGTGGAATGAATGAGCGGGCGAGTGTGGATGCAACGCGTTTCTCCATCCGGGAACCGAGGCAACAACTTATTACAAGCCAACGGCTTACGATACAAATCCTGTGGTACGAGCACATGTCACCGCTTTGATCTCGTCGACCCTTCTGTTGCCCAGCTTCGAGGAAACGAACTACTGCCAGCTAACATCGACATCAAGAGTCGAAAATAAAACGCATTCTTCAGGAGTTGAACTCCACCACTGAAGAGAACTGTTAATCATGGCAGGCTCCTCTCGTGTCCCTGTCTCGCTGCGGAACTTTGCCTCTGCGAAGACCGCGGCCGTTAGGAAGTCGCCGCATCTCGTCTTTAATCTCGATCTGTTCGTTACTCCTTTCCTCCAGCGGCTATAGTTTACTAACATACACGACTAGAATGCGCAATATTGTATTCGCCTACTTCATTCTCCGCCATTTTAGACGTGCAGTTCGAAAACTTCGTGGTCGTGGTGTTTTTGGTACCCTCTTCGATGGATATGCATATATGCGAAGATATGCATATGGTCTATTCCTCAACGCCCCAGGTGTCAGAGGGAAAGTCCAGGCACAGGTAGATGAGGCGTTGAAAAAGCTGGAGAACAAGCTTGTGCCCAAAGGACCCGGTGTGACAAGATATCTTGCGTTGCCTAAGGAGGGCTTCACGGAAACGCAAGCAAAGGAAGAATTGAAACAGTAAGAAATACATTGGGTCGCTTTTATGATAGGGTTTTGCTGATATTATGGTGAAGATTGAGTGAAATGGAACATACTTCATGGGAAAGTGGCCATGTATCTGGTGCCGTCTATCATGGCGGTGACGAGTTATTAAATCTACAAAGTGAGGCATACAGGATGTTTTCTGTTTCCAACCCTTTACACCCGGATGTTTTCCCAGGTGTTAGGAAAATGGAGGCTGAGATTGTTGCTATGGTACATAACCGCCCTAATATCGATGACATCATAGTGCTTTCCTAACATGATATTAGGTTTTGGCCATGTTTAATGCGCCGTCTACTGCTGGGGGTATCACCACTAGCGGTGGTACTGAGAGTATTTTGATGGCTTGTCTATCTGCAAGGACTAAAGCATATGTTGAACGGGGTGTTTCAGAACCTGAAATGATCGTCCCTGTCACTGCTCATGCTGCATTTGACAAGGCTGGTCACTACTTTGGAATCACTGTGCACCACGTTGCTGTCGACCCGGTTACTCTTAAGGTAGATCTGAAGGCTGTCAATCGTTTGGTTAATTATAACACTGTTTTGGTAAGCGCATACTACAGGTATATAATTAGGATACGCTCGATATTAACTTTCCACAGATTGTTGGCTCCGCTCCGAATTTTCCCCACGGAATAATCGACGATATCTCGGGGCTCTCCAAGATTGCTCTTCGCCGCCGTATTCCACTTCACGTTGACGCCTGCCTCGGTTCCTTCCTCGTACCGTTCCTTGAAAAGGCCGGGTTCCCGACTACATCATTCGACTTCCGGATCAAAGGTGTTACATCGATTTCTTGTGACACGCATAAATATGGATTTGCTCCTAAGGGTAATAGTGTACTCTTATTCCGTACCAAGAAACTCAGGGCATACGGATATTTTATCACTGCTACTTGGCCTGGCGGCGTTTACGCCTCGCCCACCCTCGCGGGGTCTCGCGCTGGGAGTCTCATTGCTGGAACTTGGGTATCACTAATGACACAAGGTGAAAACGGATACACTGCCTCTTGCCGCGATATTGTCGGCGCCGCAAAAACAATTGAATCTGGCATTCGCGAGAAGCTCAGCCCTGATCTTTATGTACTGGGGGAGCCTATGGTATCCGTAGTCGCATTCTCATCAAAGACCATAAACATCTATGAGGTTGCAGATGAAATGAGTACGCTTGGATGGCACTTGAACGCGCTACAAGACCCACCGGCGATCCATATCGCGTGCACAAAACCAACTGTGTCTGCAACAGGAAAGTTTTTGGAGGATCTCGAGAAGGCGGTGAAGGAGGTGAAGTTGAGAGGGGAGAAAAGCGGGGCTTCGAAAGCAGTGGCAGGAGATACTACGACTCTTTATGGTGTTGCGGGGAGCCTGCCAAACAAAAGCGTCATCAATTCGATGGCAATTGGTTTTGTTGATACGTTGTATAAGGCGTAGAGTGATTTTAAAGGCAGCAGAGAAGTTACGGAGAGCATGAGAATTAGGGGTATGGGGGGATTACGAGTTCAAATTGTGGACTCTGTCGTTCATTAAGTTTTCATGGTGGACATTTGTTTGACCGAGGGCGTTTCGTATATCACATGGTTGCACCAATCGCAAAATTTCCTTTGTAAGTGTTTAACTCATTCGTTCATTACTACTTTTCATTTGTCTTTATTTTTTTTTTGTTATTGTGGTATTTGGGCTTGGGCTTGGTTAAATATTGGGGTTGGAGGGGCCATTTGGTACACATTCATGGGGCCGCCGGAGTATATATTAGGAATTGCAAGTCATTGGAAATATTTGTATGGGAATAATAGCATTTCAACCATTTTTGGGAGCTAAAAGAGCTGTACTCGCCATCCCAATTCCATCCGGTAATATGAATCATGGGTGATCACTCGTGAATTATAGATCCGATCCTTCTCTGCTCCTATTAATTGGTTGATCGGTTGGATCTCGGTAGTCACATTGCTCGGTAAACAGACAGCAGCTTGATGTATCAGAGTTCCTTCCACACGCTTTAGGCATCTGGCGCACGTACGTATAACTAGGCGGTGCTGCGATCTATCTTGGCCATGGACTAGTACGTACACGCATTAGAAGCCCATCAAGTTGATGATTGCTTCAACACAAGTTGCAACACCCACACAAGGGGAAGCGGTTCCATTCTATGAAAATACTTGAGACAGAAGGAGTTATCTGTGTGTGAGACAAAAGATCTATGGCCCTCGGCGTCTGTGCTCCATGTCATAGCGAGAGATCCGGGGTGTTTAAGCCTAGCCAAACAAGTAGGGTTTGTGGCAAACCTGTATCAAAACGTTAGGGCAGAAACACTAAAGGGCTGAATGTGTCTAAACATCTTTGACCTAGATGTTGGGACTTCAACCGGAAAACCATAGAACTCATTAACCCAGTCTCGTTCCCGGACTTTATCTATGCAGATATTGACGCAAGACAATCTAGGCACGGAACTAAAAGAAAAGGCAGAGCCCTCTCTAACCCATGCCCAATGGGGGGCTGTAGCATAGTTGTTTACGGCTATCTAACCCAATCTTTACCTCGGAGGCGCTAGCTTTGTATATCAGTACACAATTGAGGAGATATAATCTCAAATTGACGGCTTGATACGATCGCAAGCTAACCCACAAGCCAGCTAAAGGAGCACAAGGCTCATTAGCAGGATATACTTGCAATGGAAGTTAATTGTGAGGTACACCCCAACCCTTCCGCGAGCATCAGAAGAGTGAAGGTAAAGGAAGGGGCCGTGGTAAGAGGAGAATTAGTGGGACGGAGATGAGGAACTACCAAAGACCCCCAATAATCAAAACCGCCCTTTATACAGCTCGGGAGTCCTACTCAACTACTACTAAGAGGAATGGGCCCTCGATTGGATAACATCTCTGTGAAATGGTGGGGACAGATTATAAACCGTAGATAGACAAACAACATTAGCTTTCGGGATAAATTGGCAGGATGCAAAGTTACGAAGACACAGATAAAAAGAATATTTTATAAAATAGTGCCACAATATTCCGCTGGCTTAGTAGAACCTGAAGTCACTCAAGTCAACTCTTCCGTTGTTAGATCTCTTCGAGTGTGTTCTGCCTGGTACGTATGTTGATAGCTAGCCCGGCGCTGGTTCAAGAAGAAACGGGTAGCTGAGCGGAAGACAGGCTATTTGAGCGGGTGATTGGACTACGTACATGTATATACATTGCCAGAACATCACATACCTGTCTTCGGCTGGCATCATAAATTTTTGTAGTGGGGGGAAGGGTTCCGTTTTATCAATCTCCACAACAGAAAATATGAGGGACATACATTCAGCGCAAGCAAAATAAACTTTATTGAATGGCAGAAGTTTACTATGTCTCAACAGCCAGCAGCTCTGTATATAATGAATTAACCTTCGTTTTTCATTTCCATCATGCACCAAACTTGCACAACATGCCATACACTCGTCGGTCGAGGATGTTAAGATTACATGTATCTTGACTACCATAGATAATAGCTACAGTAAGAACAAGGAAATCTACATTATTATCGGTACTTGAGTGCGTCGAACTTCTATCGCTATCGCTTTATTTGGCATCACAAACTATCACTCGCAATCACATGACTAGAGCACTTCACCCTGACCAAGTCGACTGCTTGGATGTATCTACCTAACTACATGTAATCCCTTTATCTACAGAACCCTTAATTATCTCTTCATATACAAAAGGAACCTCTCATAACATCCATAACAGGTCAATGATCAAAAATCGCCCCAGCCCCATCTCGGCCACCCCCACCACCACCTTCCCCAACCACTGTACCACCAAACCATATCATACATCCCCCCCCCCCCCCCAGCGCACCGCCTCGTGGGGTCTAAACTTCGGGTGTTGATGGAGGGAAAAAGGTCAACGGGAACTCTTATCTACCCCCGCTCATCACCATGATCAGCTCCCACTCATATTTACTTTTTCCTCCTTCTCCACCCCCCTCCCCCCTTCTTCGTTTCTTTTTTTTCCCTCCCACATAAACGAACGGAAAAAAACAAAAGAAGAGGTTTCAGCCCCTTGCGTATGTGGTACGGTGGCTTGTTTGAGATCTTCTGAATCCGTTTCTGATCAGCACCCGGTCGATCCAGGAGTTGGGGTGTTGGGAAAACCTGAGAGAGGAGAGGGGGAGGGGGAGGCAGAAAACCCGTCTATCCGTCAAATGCATCCATCAGTCCATTTACCCCTCAGTTCTAATTGTGTATGTAATGCAGATTAGGGCCCTCAGGCTAGGATAGATAGATAGCACACGAAACCACCGATCCATGGAATCGGACTTTGGAGCTTTTGAAACGGAGAACTAGGGGAGAAATAACCCATTCACGCAACGCAAAAGCAAACAGATAGGGGACGTCTCTGTACGGTGTAAGTGAACATACGTAACTCCTATCGTAATTGCAAACTCAATTGAGCGTCGGCGGGAAAACCCTTACGTGCCTCTGCCTATCTTTCTGCTTTACCGTGGAGGGAGGCCTAGGAGAAGAACAGATTTGTTGCAATTGCAAAAACCAAAACCTGTAGATCAATGCACCAACCCTAGAGTACATTGTACGTGGGTTTTTGGTTTTGTTCGCACCTACTCGATGCGAAGCAAGCTTTACATATGTCCATCACGAGACTGAATTCATATTCTTTACCAACCCTTAAATCTCTAAATAACCCAGCTCAAACCAAGCAAGACATCTGGTTGGTCCCCTGTGCCTCATCTTCAATGGAGCACGAGCTTTTGTACACCTATTGCAGTGCGGTGCGATAATAGCAGAACCTCGGTGGGGGGCGAGGAATGTCGACGTCGAATCGATTCCTCGACCAACAAAAATCTCACGATTCGAGACAAAAAAGGTCTCGATATTGCCCCCAATTCCCAACACAAAAGAAGAAAAAAACTACTATATATGCAGGAACTGAAGACATACATCATCACATCACGGCAGTGTTAATTATACCTACCTATTAGTTTAGACGGTGGCTTCCGACATTTTCGCCCTTTTTTTATTTTTTTATTTTTTCCCACTATATGCAAGGCTGGTGAAAGGTCGAGAAAAAGGAATTTTTTTTAAAAAAAAAGAATAAACCAACTAAAAGCCACCATTATCGATCTCCTCCTTCACCCATATCAGCCACCGGCGTAGGAGGTGTCGCCACGCCCTTCTCTCTTAAGCCATTTGGGGACGTCCATCCATCCCTCCCATCACGTGCACATCTAGATGCCCGGTCCGGGCCAGTCTTGTTTACAAGCGTCCAATGAGGTGGCTTTCCGAGTGCTTCTCAAGATGGGATTGTTTATGCGCCCCCAGGTCACTGTATCCGCACCCATTGTTGCGGAGAACAGTCGTAAACCAACCAGTACAATGCTTGGTGGGGGTGCTCGTGATCTGAGCGTATAGTAGTGAGATAGGGAATTAGTTACTGAGTTATTTCTCCCGAGCCTAGCTGGTAAAGAAATGTGATGGCAAGTTCCCTGGTGTTTAGAAATGGGAACGAGAAGGGAGAGGAGGGGATTGGGTGCTTTGCAATTTGGGGAGGGGATAATAATTGTAGTACAGGGTCTGGATCCAGCTCTCTCTCCCGGTGGGAATATATACATATGCCGGTGAAGAGAGAAATATGACATATATGCCGAGCTAGCTGGAATATATGCCGATATACCTACCAGCTGGGAGATTCAAAAGTAAGTAGAGCAACTGAGTGAGAAGTTAGAGCCAAAGCTGAGAGAACCCGATGCCGTATTCAATCGGACCTTTTGCTCCAAAACTATAGCTGCCACCTCGTGGCCGGCCGGCAAGATTCACACTCCCCAACAGAGCCTTGAAAGCAAAGACAGCACTTCCGTACGTTAGGCAGGTACCACGCTCGGCAACGCAACAAAGCCAAAGCTAGTAGGTACTGCACTGAGGGGATGGTGATGGACAAGGCTGAGAGGTGCTGAAGCCATTTTCAGATAGGGATCGGAATCTAATACACACCGTGGCCACTAGTACACCAGACTCGCTCGTGTATTACGCCAGTAAACCGTGAACATGCCAGGAACCACATATCTATACGGGAATTGGCATCTTCTCCCAATGTGGAATGATTACTCCATGCATTTTATATGCCGATAACAAGTGGGCCAATAGATTGGCCACCGACTGAGTGAAGAAAAGACGGTAAAGACGACGTATATGATGTATCGGGATCGATCCATGTATTTTCGAACGTTGAACTATACCATGTTGCCCGCGGGTAACCAGTTCTGCTCATCATCTAACAGCACTTTCTTAATTCCAAACGGGTCAGTGCTCTGCTCTAACACAGGGTCTACATCGCAGGTCAATGCCAGAGCAGAGCAGAGGAATGGCAGGAATGTAAGCCGGCAAGGTAGCGTATCTGCGCACTGAGGACCACCAAGCTGAATTCCAAATTGCAAAC